TACAGCGCCCTCCTTGCAGATGGCCATACACTATGCTCCGCATTACCCGACCGCAAGGTCCGCTAAACAAGGGACAGCCTCTTTGGCAGCGGTACAACTTCCTTAATCGGCCTGCTAAGCCTTATAGGCCCCTCTAGGAGCAGCTCTTCTGTTAACAGTGGCTAGGCTAAACGGCCATTGATCGAAATAGGAACCGTCTAGGCAAGGCCGGTGAGCTGATAACGACATCATTTCGAGGGCCCACGCTCCCCTAAATTTCCCCTTTGGGGGAAACTATCTTATAGTCCACGCGGAGAATAGGTCTCGAGTCTGATATCCAGCCCTGATTTTTCTCCCACTCCTATTATTTTATTAACCAAGTTTGGTCCATCTCCGATCACTAAATGACAAGCAAGATAGGCACTTCAATAGCACGCTTCTCTTTTCCGTCTTCTCCACCCTCCAGTGCTGGTAGTACCGCACTATTCCCGCGACTCTGTCAGCTACTACTAGATGTTTATATGTTTAGATCATTAGATGAAAGATGATGTAAAACGTCGTCGGGCTTGGACTCAAACACTTGCATGATTAGCAGAGTAATTCCTCCAATGGCGCCCCATGGCCCGAGAGCTAAGATGGCTAGCCATACAATAGCTTGATCCTTTGAAGACTAGGCCACTTCACATGGTGTTGACCCGTTCTATTTCCAAGGATTTTCGACCAAAGTAGTAACCAACATAGTCCAAATACTATCTCCAAGTTGCGCCGTGCCGAACCAGCTCAAGAAACATCAGAAAAACAAGAGAAAAATAATGACGACGAGAAAAAGACGACGACGGCAAAAAGGCAAAAAGGGATGGCGAGCAACTCTATATCATATATGCTGGTTTAAACTCTGACAAGCTGCATCAGAGGCGATTTTTTTATTTATTTTCCTAGTATTGTAAGAGGTTGGCCTGTGTGTAAGTGCGTCTTTGCCTCGCTTACACATTTTCGGCAGTTGTAATTTCATATCAAGGCCATCTTATAGGTCATTCAGAATATAGTAGCTGCCGTCGCATATGCCGCCCAACGACTTACTCGAGCTGTTTCCTTAATCTACCTAGTAGTAAGCCAATTCTTATCGCCGAAAAAAAGAGACAAAATTAGGAGATTGACCTTACTCCGTCACCTTCACACCAAACCATTGCACTTGGCGTTTGTCACCTTTTTGCTTGCTTTTCCTAGCCTTTTTTTCTCTCAAATCTTTGCAGACTTGTCGCAAAGACTTGGCTCTGAGATAGACTTCTATGTGTGTGGAGCTCAGTGAAAGACATATAGTCTGCCCCTTCCATCTACATGTGTTCTGACTGACAGTAGATAGGTCTTACAATAGATACGTGGGGGGGCTGGGGAGGAGAGTGAAAGTAGGGGGGGGAAAGGGGTGTGTGAAAGACCGAGTAATAGCTTGGTTTTTTGTCTAGGTAATTGAGGGTGTTGTATATATGACAAGGCTATCTATCTTTGGGGGGACTGAACGCCCCCCCCCCCCTTCTTAAAAGGATAGAATGATGCGCTGCTACTAGGAATAGAACACCATACATAGGTCCTATACAAAGGACCCGTACGACTATGCGGCGTGTGTGGATGAAGATTCACAGAGTGGATTGGAGTTTTTTTTTTTTTTCAAGGATTCAAATCCCCCCTCCCTTGCATGTGTTGCTAATCAACTGCCGGCCTGCAGCGTGAGGTCCAGGGATTCCAGATTTTCATGCGGCCTATTATTCATCATGCAGCATCAAACGGGCCTTTTGTTGTTCCATCTCCCTTCCAACCTATCTTACGATTTGCTCGGAAAAAGAAGTTTTGTCAAAAGTCTGAGGGTGGTAAACCGGATTCTATTCCGTTTCGCTAGGGGGGAGGACACGTATACATAATTCAAATCATCATTTACAACTTGATTCTTTATGCCAGGCTCTTTTGTTTTCTTTTGTTTTTTTTGTTTTTCTTCTTCTTTTCTTTTTGTGATTGCAGTGGCTAAATGTCTATCCAAATATACTAACAGATTGTTCCAAAAACAAAACAAAAAAAGATGACTGGGAAGCCTCGCATCGTAAAGAACATATTAGGTTATTATTACTCTCTTCAGCTTACTTGGCCTTCCTTGGCTATATATATGGCGCTTCCCCGAGCAGGCTGGCTCACCACCACAGCCTGCTCCTTTTGCTCATCGGTCAACTTCATCTTGGAATAGTACTGCTCCTCCAGCGCCGCCTTCACGGCCTGCGCCTTGTCGGCTGGGACGAGGTGCACGCTGCATCCTCCCCAGCCGGCTCCGGTTAACCTGCTGCTGTAAGCCCCAGCGGCGCGTGAGATGCGACAGATTTCATCGAGCTCGGGGCAGCTACACTCAAACAGGTCTCTGCACGAGTCTTGCGTCTCGTTCATGAGTTTGCCCAGCGCGGCGTTGAACTGAGTCGTGTCAGTTGCTCCCGTATGCAGGGGCCGCTCGAGCAGAGTCAGGAACTCGAGCACTCGCAAAGCTTCGGTAAAGACATGCAGGGCTCGCTGTCGGAGTTTGAAACGGTCAGCACGAACGGGGAAGACGGCCGTGAAGCGCTTCTCTAGCTCAGGCACGGACATTTGGAGGACGGCGGCGATTTCCTCCCGCGTGTAGCCGTCCTCCCGGGTCAGCGTCTGCTTGGTGACCTCGATGAGCTTGCGCAGCTCCTCCTCCTTGCTGAGGCTCCTGGCGGCGGCATAGTCTGACCCGCCGTTGTGGTAGAAGAAGGCGTCGTGGAACCCCTGAAGGCTGATGCCGAGCGGGCCTGCGTCCTGCGGGAGCTCGGTGCCGGGAGGGTTGAGCACGGCGTTGAGGTAAGCAGCCGCAAAGCTGACCTCGACGACACGAAGGTTGTAGTGGATGGGGCCGGTGACATGCTTATTTGACGTGATGAATGATTGTGCGATAATGAAACACAGCTCGGGCCTTGTTGGAGGGAACTTGACTGGCCGCGCTGAGAGGGCAGGGGTAAAAGACACGAATGTGGCGGATCCTTGCTCCGAGAAGACTGAGGCCGACTGGTCCATGCTGTTGAAAAGGCTATTGTCAGCATCATGCACGCTTGTTTTATTCCACAACGTAGATCTGTGAGAGGGGAAGGGGGGGGGATAGGGTGGCGTGAGCCTTGCTGGATGCTTGCAGGCATAAACGTGTATCCACCTGCGAGGAAAATCATCGAGCATGCAGCACAACGGGGTATCCAGCCAGGGGCCCTTTTTCCCTTCTATTTCGACAAGACTTACCCTCCAGAGTTGACGCCAACGGCTCGCTCGCTGACAATGGCCAGCTCCGTCAGCTCCTTCTTGTCGACGGAGCTCTCGCCGTTGGCGGCCATGACGGCCAGCGCGCTGGCGGTGACAAAGGCGGCGCTGGAGCTGAGGCCGCCGCCCACGGGCACGTTTCCGTCCATCAGCACCTCCATGTTGCACGGCCGGAAGTCGGCCCCCTTTTTCGCGTAGAGCAGGCTGAGCGCGCCGCGAAGGCCGCTCTTGAAGTAGTTTGTCCACTCAAACTTTGTGGAATCAATCTCGACGTCGCCGCCAATCGGGATGTCGAACTCGCCCGCGGCAAACTTGGCGCCCTGGACGTTGCGGACGTGGATCCGGAACGACGGTGCGCCTGCTGCGACGGGCGTGGTGGCCACGGCGATGATGGCGTCGGCGGTGATGGCCATGGGCAGCACCGAGTAGAGGCTGTAGTCGATGTGTTCGCCGATGATGTTGACTCGGCCGGGCGACCGCGAGATGAAGTGCGCCGGGTGGCCAAACTCGCGCGCAAACGTGGCCAGCAGCTGGTTCCATCGCGGCGTCTCTGCTGCGACGGCCGCTGGCGGGTAGATGTCCGCCAGGGATGTTGCGACTGGGACGGGGCCAGACATGTTGGCGGCTCCTTGTTTAAGTGTCTGCCGCTTGTCGAGACTTGCGCTGTATCTCGTTCTCTTATTTGGCAGTGCCGTCTCTTTGGTGAGATGGTTTGTGAGCTTTCTGGGCTGATTGGCGCAAAGGAGTCTTGTCTTACAGTGTGTTTGCGCTTGCAGTTGGAGATGCCCCGCGACAAGAGTTAGTACCCCGCAGTGGTTTTTGCGTACGGAAATCAGGGGTTCTTGATTCTGCTCTATGACGTAGATATGCAGGAGCTTCAACAAAAAATTGAAACGTTTTGCGATTTTCTAAAGTGGCAGCGAAATAGACCAAAATTAATGCAAAGAGGGAGATGAAAAGGATGCTCTTGGAAAGCGCGCAGATGAGGAGATGGATGATTTAAAATGAGAGAAGAGGAGCGAGCAGAGCGACACGAGAGTCTCGAGACAAAAGCACCAGATGCAGAGGCAAATAATAAGAACAGGCCATTAGATATGGATGTTTTTCTGTTGAAACCGGTGATGATCCCTTTTGGCGCGGCTCTCTTTATGCCTGGGCCCCGCTGATATCGTCGGCGGTTTTGCGGGTACTACGGAGCATTGAGCAATAAAAATCCCCCCGTGGATCCCGTTAAGCGCGCGAGTGATGTTGCGTCAAGGGAGCTCCAGAGCCGGTGGAAGTTTGCGTATAACCGTTGATAAGTCGTATCGCGAGATTTTGAAAGGATTTTCGCCTTCATGACAGCGTTGGGTCCTTTCTTCCTTTGTGGCGCAAATGCGTGGGGAATTGTGTTGGATTTTTTGTATTGATTCTTAGCTCCGAGGATGATAAAGCCTGTCGCGTGTTGTGTTTCTAGGTGAGTTTGATGTTGCAACCAAGGAGGATCTGGGCCGGATATTTACTCGGCGATGGGTCACCCATCGAGCCCCAAACGGGGTAACAGATGATGGGATTTGGCAAAACGGCGGCTAATGATGAGACAGTAGAATCTTGAAAATACTTTGAATAAAATTCACTAGGAGTTTCTGGCGGTTTACAAACTTGTATGCGGTGAAGAATACATGAAGATGACACATGTGGGAAAATACCTTGACACTTGTCAACCAGCTGGCAACGACATGGCCAAACTCTGCCAGCTGGTGATGGAGGATATTCCAAACAAATCAAGTTCTAAAAGAAGATGAAGAGAAAGAAGAAGAACAATAACAACAATCTCCTCTTCACCAGCCAGAGCAAGTCTGCTCGATGACGCTGCTCCACCCATCCTCGATTTGAGCCTCATCGACTTTCAGCCTTGCATCTCTCAGCCTCGCATCAAACATCAAGACCTAGAGGAGGGCATGGAGCTCAAAGAAAAACGCTCAGTCATCAGCCGCGAGCTGAAAGCCCTCGAGCCCGGATCTCTCTACATCACAATCTCCGTCCCTCCTCGATCCGGCGCCCAGCAGCAGCAGTTTTCCGATTTCCACTACCTGCCCTACCTCCCTCACGATCTGGACTTGGCGTCTTACGAAGTCTCGTGCGCCGAGGGTATCGATAGAGAGGAATTCGACTGGGGCGTCTACCTGCACCGCGGCCATGGCAACGGCACCTGGTACGGACTCCGCCGGCTAAGCAGCTCGATCGACGCAAGCATGGCGACGGGGACCGCAGGCATGGGTGCTGCTGCTGCTTTTGCTTCTGCTGCTATTGGCAATAATTCTACGGGCGGTGGCGCCAAGACGACGGCGGCAGCATCTCGCAGCGTGCCCTTTTACACGCTCTCCAGACAAGACATGTGCCAGTCGCCGCGTCTGCAGGCCCGCGTGGCCGGCCTCGTCAGGGTCCTGCGAGTCCCGGGGCTCTTGGTCGCCGGCTTGACGTCGTACCTGGACTGGCTGGCGGTTCAGACGGCATCCAGCGCAACGAGGTCCTTCATCTGGGCGTCGTCCATGTATCTCCGCGCGCGGCGTCACCTCTCGGCCGACGACGCTCAGAATCACGGCACCGATGCGACGGGCTTCTTGTTTGATACAAAGGGGTTCCTGCAGGAGGCCCTGCACCTGGCGTACAAGGAGGTCTGGTACGGACTTGCAGGCCAGCTACCACGGCCTGTCATGGCCTCTGCGTTTGGAGTCGAGCTGGTGGCAGTCGCGCCACCCACAGAAGCCCTTGCGGAGACAGCCGTGGACGCACTTGTACGCGACAATGCCAGCAACAATGAGGATGCCGGCGCCGGCGCCAGATCAGCTGCCGAAGACTACCACTACTACTACTGCTGCTACCACCAGTGGGGGTCTCGATATCAGCGCTCAGCCTCGGACGCAGGGTCTTCGGACGACGACAGCAGCACCCTGGTGGGCGAGGAAAACATGGGGTTGGCAGATGCCGCAGATACTAGCATCTCGATCGGCTACTAATCAGCATGAAAAGGACACGCCATCGGAGCCAAGGGTCAAGAGCCTTGGAGAAGAAAGAAAATATAGGGGTGCGAGAGACGTTTGGGCAAGGGGGGGCGTGTGTGCTGTCTTGTTAGTTGAAAAAAGACAATGGAAAGACTGCCGTTCCAAAGTCCCGTCCTGCTGGTAATACCTGGTTGACACTAGGCGGTAGTATGCGGTGACAGTCATGGCAGCGAATATCCGATAGGTGGTATTTTAGTTACTTGAGCAAGGTTTAAAGCGTCGCATTCTCCAGGCCAAGGATTAAACACAAATACATGCCTGCAACTTTGTCCGTGCTTTGACTTCTCGTAAACCCTTGGTAAAGCCGGTTGACTGGGTGAGCAAAAACGTTTTCGGGGCTATGTAAGCATGTGTAAGAAATGTATCTGGCCTAATCACCTAAACTCCGAATACAACAGCAACATGGTCCGTGGTTTCGTATGTGCATTCTAATCTTTAGCCCTCTTGGATCTTTAGCCCTCTTAAAATCTGTCTCGGAATTTACTCCGCTGTCAGTTGAGGCGCTGTTCCTGGGGATGAGACAACTGGGGGAAATGTGACATACAAGGCAACAGTTAGTACTAGTAGTTGTAGATCTGAACAGAAGCCCATGAATGAGCCTTTGTATGCCAAGTTCGAAAAGATCAAGTTTACGTGTTATAGGTAAATCACCATGTATGGAATCAACTGCTTCACCTACGCCGTATCGGGAAGTTGTTCCAAAGAGAGGCCCTTTGCTTATACGGCTGCCTTGTGCTACCAGGACGTGTACGCAATTGATATCCTACTATACGATTCCTGGCTTGCTTGTTGTCTTCCGCTTCATCACTTGCCTAGTTTGCTCGGTGTGAGGCCCAATCCTTGTGCTACTCACTTCAACTGGGCATATAGAAGGGCATGTCGACGGGCCGATATCTTGGTCGTCGTGTCCGGACCGCTTCACGGCAGTTGTGCCCTGTACAAGTATTATGTATTATTCTATCAGCTCATCCTGCCTCTTTCGGCAAAGGTGCCTGAGCTGATCAAGATGCTAAATTAAGAATGGTCCCTGTATTGTTCGATTGGTAAGAGCTTATCGAGGTGTGTGACAGCGGTGGCACGGAGCAGAGAGTTGCATATCCGGCAGCTAATGGAAACGACAGAGACCAAGCGAACACAAGGGCTGACTGCTTCATGTCTGGCAATCAGGCAGCAGCAAATGGCCCTTGAGGGTGTGTAAGACAGCACACGGCGACGGCGATGGCGACGGCGACAACGTGGACGTGTAGGGAGCACAAACGATGAAGAAAGGATACCTCCTGCGCTGTATGGAAGAGGCATCTCGATGCTGACATGGCCTAGCGGGCGGGTGTCGATCAAGATGCCCGATCGCCGATGGTATCTCGGCTTGGCGGTTTTGATTCTCTCTGGTCTTTCAGCTTCCGATCCTCTTTTCCGTGACCTTCTCCACCTACGGAATGGCGGGTACAGAGGTGGAAAAGAGCAGAGCAGAAGGGGATTGGAGAAGCAGAGAAAAGGCTCCAGATGGATGGAGCAGCAGGTAGGTAAGCACTCAGGCAAGGAGACGGTTTTGTACAACAAGGCTGCCATGCTCGCAACTGTCATGTCATGCTCTCATTTCATACCTACATGTTCCGGTGTCATTGGCCGTGCCGTTACAACGTCACACATACACGCTTCATGCCAGACACACACGCCATTTGCGCGCATAAAAGGAGAAAACCTGCTCCATCACAGTCGTACCGTCACTTATCCAGAGGAATTTTTGAGCGAGTTAAACGGCGATGCTCCGACGGCGGATCTCGCGCTAAAGCTGTTGTGTGTCCACTCCTGCGTGCTTGGCTGGCAATGAGAGATTGAATCTCAAAAGCCTTAATCTCCGCAGCGCATCTCGCAGCGAGTCCATCGGATGTCGCCCTGGATAAGGTACCGGTGAGAGGGGAGATCGGGTAAAGGTGGCGTTGTGAGTTGCCTTGGTGAGAGCCTCACTGTTTTTGCGAGTCCTACGTATAAATTGCAGAGAAGAACATGGAACCAATCAGGTCTCTGTGAGCTGTTTCTGTGTGCCAGGTCGTGCACTGACAGTTTGTTTTGAGAATTTTCTTCTTTTTTCCCAGGGTTGGATACACGAATCGTTTCCAGGTGAGGGGAAGCAGCAGCTGATACGGAGGCGCCACAAGAGCTGCATTAACAACTAGCTGCTAAACGATGGATTCGCGGTATGACCAGCACAGCGCCGTTAAGCTTTAGCAGCACGCAGGGCGGTCCCTTGGGCTGGGGGGGACTCCAGGTATTTAAAGCTGACCGCCCATTTCCCCTCTTCCAGCAGAACCTTTTAGTCCTTCCATCAGACAAAACTGCTACTCTTCTCAACCAACTTTTCCAAACCTTCACCAAACCCAAACCAAATCAACAATCATTATAATGGCTGGATGCGGCTGTGCTGAGGGCGGTGCTTGCGGTTGCGGTGCTGACTGCACCTGCCAGGGATGCAGCACTGTATGTCTTGCTTGAATTTCCTTGTGTAACCCGATGATTTGGAGAAGATGAACAAGATTGGCTAACAGAGACGGGTACCAGCACACTAAATAAATCCTCTTCGGGCTGGATACATCCGATCTGGAATCCCCTCTTCGATACACGGGAACGTTTGAGCTCGAAAGGGCGAGTGGCGACTTTTCTTTTCTTGTCATTGAAGATGCAAAATATTGTACCTATCTGTGCGCGAGAGATCCTAAAGAGAGGCTTGTGACTGCGTGGAGAGGTCATCAGGCGGAGAGATGAGACAGTATTAAATATGAATGAGAAAAAAACTGATTTCACATCATTGATATTTCCGTGTGATTCTGATTTTTCTACTGGTGCCATAGCTGTGTCCTTCAGGTCTGCCGCGATCTCAACAAGATGCAGGGTAGCCAGATAACCTGCACGGCTTATCGAGCTCTTCTGCTCAATGCTTACTGCGCATGACTTGTACGGCCAGTACTATTTCGCTGAGTACCTATTCTTAATGATTTTGCTTCATGATGCTAGAATATTCAAGCAAACGAAAAGAAGAAGAAGAAAAAAACAGAAAATGAAAGATACACACAGGGACCATTCCCCATCTCCTCTTTACGATACAGATAGCGCCCGTCATTGCGTGCATCTGCCGAGTGCTAATGCAGCGAGTCCCCTGAAAGCCGCACGTTTTAGGCGCTGAGGCCTGTAGGTCCCCGTACCCACGGAATATGTGGATTGTCCGATTGGCGCCTCGGTGGGACTCTGACATCAATCCTTCTTTGTCGTGCGGCCTTTAGACTGCGACGGAATCCTCACACGACTGGCGCGACACAAACAGCCCGACGAAAACCCTCTTCTTTGCAAACGACCTTTTACGCATACGCTCTGTCTTTGTTTACATTTGGCTCGGCAGCCTGCAGCCGCGCTCTTGCTTTGCCTCTGCGTCCCGCCGCGCGTCAAGCCTGACGCAGAAGATGCAACGGCCCCAAGCATAGCCATCACAAGCGAATCTTTCAACTTCGAGAAGCCTAGAAACCTGCCAAGGAGAGAGGGCCAAACACCCAAGGCATGGATCCTTCGGCGGCGTCCACGGCCGCATCCCAGCCTCGTTCATCATCCGCCGATACTGCCAACGACTCGATGGACACCCCGCGACGATGCTTCGTATGCTTGACGGACGAGGAACCTACAGACCCTCCAGGCTCGTGGGTTGACCCGTGCCCATGCACGCTGGAAGCGCATCAAGACTGCATGCTCTCGTGGGTGACGGACTGCGAGCGATCTAATAAACCTCTTAAATGCCCTGTGTGCAAGTCAGATATCCAGATGGAAGGCCCGTGGGACCCCATCGCCCATATACACGACGTCATACATCGCAAGTTCACGCGCGCAAGCCCGTTTATTCTGCTGACGGGCGTGTCGGTGGGCGTGCAGTTCAGCTTGCAAATGTACGGCGCCATGGCGTTGTGGACGTTTGCAGGCAAAGAGGCCCTGCTTCGCTTCGCCTTGGGGCCGGAGATGCTCATCGACGGGCGATCGCCTGGAGCGCTCAGGTTCGCCAAGGAGCGCATAGTGAATGCGCTGGTACTCATGAATGTTGCGCCGACGCTGCTCATCAGCCAACTGCTGCCGGGCCTCACCAACAGATACTTTATGCAGTCTGCATCCATCGTGAGTCTACCTATGATAGTGCGCGATGCAACCAACATGCGCGTAAAATAAGCATACTATTGCATGTGCTAACGATTGTTTGTGCGCTAGTACGGAATCTACAGCATGATTCGGAACGACAACTTCCTGGAGTGGCCCCCTTCTCCACGACTGGCCATGGTGGCACTGCCCATCATGCGCAAGGCCTACTTTAGCCTCTGGAGAGACTTTGTCATGCCGTACGAAGTGAAGCTGAACCGACAGATTTCGGGGCTGCCGCCTCTCGACCCGCGAGAGAATGGCGACGCTGCCCAAAACCGACAAGACCTGGAACGCAACGGAGAGGGAGGATTTGTTGGTCTGCTCCAAAACATTCTTGATGTATTGGACCCAGATGAAGAGGAACCGGCTGCCGGGGCCAATAACGGTGGCCATGAAGCACGTCCAGGAGGTCATAACGAAATTCGCCTGGAGCAACGCGAGGAGGGTGATGAGATTAGGGTTGAACTTCTCATTCAGGAGATTGAAGAAGGCGGGGTTGAGATACCGGGAGCAGACAACGACGGCCAAGATGCTCATCCGCAATGGGACCAGGTCCCAGGCGACCTTGCAGACGGGCACCGCCAGGAAAACCAACGCGACGCACCTCAGGCGCCGCCTGCACGCAGAATGGGACTCGGTGGCCTACTATCTAGCGTTTCCAACTCCATAGTAGGAGCCCTTCTTCTGCCAGGCATCTCCTTTGCCATGGGTGAAGCTCTACGGCTGATACTCCCGCGGTCTTGGACAACGACTCCGTCTGCTAGAAACCACTGGCTGTTTGGGGTATCATCTTCAGGGCGTCCCGGCTTGCTGCAGCAGCAATGGGGCCGCAGCTTGGTAGGAGGATGTCTCTACGTCGTCCTGAACGACATGCTCAGGGTGTACAGCAAGTCTCGCCGGGTGGCAGCCATGCAGAACCGCAAGGTGAAGAACGTAGATAGGCCCCGACGGAAGAAATAAGTGCATAGAAGCAGGTTAGTTTTTGCAATTTTGTTTTATTCGATTTCTGCGTTGGGCACTGCAGCGAAAGAAAGCATGGGAATGCGCAACAAGGGCGGGCATATGGGATGGGAGTTTTTTTTTTTTTGGACGGAAATGCTACAAATTTGCTATTGCGATTGATCATCTTAAGTATTACGGAGCGTACTCGCTTAAACTAGACTTGGCTTTTGCCTACGAGAAGAGTTTGTTTGCTGCAGAGTTGTATCATTAGTGTATTCTATTCATCCATGTATAAGTTGAGCACATGCGTACGACAGCAAACAGGGTTATGATGGCGCTTTACAATCTTTTTTTACGAAGCAGTCGAAATTGAATTGACACGAAAATATAGTCAAGATATTCTACGTCTCTCATAATGTCTACGTTCAATGTCAATGACGATATCGATATTGACACCGATAGCAATCAAAGAAAAATAGAATATTCCAGCCCCGCGACGCAAGCGCTTTGCCACTTCGGGCCCCACGACAACCCATGACAGCCTAAACTAGGCGATGCACCAGCCGCGGGGTCTTCCCTTCCAGCCAGCCTCTTCCCTCTCTCTCTTTAGACCTCAGCTTTTTTTTTCGCCGATCAGCCTTTTCCTTTGAATTATCGAAGATTCACGAATTCTCTTCTCGGTCCTATATATACCTAAACAAGGCGTTGAAGGCTCAACGTAGCTCTCGCGCTATCACACAGGCATTCATCCTCTGCCGCTGCACCATGGTATGAGAAACTGCGATTTTCCCTCCCCCTCTATTTTTTTTAGAGGGTTGCCGAATCATCCCCCGGCTCGGGGTTTTGATTAATATCATTGCGACATTACATGTACATCGAAGGAATTGGAATCTGCCATTGCTAACATACACTTCAAACTTCCAGGCCGCCCAACAAACCCCCAAGCAGCGCCTCGCGCTCGCCATCTGCGACTTCCTCTCCACCTCCACCACCGACGGCACCCTCACCGCCGAGGACAAGGACTCCATCGACGTGGCCGTCAACTGCATCGCCGAGTCCTTCAAGGTCGACCCCGCCGACGATGCCGCCGTGAAGAGCGCCGTCGGGCCCCAGACCCTGCTCCAGGTCTTTAGCCAATACGACGCCTCCAATTCCTCCTCCTCCTCCTCAGCCAACGCCTCAACTCCCGCGGCAGCAGCAGCATCCTCCGCCTCGACCGCGTCTCCCGCCGCCTCAGCCTCCGTCCCCGAACCCTCCGACGCCCAGAAGAAGGAGGCCGAGTCCCTCAAGTCAAAGGGCAACGCCGCCATGGCCCAGAAGGACTACGCCTCCGCCATCGACCTCTACACCCAGGCCCTCGCCCTGCACCCCTCCAACGCAGTCTTCCTCTCCAACCGCGCCGCCGCCCACTCCGCCGCCCGCGACCACGAATCCGCCCGCGTCGACGCCGAGGCCGCCGTCGCCATCGACCCCACCTACACCAAGGCCTGGTCCCGCCTGGGCCTCGCCCGCTTCGCCCTCGGCGACCCCAAGGGCTCCATGGAGGCCTACCAGAAGGGCATCGAGTACGAGGGCAACGGCGGCTCCGAGCCCATGAAGAAGGGCTTCGAGACGGCCAAGCGCCGCGTCGACGAGGAGCAGCAGGCCCAGGACAACCTCGCCCGCTCTGGCCCCGGTGCCGGTGCCGGCGCCGGCGGCATGCCCGACTTCAGCAACCTCGCTTCCATGTTCGGCGGCGGCGGCGGCGGTGGTGCCGGTGGTGCTGGCGGCATGCCCGACCTCAGCTCCATCATGAGCAACCCCATGTTCGCCAGCATGGCCCAGAACCTCATGAGCAACCCCGACCTCATGAACAACCTGATGAGCAACCCTCGACTTCGTGACATGGCCAGCCAGTTCAGCAACGGCGGTGGCATGCCCGATCTCAGCTCCATAATGTCCGACCCCAACATTGCCGATCTGTAAGTTATTTTTGCAAGAGTTTTCGGAGATGATGATGAGAGACAACCCTTTGCTAATTAATTCCATCACAGGGCCCGAAACATGATGGGCGGCGGCGGCGGCGGTGCTCCTGGCGGTGGTGCCCCTGGTGGCGGTGCTGGCCGGTAAAGAGAGACTGGCTTTCATATAGCAAAGGAGAAGAGTTTTGAGTACAAGGAGAGTGAATGAGCCAGGGTCATGCGTGTGTGGCATCACAGCTGTATGCCCAACAAACAAAAACAGAAACAAAAAGGCCGACGTCCTCGTTTAGATATTACTGAGTTACAGGCGCAATGACCTCAGCGTAGTTAATGAACTGTAAATATAGAGAGCTAAATAGCGCCCTCAATTCTCACTTTTGATTGTCGTAACACTATGGAGCTACCTATTTAATCTCTATTTTTTTAATTTCCACACCCATGTACCAAACGCACACACTGAAAAAAAAAATCTCTGAAGCCTCCGCTTGATAAGATTTTGCATGCTCTCGTACTGCCCTTTCATTATTTCGTCCTCAAGTACGACGGATTGTAATTATGCCGTAAGAGCCATTCTTCGTTATTAAAACAAAACGCCTCCCTAATAATGCACGTCGTAAGATGGTCTAACCGTGCTATAAGATTATCATATCATAACATCTATGCAAACCAAGATAATGTTGCATGAATAGGCGCTTATGCAGCTCCAAGAGCCCCCCCTTTATTATCTGTATTTTCTCTCTTCGCCTGATTTCTCATTCTTGGGTGCTCCGATGGGGCGAGGATCCCTGCAAAACACGGCCTCGGTGGCCACGAAGAGACCCGGCCCGTAGGCGTCGAAGGCCTCTGATGCTTCGACGCGAAGCCATCATGGTTGGCTGATTTTCATTCGCCTTTGGCGGCGGCTGATTTTCGTTGCCAGGAGGGACTGCCGATAGATTGGCAGGTTCCTGTATATCTTTTACGACAGTGGGAGGGATCCTCTCGAGCCTGTCTTCCGTATGCTCTCTTGGGGCTGTAGTTGGAAATATGCCGCATTTGCCGTCGCTAGAGTTACGTGGAGGGATTGGTGGTTGTTTTGCAATCATTGAACCCCTGATGCCAAGTTTGGGGATCAAAGAGGAACCCGGGCTGCCGTGAGCTACTGGGGCAGATACGCGACGCTGGTCCTGTTGGATGAGTTAATCACGCTGAGCTACCACTACAAAACTCTTCATTATACGCACAGATGTGATGCTGCCATCAGCTCTCTTTGCAGGAGACTCGTTGCCCGCGACAGAGCCCGAGGCTGAGGCAGGGGACGGGGGATGGGGCTCGCTCTTTGAATGCACACGACGAGAGTATCGGGGTCGCATGAATGTGACCCCATTGAACTTGGAAGAGTGGCTTGTTGTTGTTGTTGTACCTGTGGTAGATTCCACTACATAAATGTTAGTAACTATAGTGCATATTGCTTGACTAGCTTTATTACCGTTTGCTTTGCCTCCCCCACCCTCTGCAGCTGGCTCGATAGCAGCTTCTTGAGTCCTTTCTGTTATGGGGGACTTTCTCAGCTCATGGTGCTCAGGCACATTCAGGCTGCTCCTAGAGGTAGCAGTATTCGCCTCGGAGAGGCGGCTAGACCTAGTCGACAGGCTCATCGGCGTGTTTGTCATGCCGCGCTCATCCATGATGGATACTTCATCAGACCATCGAAGTTTGCTAGAGTGACCAGTGACCGCCTAAGTCTCGGTTTTCTTGACAGCTGAAGAGGTAGTCTGCTGAGTAGCATCTGTTGTTTTGAATTTAGACTTGGTCATTATTATCGCCCGAGGTGTAAATTCAGGGGCCACAGGATTCAAGCGGGACCCCTAGGAGGACCCGTTAGTATCCTCTGAAGACTTTGAGTCAATGTTATGAATAGTGTCAGAATCTACCTCCTTCTGACGCTTCTTCTGTGTGGATGATTTGCCATCGCTTACCCCCGATACGCTGCTACCCTGACTTTCATCCTGTAGCTCACACGTCTCGGTAGTGGTTCTCTCAGAGCAAGAGTCACTAGCGGTGGTATTTGCGTCGTCGAGCTCGTCTGCGACGTTGGCCTCATCTTGCGGTGTCCAGAAGGTCTGCTTCGACCACAGATATGCGTATCGCCCGTCGGCGGCAACGAGATCACTATGTGAGCCTTGCTCGATGATCTCACCATTTTCAAGAACTACGATACGGTCGGCATTCATAATGGTAGAAAGGCGGTGGCTAAATGAAGAGTGGTCAGAGGAGCAGATGCAGTGCCTTTGGCTGATCACTTACGCTACAACGAGTGTGGTGCGTCCTCGGCAGAGTTTCTCGAGAGAGTTCTGAATCAGCTGTTCAGTCTCCGTATCAACAGCGCTGGTAGCCTCATCCAAAATAACTATATCAGGCTGCCTCAGTATCGCCCGGGCAATTGCCACGCGCTGGAGCTCTCCTCCAGAGAGTTTCCTGACATTATCAGCATAGTGTTAAAAAAGAAAAATTGAAACTAGGTACTCACACTCCACGTTCACCGACGTGCGTCTCGTAACCTATAAGCATCGTGTGAGCATACAAATTATAGGCTGTACATCTGAGGCTATGACATACCATCAGTATAACTCATGATCTTGTCATGGATACTGGCGGCTCGGCACGCTTCGAATACTTGCTCGTCGGTTGCACCGAGTTTGCCGTAGCGCACATTGTTCATAATTGAGTCATCAAAAAGCTCGGGATTTTGATGAACAACGCCAATGTGTTCGCGTAGACTATATATCGCGAGTTAGTGTTGTAAATGGCGGCAGATATTAGAGTTGACATGTACCTGAAGAGCTCAACATCACGAATATCCTGGCCATCTATAGAGATGCTGCCCGATTGGATTTCATAGTTTCGGGACAAAAGCTTCAGTAGTGTGGACTTCCCTGATCCCGTTTTCCCCACAAAGGCCACTGTCGTGCCCGCAGGAATATCTAGGCTGACGGAGTTGATGATACCCCTGGACCCATCATAACTGAAGCGCACGTCATTGAACTTGACCTCTCCAGAGACGAACTTGAATAGCCGCGCCCCCTTTTTACTCTCAACTGAGGGGCTGGTCCTCATGATGGCCAAGAGTCGTTCTGCGCTAATGAGGTTGTCGCTCATGCCTTTGCCGAGGTTGGCGAAAAACTGCAGCGGCGCAGTAAGCTGTGCCCAATACATGAGAAGCATCGCAAACTGCCCCGGCGTCGCTTGTCCACTGTGAATACGAAAGACAGCGAGAAATGCGCTTGCCATGAGGCCTACAGTGAGAACCATAGTCTGGAAGGCAACGGACACAGACCAGCCCATCATATACTGCTGCTCCTTAAGCCATCGTTCAGTCACCGCATCGGCATGTCTATTGTCCTCATAGCCGATCTGATTGAAGGCGCTGGCAGTATGCCACCCATTCAGACCGGAAGTTCGAATTCTACTCTCTTGGTACCAGGCATTTTGACGGCTGCGGGTGGTCGCCCCGGATTCAGCTACGAGGCGAGTTGCAAGTGTCATGAAGACGGTTCCAGTAGCCGCAGTAATTAGGCCTTCGTATGCGCCGAATGTAATGGAAAGATAGACAATAGCGACACACATATCGACCAGCATAGGTGCAGCTTGAAGCAAAATGCTTTCGATTGCATTTGCGATTGCGTTTCCGCCAAAAATGGCACTCTGCAAATCGCTCGTGGACTTGGACTCGTGGAAATCGGCGGATAGGTGCATTATATGAGAATAAGAAGCCCTGGTTAGGGCTTCTTGAGAGTAGTATCTAACAGGTAGCCACAACCATGAGCGGACAAGGTCAATGCCCGATTCGGAAGCCGCCAGTCGAAGAAGCGCAAAGAGTATAACAGCTGTCCAAGGATTGCTAGAAGACTGGCCAAGAGTGTCCATGATGATGCCAGTCTGCCGGGGAATGAGCAGGTGCAGGGCATTCGAGGCGAGCAGGCATAATACAACGCCTACAGCTCGCAGCTGCAAGTTGCGACTTCCCACAGGCCAAATGTAAGGGAGCAAAATCTGAAAGCGTTAGCTCAAAGTCATTCCAGTTAAAGCTCTGGTGAGAATAAAGCTGTAATTAGAAAAGATACATACCGAGAAGCTTTTGACATATTGAAACCAATTTCCCTCTTCTTCCAGTCTCTTCTCCAACTTTGCACGGCCTTCTCTGTGTCGCTTGTACCAGGGGTGCTCAGTGTTGCCGCTAGATGCACTTTCTCTTTGCGCTGTTGAGCCGTAGCTGGAGCTGTTTGCAGGCTCCCCCGAGGTTATCTGAGTTCCGGATTGGTCACCATCGTGTTTTGACAGTAGTGCCTGTCTCTCCTCATCCGACTCCAACGGAATTCGAGACCATAGGCCCAAGCAAGTCCATGACACCAGAGCAGAGAGTGACACAAGTCTGAGGAAGAAGAATGCCATATGGAGGACATCAAAGCGGCTTAATACCATTCGCTTCAGGTGGAAGGCTGTCAAAACTGCGATGGGGAGCTCAAAACACACCGCGAGGAACCATGATCCGCGAAAGGGGTACCACACCACGGCTTCGGACTCAATCAACTGAGTAAACAGCATGCCAAAGACGAGAATGCATGACAGATAGCCGATGAGGGCATGTTCAACGGGAGCAGACCTTGTAATGACGGATTGCGTGCCGAGAAGGATGAGTTGAGCCACATATGTCGACAGGAAACATCCGAGTATGATGGTGACTGTCCGTTGGCTGGGCCGCTCTGGCTGAGCTCCCCGATTCTGCTTGAGAGCCTGCAGAGTGCAGGAGGCCAATAGAGATGCAGCCAAGAAGTAAACGAAGACAGTTGCCGGATACAGGTACTTGAGGGCTACCAGAACCGCGCCCTCGCTGGCCTCAGGGACCATGTTGGGCCAACAGCCAGACGTCGAAGGCCTTGCCCGATGAAAGTGGCCTAGCGCTGTCGCAGATCTAGATCGAGGGTGGGACGAAGATCAAGCTCAGAATGGATGTCGAAAAGGCCGAGCCTGGAACTGGCTGGTGTGGGAGAGACAGGGATCTCCGATCTTGCAGCTGATGTCAACCAGGCTGTGAGAGAGCGAGAAACGCTTGGCTTGGGAGTGGAACGGCGAAGGAGGCCTTGCAAGAGACAGGACAGAGCTAGAGCCGGCGAGAAGGTCTGCAGTAGCGTACCGTGAAACGCACCAGAGCACTGGCTGGTCGAGTACAAGCGACAAGATGCTGCGAGAGAGGCCAATGCTGCGTTGTGATGTTGCCAGGCCGGACTTGTGGTGGGTTGGATTGAGGCTGGAGAGGAAGAGCAGGAGGCGAGGAGGAGGAGGAGGAAGACGGTTTCCACCAGCAGGTCGAGTCTGGTTGTATTTCGTGTAATGGCTGCAGCAAGGGCCGAGGAAGGAGCTTGGCGGACGCGAAGCCAGATGACTGCTGCAACTGCTGCTGCTGCAATTGGCAGAGGAAGAGACGCTCGTGGACTGAGCTGGAGACGCAGGAGGAAGGACAGAGCTAGGCCTGTAGGAATGCAGGTATGTACCTTGCAGGTGAGTTGTTGACCAGCAAAGCCACGAGAAAGCCGCCCAGCCGCCAGCCCAAGCTCCTTATAGGGAGGCTGGACCTGCCTGTTTGAACCACCCAGACTGTCCTGTGCCGGCTCGATTCCTGGCCGTGGCGATGGATGCGTGTCTGTGTCCTGTTCAGCGTCCTTGTTCACCTTGATCGCGTTCATCGGCCCCTGGCAATCGCACCGTCAAGGTTCTCCCGATCCAGCCAGGGATTGGCATGGAGTGGGGAGGAATCGAGGCCTGTCCATGCTTCACGGCTTCAGCGTGCTTTGGCTGCTCAAGCTTGGGTCGCCTTTCTCAAGCCATCGCTCGTGCTTGTGGCTCTGGCTGCGAAGCTACAGTCCGAGGTGGGTGCACCGGCCGCGCTCTGCCACGACTAAGGGCGCCGTTTATTGTTTACATGTAATTTACCTTGCTTTGCATGCAGCAGCGTATGTACTATTGCCAGTATGCACGCCTCTCGCCCGCCTATCACAAACGCCACCACCATTTCTCCCGGACGGCCCGCTAAGCGGCTACCCGAGCGCCCCTACCAGGATGGCTCAAGTACACGAGAATCGCGACAGCTGGATTACAGTTGTAGTGGTTCAACGGTTGGGCTTCTGCTGTGTTGGGTTGATGCATGTTTGTACAGGCGCCTGTTCAGACTTTGCACTATCGGCCCAGCTCTGCATTGCATCACATGCAAGGCCTCAATACCCAACTTTGATGTATGTTCTAGGCATTGGTCCATTTCAAGTGCCGAGCTGAGGGCTAGGCTCTAGCGGCCTTACAGCTCCCTACGGGCAACAAGTGCTGGGCGGGCGGTGTTCACTGCGCGCGCGGTGGCACGGAAGCCGGAAGATCAGCCTGGAAACACATCGCCTACGTGCCTCGCACTCTGCTCCTCAACACCACAGTTTCACCGGCATCAACAGCACTCGGCCCCGAAACTCTAAAGCGCTGCGGCCGCTATTACGAGCAACTGCCTCTCTAGCTCCGGTCGAGTCAGGCTAGGATGTCCTAGTGGCCCATCATCACCGAGACTCCGAACCTTGGGGGCTGGGACAGCACAGAATATCGACCCTTGTCCAAGGCTGTCTTGCAATCAATGCGCTGGGCATGGCAAGAGCGTCTACGGGTGGCCTCCTTGAGAAGCAATTGGAGGACGGAGGGAGCTGGAGGAGCGAAAAATACGGCTTCTTTGGTGACTAGACCATGTCAACATGACAGCTGAGAGGCTGCTAAAGAGAGCAAACAGTCAGAAAATAAATGCCATGCAGGCAATTGGTTGGTCATCTCATCCGGCTCGAGCCCTCACACTATGTTGCTACCTCCTCCTCCTCCTCTTCCTCCTCCTCATCCTCATCATCACACCCAGAGCGTCCGATTCTATCCAGTCGTTACACTTTGCCCGCAGATGAGGAGGGCAGAGCTGGATGCTGATGTATTTATTTGGAGCTGACTCAACCCTTCCAGACAGCTCTTGTCGGATGTGACATCAAGATCTTCCTGCTCCATTTGTGTGCATATGCAAGGCCTCATGGAGGGGCTGTGGTCTGTACTGTAGCTGTGCCTGAGACACGACAGGGGTATGGGTACTGGTACTTGTATGTAAGCTGTCGCCGCAGGGCGCCAACGGCTCTGCATCTGCATCTTCGTCTTCTCTAACGCGAGTCATCGAATCGATGAAAGAGCATCGGGTTCTGATAGCCCACGACTCAGGCAATTCCCAGCTGGCATGGCGGCAAGCACATCACCGAGAGCCACGTTTAGCTGTCCCCGATGATGGTGGGGTGTGATGCCACACCACCACAAGTCCAATGCCTCTTATCACCAGTGCTACCGCACTGCTTGAGGCTGGCAATTTCCGATATACTACACGTCAGTGTCTGTCTACCCGGAGTTGCCAAGCTACTCGATGAGTTCTGGATTCTCGTGTTGGAACTTAGTGCGCTCCATTGTTCCTCCTTTACTTGCACCGCTACTAATGCTGCGGAGTATCAAGTGCCTGCACGAAAGCTATAAGAGCATCGTCTTCGAACTGACTCCCCCTGTTACCAACATGTACTACCTCTATATATCAGTGTCAACGCTGCCTACCTTGGTACTAGGCTAGGTACCTAGGGTCTGCATCCATTTGACAACCTCTTAATGGACGATAACTTTTGGCGTGCTCACTGCGTACGGTGCCCAGTAAAGCACTCCACATATGACTGACACACTCTTTTCCTTTCTCTACCTATCTCCCTTTATTCTCTCATTGTAAGGCAGCGATGCTTGGTACTTTGTCCAACAATAATGAAAGAGATGGCGAGGTAATCCGCATGGGCACAAGACAAGGATACAAAACCCACCACGGAAAACGCACCCGAGTGGCTGGCGACCTGATGTGTCCGTACAAGGCACCGATTTGATGAGCTGCCTCCTCATGGATTCCACGATGCATTGACAATGCATTGCTCCACATACAGCCGCCGTTTTCTCTCTGCTAGTCCTATTCTGCGCCCCAGCTGATGCAGGCTGTTTTCTCCCACGGCGATCCTTCGTTGTCAGTAGGGTGCATGATGGCGTGGGAATCGCCCTGGACCCAACCTGATTCACCATGCAGATACAGGCGCACGACTACGTAAGTAGTACATATTGTTGCATTCAAACTCGGTGATGTTCCTTTGTGCTTAGTAGGACAGCTCAACGGGTACTAGCTATGCATTTCTTTCGCTTGTTGCGTTGACAAGATTGCACGACACAACGGCTCCCCTTACACTCCAAATAAGAAGAGAGCAATCAGTGAACAGCAAGAGATGGGACAAGACTCCATCCCTCCACAACCCACTGAGCGACGGGGGCTCACCGCTATGCGGTTTGGGCACCCAGAGGGTCCTGGCGGGCAGGACAGAGATACCACCGTAGACTTGACACCATTTCCATGAGAGTAGCATCACCTATGTGCACTGTAACACATCCCATGTGACGGGTTTCGGTGACTCCAAGCTAGAGGGAGGGAAGGGCAAATGCTGTTATATCGCCCCGGAGACCGAGATTTCCCTTCAGTGGCACTGCGTTAGTCCTGCTGGTGCTACCCGTTTCTCGATCATCCCATATCTGACTTGTGCGGTCGAGTCCGATGCTGGCACCTTCCAAACATCTGCCTCTTCATTGGTAGAGGACAACCCCGTGCTGGAGCGTTTTTTCCCCTTCTTGTCTTTGGCTTACTGTACTTGTACTTGGTGGGGAGCTGCTTTTTTGATCTTTTAGTGAGGTGCCGGGGTTTGCGTGCCCAACGCTTAGCGATTTGACCCCCCCTTGCAGATACACATCCTTGAATTGTCTCTATCTCCACTCGACACCATCTCTATACCAAGGCAAGTTTTACAGAAAGCCCAAGCGATGTTTTTCATGAATAATTTGCTTTGGCAGGAGAGGGAAGAGGGAAGAGATGAGAGGGCTGCGATCATAATCGGCTTGAGACGGGAGAAAAAAAACACTATGGACTAGTGAATGTTTTAAAGGTTGATGCTGTAGGTATTCCACTAGAGGCAAGCATTACGAAGCAGTAAATATCAGCAAGACCAATAGCATCGGATGAATGCGTAATACAGTAAACTGGTTAAAAGAAATAGAAGACTGTAATAGATAATGAAAATTAGGCTAGCTTGCAGATGAATCTTGTTTCTAATTGAGGCTATATTTAATAATATAATTTAATATTATTATTACTTTATAATAAAATAATATTTAAATTATATATATATTAAATTTTAAAATATTATTAATTATTTTTTAAAATAAAAAACTAATACTTATTTTTAATAAATTATTTTATTAATTTTATAATATTTATAATAATATTTATATTAAAGTATTAAAATTAAATAATATAATAATAATTTTTATATATCAATCAATTTTAATTCCTTTTTTAATATATTTACTTTTTAAAAGTATTACTTTATTTATTATGTAATAAAGTAAAAGGGTGCACTACTGCACTAATAATCAAAATGATTAGCAATACTAGCAACTTATGCTAGTATTCCCTTTGCAACAGCTTACAAGGCTTTGCCTTACAGGCCTTTACAGGTCCTGTTACATTTTCATCCACTTAAATAATCCCTGCGTTTTTTATGGTTATCTTGTGTTGGTTGAAACGACTTCGATTTTAGTCTGGTGGATTCACATTGTACCGTGAACAACAATAGGTAGGACTCACAATGCGGCTTTTCTTATTTCTGGAGGCCCAGGCAACGTGAACTTTTGCGACAATAGGCCCCGCAGTCAATTCAGCTTGCCCAGGGCTCCCGTCTCGAGTTTTCCAATCTCGGTTCACTGTCGTTCGCATTCGATTCTTACCATCACGCCAGGTCTGACGACTTTCGATTCAACTGACCCTTCGTGACATGGCAGACCTCCTGGATTGCCCGCCAGAAATTCTGTGTTCTATCCTTGAGTGTCTACCTGCGCATCATCTTCGCTCTATTTGCCTTGCCAACAAAGGTTTACGCAAAATCGCCGAGCCTCTACTGTACGCTAGGATTGAGTTGGTATGGAACGAAGCTCGAACTCCTCCGATTATCCCGTTCATACGAAGCCTTCAGCGACGGCCTTCGTTGGCTAATCAAGTCCAACATCTTACTCTCAATGCGCGCTGGCGATCACATCTCTATGGGAGAGTTATGATCGAAGATCCGGATGGGTTCAGCTTCCACCAACTCCCTCCCAGCATTTCCGTGGATGGCTCCGAGTTGGCCAGCCTTGTTACGACGATTCAAGACATCAACCCGCCTTTTCGTGACTTATGGATACAAGAGCTCGGAAATGGCGTAATGGATGCCTTTGTTATACTGCTGCTATCATTGATTCCGAATTTAACGCATCTACGTCTGATCGGCGTTTTCGCTCGAGAGACTCGTCTTCTTGGTATGCTGCTGAGAGCTTCCCTCTGTCAGACTTCGCATTGCGAGCTTCCACGATTCCAGTATCTGCAGGAGGTTGATTTTGATCCCGAATTGAACCCTTTTCGAGATTGGCAGACCAAGAATACAGCGGACGTCCTTCCATTACTTTACCTTCCCTCTGTCCAGTCGATAAAATTTGAGGTTGACAACCCTTTCACATTTTCGTGGCCAACACATAGACCCAGCCCATCCAATATCACGGCGTTAGATTTACAGATTTTACGGGAAGGTCTCCTAGGTTGCATTCTTGCTGTAACGGAAAATCTAAAAACGCTTAGGTGGGAATGGGTATATGAGCCAGATTTGAAAAGCGAGTTCAACAATCATGTCATTAATCTTGATCAGATTATCACAGATTTATCGCTTGTTCAAGATACATTGGAAAATCTGCATCTATTGGCCAATGTCGGCCCTGAGGTACCTGATTACCCCGTTCTGGAAATTAAAGGCTCTCTAAGAGGCTTGAAGAACTTCGAAAAAATACAAACATTTGAAGCTCCGCAAGTGTTCTTGGTCGGATTTTCTCCAAACAACAATTTAGGTTGTCTCGAAGATTTACTGCCAAAGAACATCTACCACCTGACCATCAATGATGATCTTTCATGGCTGGAAGAAGTTGTCTGGGAAGACCGCGATCTTTTCGCCATGCTTCAGCGCTGGTGGGAGAATCTTACGCCTTACACTCCTCATTTTCATAGTTTCGAGCTTTCACTTCTGTGCGAAGATAGAGGATGGTGCGCCGAGATCAGAAATGAGCTCTCAGAACTATGTGCTCGACTTGGAATCCGGCTTGATATTTTCAAGAGAAACAAAGACTTTGTTTATACTTCATAGACACAATACTATTAACAAGTAATGACCTCCAAATTCGCATTTTGCTCAAACTAGTCCCATTGAGAGCCTCTACACAAGACTAGCACGTCCGAATTTGATCTATCTTCTTGATGCCACCTGCCAAAGTTTTGAGATCATAGGCCTCTTGTTCGGTCTTGATATTGAGAAAATTAATATTATTCTGAGAGATAAACAAGTCGCAGCCCCAATCATCCTTTTATATGTTAGTTAAACTAGCCACTTAGCATACTAAGGTCTCTTACCTTTTGGTTTGATCCACACGGTGGAATGAAATCAACTTTCTTCTGTCTTCGGTATATGAACCCTGAGAGCGCACGAACATTTGCCTCCTTTAGAGGAGTTGTATGCCCCTGATAATATTGATGAGCACACATAATCTCTCCACAAGAGCCTTTTCGAAAATGGATTTTTTCCTCTCCTGTCTGGTCTTTCCAGACTGCCGTGCAAATAGCGAGACTTTGCTGCACAGGGCTGACGACAAAATCATAGGCGAAAGAAGGTCCCTTTTGCGAGGTTGAAAGGATAACCTCGTTGCCAAATGCGAAGATCGTTATAACACTGGGCAAGCGCTTTTCGTTAAAGTCATATTGCTCCAAATCTACCAACGCTTCCTTCCGAGCATCCTCAACCATTTGCGCTAGCTGGCCATTGGTAATAGAACTGACAGGTTCATTGAACGTGAGATGAGTAGAGAACACCAGATCCTTCGAGCCATGGACAAAGTTGGGAGGTCCACCTTTTGTCCCGAGCGTAGCCATCTCATAGTCGAGACGAAATCCGAGCGGCCCTTTGGGGGGCAATTTTTGGCCAAGTTTAGGCAAATGTATGTTGGCATTCAGCAAGGAGCTGAATAGACAAACGATGAGAAGAAACAGATAGCCATATCGGCTGGGTGATGGAATTCGCATTGCGATTCAACGATTGCTTGCCGGTGTTTATCACAAAACTGGTTGACAAAGTACGAGTCAAATGTCGAGCAAATTCATACTCGCAGAAGTCTAAAAGGGAGAATAAGAAATCAGATATTTCAAGACCGATTGATGAAAATAACAATTTGCATACTGACTAACCCTAGTTCTACTCGTGTCTCGTATTTCATTGACAATAGAAAGCGGCCTTTTCGAGAAAAGATTCATCTAAGCTTTCTCGAAGGTCCGACCAACAGCATGTTTCATGTCGCAACACAGACGGCTAAAGACAATAAGAAAGCCCCATTAATTTTCTAATTTAACTTGTATGAGGCTTTTAGAATACTGTACTGTAAAGGAACGCAAGATTCAAAGGGTTTGATGTGCTTAATGTGCGCCAAATGACTATCAGAGTTTTCGAGGCGATCTCCACTACTTCCTCGGGCAGCCAACCTGGGTTCGGGGTACCCCTGGAGCGTACGGCGGTATAAGTAAATAAACGAATAAATACTTCTTTTATGAAATTTATTGGCAGCATCGTCTGATGAGTGACTGAAATTTTGGAGCTTGATTCTTAGTGACAGGTCACAATGAGACCATCATTATGGTGTTTACTCGCCATGTTACGATATGTTGGCTTAGGAATTGCTACACCTACCCATGGGGCCCCATTCAGCAATGCATCAATATCTTCGAATCCGATTTGGACGCGAGATGATGATTTTGATGAATCTGACCTTTCCTTCATTACAAAACTTGCCGCAGTTGGAGATTCCTACTCGGCCGGCATCGGTGCTGGTGACCGACTTGGGACCATTCTTAACGCTCTAGATCCCCATAGTGGTGTGTTTTTTATTTATTTTTATTCTCAAGAATAGCTGATTTATTGCTAATACTCTGAAAAGACTGGGCTTGCAGTCGCTACGACCACTCGTATCCCTATCTCATCAATACTGACAGCAGGCTGGGAGACCCTTCCACGAGAAAATTCCAGTTTCAGTCTTGCTCTGGAGCGGTCACTTCTGATGTAACAGAAAACCAAATCCCTCGTATTGATTCAAATCAACAGGTCATTTTGCTCTCAGCTGGTAAGCTATCAACTATTTTCCAATCCACAATAAAATATCAGTACTTATCCAGCTCCAAGGTGGAAATGACGCCGAACTCGTGGCTGTTTTGAACCAGTGCATCTTTCAGTGGGCTGTTCTGAACGAGGGCCAAGTCACATTAGCTAAATTGGCAGCGGCGACCAAGAACCTTGATTGGGCTGGTGACTATGACTGGGATGCCTTGGGTCGCGGTTGTGAGGCACAGTTAGAACGCTCACAGACGATCATTAACAGCCAAGAGTTTAGTTCCAGTCTTGATTCTGTTTTGAGTGCAGCAAAGGCGAAACTAGCCCCAGAGTGAGTACTGGACTCGTAGCTGGTTAATATATCGCACATGCTGATAGATTCTTCTGGAAGTGGAATGATATATTACACAGGGCAAGTCTTTCTTCTTTCTTTTTCCCTTCAAAATTAGTTGGAAGCGTGGAAGTGTGGAACTGTATTATTGACGACAGGTTCAGGTACTCCAAGTTCTTTGCTGAGGATTTAAGTTCAGATTGCGATAATGTCAGCTGGTCGACATGGATATATGTAAGTGAACGAACTGAATTTTTCCCGACCAATGCCCAGGACGAGATCTGACTCGAGAGAACAAAATAGAAAGCAGTCAACATATTTCAAGAGGAGCAGTATCTCACTACGGCGCACCGCTCAATGATGAATGATCTTGTTGATGCCATGAACTCCAAATTAGTGCGTGCCATTGTGTCTATAGTACCAAGATTTAGCGTCCTGACGTCTCGATAGGCAGCGGCTGTGCAGAGAGCAGGTCCGATGGTGACATTTGTCAACTATGACCAGTACGTCGGGAAATGGGGTGGGCGATTCTGTGAGGACGGCGTCGACGAGTCCACATCGGAGAGCAATACACGGTAAGGTTTTGCAAAGATCAATGGAAGACGTCTGAAACTGATACAGAGTTAGAACTGGCTTGATGTTTTATGAGCTTAACACCTGGGATCCTTTTGGATCTGCTCCGTGGAAACGCAGCAATGACGACCCTCTGAATGGAACATTCCATGGTGAACAAGAAGTCTTTGCCCAGATCACGCTTCTTCTTGATCCAAAAGCTACATTATCCCAACAAGAGGCTACTAATGCTACCAATACTACTAATGCCGAGTTGAAGCTAGCAATCCAGTCAAACGGGACCAGACCCGTTGAAAATTTTGAAATACCAGAAGTCCAAGTCCCCAACCTTTTGCCTGATGGGTAAGACTACAGACCTGTTGAATACACGATACAATCTACTAACGTTAATCCATTAGTTATGGGCGAGTCTTTCACCCCCAGATCTTGCTTCACCAGATCATTGCCAACCTTGTTATATACCGCATGGTTGAACGGAATGAACTAGCCCATGGAGACCCAGCTATTCCAGAAATGAGAACAATAGACTCATGCGCAATTACTTCACCAGAAGGCGTTGATATTCTGCAATATCGTAATTCTACGCCTGGTGTTCTCGTCAAATCAAGCACAGAGCTCAGAATCCTCTGTGTTGGTGATTCGATTACCGTTGGACTTCTTGACGACAAGAATGGAGGAGACGGCAATGGTTATCGGCTTGAGCTGCGCAATGATCTCTCCAGTAAGAGCTCAAATCTCACATATAGTACGCCATCTTGATACTGACACTGTTGAAGACGACAAGGTTGTTTTTGCTGGTACCGAGACTTCTGATGGTTCAATGAATGATGGATATTTTGTAAGCAACTTATGTGGCCCTGAATTCATCTATATTGGTACAGTCACCTAACATGGCACCTTTATAGGCTGCGTGGTCTGGAAAGACTATCAAGTACATCGCAGATCATGTTGGCCCATCTCTGGAACAGCGGCCAAATATCATTCTTCTCCACGCGGGAACGAATGACATGAATCCAGATAGTACAATATCGACAGAAGGTAATGATCCACAAGGAGCTGCGAATCGTCTCGGTGATCTGGTTGACCAAATGGCTCGCCAATGCCCTGACGCAATCATTCTTGTTGCTATGATTGTCAACACATGCGACCCTAACCAATCCCAACGCACCAAAGAATACCAGGCTCTTGTGCCGGGTGTTGTAAGACAGCGTCGCAACCGTGGCTTGCATGTGATTGCTGTCGACTTCACTACCTTTCCCATCAGCCTTCTCCAAGATTGTATCCATCCCACCAACGATGGATACAAGAAATTTGGTGACTACTGGTATGACTTCATCACTCAGATACCAAAAGATTGGATCAATGATCCCGTTGGATATGATCCGGTTCGAGGCGAAGGGATCAGCGCGAATGGTGGTATTGATACAAATATTTCGCTTCCAGACTGGGGGATCGATCAGGTTAAGCCAGCATCGCCGCTGGTCGTTCAGCTGACATTTGATCTGGCCCCCAAAAATAACGACACTCAATGTAACGCCAACCCTACTTTCAATGCAACTGGCCAGATTTCCCTTGGGGTAGGTCACAATGGAGATTGGAAGTTCCATAAGAATTGGACAGCGGCGGGGAAGCTTGCCGATGGATTTGGACTTGATCCTAGATATGTCAGGTAAGTCCATGCATCCTTGACCAAACGCAATCGATGTTATAGTGCCATCAGCTAACACGAAGCATAGCCTGCACGATATGAATGGTGATGGGAAAGCAGGTGAGTTCTCTTGTGACTGTCCATTTATGTCCTTTACATGTTGCTAAAATTTCCTTGAAGACTACGTTTGGCTGAATCCCCAGACTGGCGAGTTAAGATGCTGGCTAAACAATCTTCCCAAGCCTTGGTCACCAGCTGGAGCCAATAATGGAACCAATAATAGCATTATTTTAGCAGGTGAAGGCCCAGCAAATACGATTTACATTGCGGTAAGCGCCAACTATCGTGTATCTTTTTTTTTTTTTTCTCCCTTATTTGTTTTTTGACGCAAACTGACTTGAATACAGGACATGAATGGAGATGGTGTAAGTTGATTCGCGATATTGGATGCAGTTCCTAAGTAAGCTGACTCTCAATTATAGATGGAAGACTACTTGGTGGTTGACCCGAACACTGGTGGCATCAAAATTTGGTGGAACTACGGTCCTGATACGAGCTGGTTAAACGGATGGAAATTTGTCGAAGGTGGTCAAATAACAGCAGGATTTCCTCATGCCAACCTCGAGACTCTAAGATTTCCAGATATCAATGGTGATGGGAGAGCGGATTACGTCTATATAGGCGAAGGCGGTTCTTTGAGAAACTTTTTGAACATTGGAAGAGTTGGCGAACAATCCGTCTCCTTCTACGACATGGGCGGCATAGCAAGTGGCGCTACGTCAAATATCACCAAATTGGTTTTCGCAGATGTAAGGATTCTCATACCCATCTATCCCCATGCCTCCTCTACGGAGCTACAGCTGATCTTGTTCACAGATGAATGGAGACGGCCGTGATGGTGAGTATGAGAGAAGTGACAACTAATATCAATATCGCTAAGCATCCTGACTAGACTACTTGATATGGGATGATGATGGTGGCCTCACCGGCTTTCTCAACCAGCCCACGCGGGATGAAGGTGTTCCTCTTTATATCAACCAAGGCGCTGCAAAGTCTATTGCGGATGGTTTTTCCCAAGACCCAACATCTATAAGGCTTGCTGACATGGATGGGTAAGTTGATTCCAACAAAGTGTACCCCCGCCCAGCATAAATGCGTGTCAACGGCATTCATATGAACTGAACCTTGCATTTTATAGTGACGGTAAAGACGACTACATCCATATAGATGGCAATGGCGGCCTTACAGTGTGGTATAATCATGGAAGTGGAGACACAAGCATGCTTACCGATAGCATCCACTTCGCGAGGTTCTTTGATGGTGGCGTAAGGATAATCCTTGATCTTACCACTCAGTACGGAAACATTCTGACAGCTTCACAGCCTGAAAATCTTATTTGGCTTGACCCAGACACAGGAGCTCCTTATGTTTAGTAAGTTTTCTTGGTAGAGGTATTATGGCAAGGTAAAAGTGGCCTGCTGACCTTGAGGGCAGCAACAACTCTGGTCCAGCTAACACATATCCTCACGGATATACGTGGACTGCCTTGAACGGCAATAAAACTCTTGCATCTGGAGAAGCTCCGGCGTCAAATGTTCATTTTGGCGATATAGATGGGTATGTTTGTTATTTTCAATACTTGAGGATCCCGATAATGCTAACCCATAGAATAGAGATGGGATAGACGACTATCTTGTTACTGATCCCAAAACAGGAGAGCTCACAGCCTATTTGAACGAGGGGGCTTCCTCGGCAAATCAGGATAACTGGTTATTTAAGCCCATTGGTTCTATTGCTTCAGGCCTCGGTCCTGGCGCCAATGTCCGCTTTGCAGACATCGACGGGGATGGTGTAGGTGTCAATCCAACATGCATTTTCTAACTACATCCACCACCAAACTGAGCTCGCGAGCTAACCATCACCCTTGATAGCGCGACGATTACATCTACCTTCATCCTAATGGAAGCACAACAATATATCGTAACACGTACAGTCGCGATAAACCTGGTCCATATTACGTCGCCATGCCTGAGGCGGACGCTTCCGCAACCCTCCAACGACCCGCGGATATCAGTTTCCATGACATTAATCAGTAAGATATGGTACCACGATTCAATAATTCCCCTCCGTTCTTGCTAATATTTTTTTTTTTTTTAGCGATGGAAGGGCCGATTACGTGTATACAACCGCCGTAACTGGCGAAGTTTTAGTTTGGTTGAACAACTACCCAAACTTACCAACGTGGCTTCCCCAAGGCATGATATATGGCCCTATATCCACTTCTGGACACAACATTAAATTTGGCGAGCTTACAAGCTCGGGATTCCCCGACCTTGTGGCCTTTAACCCGGTTTCGGGGGCGTTTGCGGGGTGGCTCAACATCTGTCCCGATGGTCACAGTTCTCCAAGGCCAAGTCTGCATCTTCCGCCGCCAGGAGCAGCATGTACCCATGATGCCGACTGTAGTCAGTACAATTGTGTCACAGGAGCGCATATTGGATGCGTAATGAAGGGTAATCCTCTTAACCTTTTTAGAAAGGGGACATGCGAGTGTTTGTCTGATACATCTGTGCCTGCCATGAAGGCGAACGGTAAACTATCTGTAGAACAAGCATAGTTAGTGAGTTTATCTTGTAATAGCATGTTGATAAGATTGAGGCTCCTTACCAACAATGGTGGGCATGGTTGATTCGACACGTGAAATAATTGTCTAGCTTCATGATCAGTAGTTGAGGAACGCTGGTTTACTTTTTATTGTATCTAATAGCAAAGGATCAACAGATAAGTAATGCTATTGATAGGGGCTTGGTATCTATAATAGATAGCAGCTACAGCAGATGCTGGGTACATGCCAGTTATCTACTTGATGTGTGTAATACTAGATGTCAATATACAACCAGAAATGCCACGCAGTAGGCGGATACTAAACTTAGCTTGAAGCCAATCTCTGTGGTTATAAATATAATGCAGTGTTATTGAAGTTGAAATCGATAATACTCGAACTTACTCGGCTACTACTACTATTAACGTATTATCTAACTGAGATATTGCGGGTTGCATATAACCTTGGTGCCACTCAAGCACACTTTAGAGACGGAGATTTGTAACAGGTGTAGTGCTATCGAAGCATTCTCTTATAGTCAGCTTCAAAAATTGGTCAATTTGTTTATTCAATGCAGTTTTTACATAATACATCAACTGGCCGCTATACACAGTTTCAGATCTTTGAGGTCACTTTGCCGTGTGCTATTCAGTAGCTGATACTGCGAGTGTTGAATATCATTGTGCTTGTGATTCCTATTTAACTTATCTACAATGGTTGAACGCCACTCTTAGCGAGTCTTGGACAATTGGTATATGGGTCCCTGGGAAACAGTATTGTAATACATACATGTACCCAGTTAATGTCGAGTGATTGCCACTTTGAATGTCTCTCCGAGCTACATTTCAAGATGTGTAGTATAAATAAGCCCTAAATGTAAAATTTCATCAGTCCAAAATGCATTCATATCGCAAAGAATAAACCGATACGCCGGCTGTTGCCATGCTTGGACCCCCCCTCGAAGCCTTCGACCCTGAGCAAAGCATGTGCTGCCGGCAAGAATAGAGTTTGCTGATAACAATTTCAGAGACATTCCCCGCAAGATTCCTCAAGTCGTATGATCGGTGCAAGCATCTCCGCTGACCAAAGATTGACAGTTGACTCGTTGTATATACCGCCTGAGCAGGCATCTGCATTTTTGAAAGACATTTCACGGCGAAATCGGCGGTAAATGTGGATCAGTCAGTCAGCCGATCAAAATTGATCGCAAGGACAAATGGTCTCGAACTTGAGATGGCCGGGAATACAGCCTGGCCTGTTGTCCCTTTTTGCTTTTTGCCGATGTAGGCAGGTCTCGCGAATATGAGGTCCTCTGGGAAAAGTGTGGAGATGCGAGCCAGATGCCCTCATGATAGCAATCCAGTAATGGAGTATGTATAGAGTTTTCTCGCTTAGCTTAGTAAAAGCAGAGCCGATTATGGTTATCATTACCAAGATCCGCTCAGGAACAAATGATCAACCACGCGATAACAAGATCTAAGATGGATAGTCCACAGAATTTTAGCACCACTTTCTGCTCCTCTTCTTCCGTTGCTTCAAATCTCATTTTTCATCTTCCCAAATGAGCAACCGTGTCCGCCATCTAAGATTTAGATTCGCCCACGCTGGGAGCAAAACCTGGGGATATCCCATTTTGGAAGTCTCCGGCGGCGCTAGCCTTTAGCTGACACCAAACGTGGAAATCCCGCCGCGGCCAGTTCCACCAGGATCCAGCTTTTTGTCCATCGCACAACCTGTAAACCCGCACATGGCGATGATTATTGAGGGGGTGGAGGATCTTGTGGAATGACGTAAAAAGATGGTCTGGAAAAAATGGAAGCAGGTCTGGGGATGGGGATGGGATACTTAAGGCGAACGGTATCCTCATCAGGGACGATGAATCTTCTTCATCCAAGAGACGTTCAAGATCAAACATATACGACAAGAACGTCTATAAAAAGTGCGAGCGCCATTCTTTGTAAACGATCGTCACTGATATCCAAACCACGTCTCGCCTGAGAGAATATACTTGCTCTTTTGCCTGCCGGGCGTCTTCCATATATTATATCATTTCCATCTTCCATAATGGCACCAACAGCAATTGCTGATCTCGGCGAGACAGTCGCCTACTCTGTCGGCCAGAAACTGGAAAATCTCTCCGATGAAATTGACGAGGTCAACTCCATCAAGTACGATTCAGAATCCAAGTTCGATGCCAAAAAAGACAAGGCAAACTTCCGCCAGTATGAGGACGCCTGCGACCGGGTCAAGAACTTTTACAAGGAGCAGCACCAGAAGCAGACAGTCGCTTACAACCTTGCTGCTCGCAACCGCTTCCACAGCGCGTCTCGGGTCCGCCCTGAGATGACTATTTGGGAGGCCATGGAGAAGCTCAACACTCTTATTGATGAGTCCGACCCTGACACGTCACTGTCTCAGATTGAGCACTTGCTTCAGTCTGCAGAGGCGATTCGTCGCGATGGCAAGCCACGTTGGATGCAGGTCACCGGTCTGATACATGACCTCGGCAAGCTCATGCTTTTCTTTGAAGAGCTTGGCACTCAGGGCCAATGGGATGTCGTTGGCGACACTTTCCCCGTGGGCTGTGCCTTTGATAAGCGCATCATTTTGCCGGCTACTTTCGCCAGCAACCCTGACACAAAGGACCCTGTGTACTCGACCAAACATGGCATTTACTCTCCTGGCTGTGGCCTTGACAATATGATGCTCAGCTGGGGCCACGATGAGTATCTGTACCATGTTGTCCGTGACCAGTCGACTTTGCCGGACGAGGCACTCGCCATGATCCGCTATCACTCATTCTATCCCTGGCACCGCGAGGGAGCTTACCAGGAGTTTATGTGCGAGAAAGACTGGAAGATGCTCAAGGCCGTCCAAGCTTTCAACCCGTATGACCTGTACAGCAAGAGTGATGGCGTCCCCAGTGTGGAGGAGCTTAAGCCATACTATATGGGGCTGATTGATGAATTTTTCCCTCAAAAGGTGATCAAGTGGTAAAATAAACATCGGGATTGTGATTAAGCGGGCGTTATAATGGATTGAGCATTGTTTTTTGCTGTTGTATGATAATGGATCAAGGAGCGGGGAATTTGATAGAGGGCTTCAGCTTTTGCTAGCGCACAACGAGAATCGACCAAAATGAATGTTGGACTTTTGAATATGTTGAGCTTGTGATGAACTACGCGAGAAGAAGATAAAAGACATGTCTCTGTTCGACATTGCATGCTGTACTTCTGTCCTCTGAAGCATTCGCCCTACTCGGCGTAGTATTGAAGCTTGTGTCCTGCTCGAATGTATGCTCGTCTTTCATAGGGCAACGCGTATGATTAATGACCATTTAAGAAAGATTCTCAAGAGCAAAATCGTCCAGAGCAATATTTTCGAGGAATCTAAGCATCGCCGCGGAATAATGAAGGTTGAGGCTTGAGATACACGCACATATATTGGACATCACGTGGTAGGTGGCCCGGCTGCTACGCTTTCCAGGTACAAGGCCAAAGTACCTCTGGCTAGCTCCTTGGGGAGCTCCAGCCGTTACCTCAGCGCCGCCTCGCCTGCTAAGCTGTCGTCACTGGCCGCCGAGCCACTTTGCGCTGGTCTTTTGCCTTGCCTCGCTCACTCAACTCACACGATCCGAACGACTCGCCATTCCAAACCGGCGCAATTGCCACGCTCTGTTGCTCGTCAATGCCTAGTTGAAGCCTCGGTTCCAGCCGCAAGCATCGCCCCAAAGCTACCCCGCCGCCTGCCGCACCGCATCGACAATGGCCACGCCGGCCCCCCTGGAGGATCAGGCTCGCCTGCTGGAGGATGCCCTGGTCGCCGTGCGCCAGCAGACATCGCTTATGCGGAAATGCCTCGATACGCCCGGAAAGCTCATGGACGCTCTGAAGTGCTGGTATGTGCCGCTGCTGCGCCGTTGCGACGCCCGCGGCTTTGAACGAGGGACATATCTGGGGAGAGAGAAACGAAAGAGGCTGACGCAAGCATGTTGTTGATTTTGTAGCTCGACACTGGTCTCCGAGCTCCGGACGAGCAGCCTTGGCCCGAAGCAGTATTATGAACTCTACATGGCCATATTCGACGCTCTGCGCTTCCTGGCGGTCCATCTGCGAGAGAACCATCCTGTTAACCACTTGGCCGATCTCTACGAATTGGTTCAATATGCCGGAAACATTATCCCGAGGCTGTATCTCATGGTCACTGTCGGAACGGCATACATGTCCATACCTGAAGCGCCGGTAAAGGAGCTCATGAAGGATATGATGGATATGAGCCGCGGTGTTCAGCACCCTATTCGCGGACTGTTCCTCCGATATTACATGTCTGGGCAAGCTAGAGACTTTCTCCCCACTGGCACCGGCGACGGCCCAGAGGGCAACCTGAACGACTCGATCAACTTCATCCTAACCAACTTTGTGGAAATGAACAAATTATGGGTTCGTTTACAGCACCAAGGACACTCGCGCGAGAGAGAGCAGAGGATCCGGGAAAGGCAGGAGCTACAGCTTCTTGTGGGAAGCAACATTGTCCGCCTGAGCCAGCTGGTTGATCTGGAGGCCTACAAGACTGGCATTCTTGCGCCTCTATTGGAGCAGGTTGTGCAATGCCGAGACGTTTTGGCCCAGGAGTACCTTTTGGAGGTCATCACACAGGTCTTCCCCGACGAGTTCCACCTACACACCCTGGACCAGTTCCTCGGCGCCGTATCGAGACTAAACCCCCACGTGAATGTCAAAGCTATTGTTATTGGTCTCATGGACCGTCTATCCGAATATGCTGAACGTGAGGGGGCCAGTGAGAAGGGACCTGATCAGGAGAAGGCTGAGGCCGAGGCATTGGCCAATCTACTTGAGAAAGTGCAGCTTCAAAAGGAGGCCGAGCCGCCAGTCACTCAGCCAGCCCCTGAACAACCGTCTGTCGAGGAGTCAAGCGACAAGGTCACCGAGGAGGCTGATCAGGAACAAGTACCAGAGGAAGGTGAAGCAGCAGCAGCAGCCGAGCCCGTATCTAGCGAAACGGATACTGCCGCTCCGGCAGATGAGACAGCGCCCTCAGTTGCCGAGACGGAAACAACGGCAGTCAATGGACAAGAGGGCGAGACTTCCAAGGACGTACAGCTCTACGAAGTCTTCTTCACACAGGTCAAGAATCTTGTTGAAGCTCAGCATCTCCCCATCCAAGATACCATTGCGCTGTTGGTATCCCTCTGTAACTTGGCGCTGAACAACTATCCAGAGCGCCTTGACTATGTGGATCAGATTTTGGCTTACGCCACGGCGAAGACGAAAGAGAACATCAACAATGCCGATCTTCACTCCGCTCAGGCTCAGCAGAGCCTCCTTGCTCTACTGCAGGCACCTCTCAACCGCTACGTATCAATATTCACCGCTTTATCTCTTCCAACATACGTGCCTCTGTTCCAAGCTCAGTCATACCCAACTCGCCGCGCTGTTGCTGGTGGTATCATCCGCGGCCTTTTGAAAGACCAGACCAAGATTTCCAAAACGAGCCAGCTGGAACATGTGCTCGATGTTCTATCGGTACTTATCAAGGAGGGAACACAATCACCACAAGGCTACGCCGGAGCTACTCAGCGACGAGCCGTGGAGACCGATGAGACTCTTGAGGAGCAAGGATGGCTAGCAAGAATGGTGCACCTGCTGCAGGGCGAGGACAATGATACGCAGTTCAAGCTCTTGCAGCTGACACGCAAAGCATTTTCGGATGGCAACGATCGCATTCGAACAACCACGCCACCGCTGATAACAGCATGCTTGAAGCTGGCCAGGAAGTTCAAGACTCGGGAGCATTTTGATGACAACTGGGAGACGCAGATTAATGCCCTCTTCAAATTCATCCACTCTGCGATTAGCACGCTTTACACCCGTGTAACCGGTACAGGCGTGGCTGAGCTGGCTCTGCGTTTGTTCTGTTCTGCGGGACAGACTGCAGACCTGACCGGATTTGAGGAAGTGGCATATGAGTTTTATGCGCAGGCATTTACAGCTTACGAGGAGTCCATTTCTGACTCCAAAGCCCAGTTTCAGGCTGTCTGTGTCATTGCCAGCTCACTTCACCAAACCCGCGGCTTTGGCAAGGAGAATTACGACACGTTAATCACCAAGTGCGCACAGCACGGCAGCAAACTGCTGCGGAAACCAGATCAATGCCGAGCAGTGTACCTGGCCAGTCATCTGTGGTGGGCAACTCCCGTTGCTGTGAATGGCGAAACAGAAGAGACAGAGGTAAGATATTATACAGAGAAATGAAAGCGTGCCATGTACTAACTTGCTTTAACTAACAGCTCTACCGTGACGGCAAGCGAGTTCTGGAGTGCTTACAACGGGCTCTTCGTGTGGCCGATTCGTGCATGGAGACGGCGACGTCGATTGAACTCTTTGTTGAGATTTTGGACCGCTACGTCTACTACTTTGATCAACAGAATGAAGCAGTATGTTTTTTCTAGTTTTCCCTATCAGCTATTGAGCTAACACTTTCTTTTCTAATAGGTGACCACGAAGTACTTGAATGGTCTTATCGAGTTGATCCACTCAAATCTGGCAGGCAATCAGCAAGAGTCGGCTTCAATCGAAACCAGCAAGAAACACTTTCATCAAACTCTTGAGAATATCAAATCCAGGCAGTATGAGGGAGTTGTTTTATACCCAAGTTAGGAATGGGGTCTCTTCTCCGCGAAAGCCGCAGGGATGCTTTAATGATTCTGCGATACACCACAATATTCAAGAATAAAGAAGGCTCTTGGGAAGGGGGTAAGCAAAGGCGCCTGGGACGAAAGAGAAGAGCGCATAGATGTTTTAATGCAGCACCAAGAAGCAGCCGGAGCAAATGAGACATGGCACGACAATTGATGTATTTTTATTCGATTACATATTACGCTTTTTGGTCGCAAAGGGCACTTTTTTGGCTGTTGAAAACCCGGTGAAGGGAGAAACGTTAGAAATAGTTGGGGAGTAGATGGTTCGAATGCGGTCTTTAAACTCTTTGTTACGATCACCTAGAACATTATTTGCGGTATCCATTGTCTATACAGGCGGCACTCCAGACAGCAGTGATCGAGGTACTAAACACATGTCTAACACTTCATTCCTGCGGAATACGACGGTGGAGCTGGAGATGGACTTGGTGGCGCCATTAGCTCCGTACCCCGATGCGCAATTCGAGGTGTTATTGCTGCCAGGCCAGGGTCACCGATCTTGGCGGCTGCTTTTATTAGTGGGAGTCTGACTGTGCTGTACGAGTACGTGTATTGCAGTGTTGACAGATCGCGTGGCAGATTTGGCATCCATGACTGATCAGCATGGCGAGCGGGCTCTTTTGAGCCAAGGGTCCTGGTGGCGGGATGGTGATTTGATGGACAGCAGAATCGCCCATCTTAATACTACCAGGGCTCACCATGTACTAAGCTGTAAAAACATTTTGCTAGATAATTGCTCGTAAAGTTATGCCAGTAGTTATTATATCTTGCTCGTTATAGAGCATGTCGCCCTCTCTACGGCCATCTCGAATCTCTCAGCACAAAAGTCCGCTTTCTGCAATGGTGGCGTTCCCAACTTGGCCAAACGGATTGCCAAGCGCGGATTTTAATGTAACCCGTCACGTTTCGAAGGCCAATTTATAGGGGCGGAGTCTTCAGGGAGGGAGATGCGGCCAATACCTGCTAGACTCCAGCAATTAAGCACCACTGCTAGCAGCCATTTCTTCTCTGGCGCGCGGTGCCCATTATTGAATGAACCAATTTTACTCCGCATTGTTGTTGGGGCCCTTTTGCGTTGTGCATGTCTTCCCCAGTAGGCGGTGCAGCTGCAGTTCTGATTTCTGAAGCACAGCGGAGCCCCCGGCTTTCCAGCATCGTCATCCCTTATCTCCCATCTGGCTGGGCCTCGTAAGCCGCCATCGCCTCTTCGTTCTTCCATCTCCAACCAGCGGCTTTCGACCTTCCAGCAGTGGCTGCGCGACCGTCTTCAGCCTTGCTCGCCCTTTTTTCTTGGACATGCGCCATTCTTGACCGGGCTTTTTATTCTTCGACTCCGTTTTACTTCTTCGCATTCTTTACTACGCCTCTCCACACCTTTGCTTGACCATTCCAACTTACGCTCTCTCTCTCATTCTCGACACTCGTTTTCGTTTGATTTGCCCGCTTTAGCCCGACTAGAACCCTTCGATCTGAATGGCCACCCCGACATCGCGTGCTCCTTCATATCCATTCCAGCTCGCCTAAACTGTAGACGACAATCCGCGGATGAGTGCGCAACCGTGCTCGTGTACGATATTTTCTTTCCTTTATTCTTCGTCCTAACTTAGCCCACCATGCCTTCGGAAAAGGTACCGTTCTACGACCCGGTGCCGCCGACGTACGATGAGGCACTGGCCGGTAGCAGTCGTAACTGGATGCCGCCACCACCCACGAGAGATCCCATCGACGAGCGCAACGCGACCGAGATCGAATCGCAATCACTACTGCCGCGCTCCGGCGAAAACTCACAAGGCTCTAGACGGCCTAATGGCTACCGCCCGCCGACGGTAGAATCAGACGAGGAGGATGACCTATGGAACAGCGACAGCGATGCCGACGAGACGAATCAGGTGCGCCGCGAGATGGAGGAGCTGGAGATTGAGGAGCCAAATCGCACAGGAGGAAGTTCATTATGGGGGAAGCGGATAGGGTTCAAGCTGTCGCTGCCGGCGTGGAAATGGTCGTGGCGGTTAAGGATGCCTCGGTTCCGCATCCAGCTGCCGCAGCGGGCGTCGCCATCGGCGAGCTCGTCTCCCGACGACGAGGCGGTCGACACGGACGATCTCGATAATGTGAGGTCATGGATGCAAGATTTCGCCTTCCCCAAGGTCAACAGCATGATGGTGCTGGTCACGTTTGCGCGGCTATTGGCGCTCGCCATCGTCATCGGCTTCATGTACTTCCTCTTTGCGAGCGGCATGCTGACCGGCCTGACGAATGGCGTCAACAACGGAGGCCTGCGCTTCGACCCGGAGGACCTTCGAGTCCACTTACAGCGAACCGTCGATCCCAGGAGAATGCGCGCCGCCGTAAAGATCTTTTCGAGCTACGCACATATTGCCGGCACCGAGGGCGACTATGCGACGGCACTCGATGTGGAGGCAATGTTCAACAAGGCTGGGCTGGATGTGGTGCAAAAGGACGACTACTACGTATATCTCAACTACCCGCGCGAAGACGGCCGAGCCGTGCAGATTATGGACGACAAGGGCGAGAATGCGATTTGGACGGCTGCGCTGGAGGAAGTTGAACGTGGCGGAGAGACGGCTGGGAAACAGACCCCGGCGTTTCACGGACACTCCAAGGCTGGCGATGTTAAAGGCCCGCTGATTTACGCAAATTACGGATCAAGGGAAGACTATCAGAAGATTAAGGATATGGGTATCAAGACAGAAGGAGCGATTGCTCTTGTTAGATACTACGGCACGCAGACGGATCGAGCCCTGAAAGTCAAGGGAGCCGAGTTGGCGGGCTTCGCAGGATGTATAATTTATAGCGATCCTGCAGATGACGGCTTCCTCAAGGGTGATGTCGCCCCTGGTGGGCGGTATATGCCGGAGGATGGCGTTCAGAGAGGCGCCGTTAGTCTGATGAGCTGGGTCGTTGGCGATGTCCTGACACCAGGCTGGGAGAGTAAGAAAGAGGTGCCTCGCGTCAAGCTGAGCGAAGCAAAGGGACTTGTTCAGATTCCTAGTCTTCCGCTTGCCTGGAGAGACGCCCAGATTCTGTTACAGCACCTCCAAGGTTTCGGACAAAAAGTACCGGATGCCTGGAAGGGCGGCGTTCCTGAAGTGGGCGAGTGGTGGACCGGAAACTCTTCGTCGCCGATTGTTCGTCTGAAGAATGAGCAGGATGAAAATGAGAAGCAGCCCATTTGGAACGTGTACGGAAAGATTACAGGTATGGAGCAGTCGGCGAAATCGATCATCCTGGGTAACCACCGAGATGCGTGGTCGTTTGGTGCGACGGATCCGCACACGGGCACGGCCATCATGATTGAAATGGCACGCATCTTTGGCGACCTGGTTGGCCGGGGCTGGAGACCTCTTCGTTCTATCGAGTTTATGTCGTGGGATGCCGAGGAGTATAACCTCATCGGATCTACCGAGTTTGTCGAGAAGAATGTGGATTCCCTGCGTGAGAATGCCTTTGCCTACATCAACTTGGATACTGTTGTATCGGGGCCTGAATTCCGCGCCTCGGGCTCTCCTCCGCTTCAAAAGAGCCTGTTTCGCGCCATGAACCGAGTGACTGACCCGAACTTCAACACGACTCTCAAGGATCTTTGGGACCGCCGCGGTGCTAAACTTGAGGGCTTGGGAGCAGGTAGCGATTACGTCGCTTTCCAGGATATTGCCGGGACGAGCTCGATTGACCTGGAGTTTGGCGGCGAGCCATTCCCTTACCACTCCAGCTACGACAATTTTGAACTGATGGAGCAGGTCATTGATCCCGACTTTACGTATCACGGTTTACTGGCTCAAGTTGTCGGCCTCCTCCTCCTCGACCTGGCTGATAGACCTATTCTTCCCTTTGACATGGTCAACTACGGCCGAAATCTCCAGGCCTGGATCGGCGATCTGGAATCGTGGGCGAAGAAGGAGGAAGAGAAGAAGAATAAGAAGGATGTTTTGAAATTCGAAGACCTCAAGGATGCGGCCGCTACGGTCTCTGCAAAGGCAGAGCAATTCTCGAAATGGGAGGCTGAGTGGGACCGCATGGTCCACAGAAGCGGAGGGTGGGAGACGCAAGAGCTGGGCGGAAAGCGGATTGCGTATAACAACAAGATGGGTTACTTTGAGTCGATGCTGTTGGACTTGGAGTTTGGCGGCGGTGTAAGTGCTCTTCTTTTTCCTGGTTACTTGTTCTATTTACTAACAGCCATGCTTTTAGATCCCTAATCGCACACAGTTCAAGCACGTCGTGTATGGCCCGCAACTGTGGTCTGGCTACGACGAGGCCTTTTTCCCTGCGATCCGCGACCTTGTCGATGCGGAGCTGTGGGATGGGGCCAACTCTTATATCAACAAGACGGCGACTCTGATAATGGAAGCAGCATCGATTTTGGTGATATAACGAACGATTATTCTACTTACTGCGCCATTTTCCTTTTTTAATCTCCTGTCTTATGCGGATCTTCTCGATTTCCAGCGAGGTGCTTATGCCACGCATATCCATTCATCGAAAAACTACGCCCACCAACACCCGATTTCATTGAACTTCTACATATCATACATATCATTATACATGACGCATATATCCAACCACTTGTTGACATACATAATTCCCCAAACTTTTTATGACAGACAGAAGCCCCCAAAGAGAGGAGCACAGGAGCTTTGGGATGGGGATTATTGGGAAGAAGGATAGATGGGGTTTTTGGGAGGGGATATGCTGCTTCTTTTTGCTTTGTCTATTATTAACCCAAGCCTTCCTGCGGCTGCTTTTACTAGCTTTTTTTTTTCCTTTTGTCATCTTTTGAATAAGGACTCGTAACTTCTTGCGTGGAAGGAGTGTTGCAAAAAGGGATTGTCGGATCTTGGGGTTCAGGGGCATGGAACTCCTGAACCTTTTTTTCTTTGTTTTGTTTTGTCTGTGTCTTTTTTTTTTTTTGAGAATCCTTTCTCGTAGCTGAGAAACGGCATGGCAATGGAGTTTATTGGAATCCGCGAATTGTACTCTTTTTTATAACATGTTTATTTGTTAAAGTCGAAAGCAAAAATAGGGCTCAGCTATCTATATCCCAAAAATATCCATCTTTGAAACAAATAGAATCCTTGCTTGTCTTATTTTCATGTGCTCTCTCTTTGACTATGCAGGTGTATGGTATCCAGTTTGATATCAGAATTGTTTCCATTGTGCAAAACTACAGTGCTCACTTAATATACGTAAATCCAAAAAAATCACTCCTTGCTGTTCAGCGCCTCAAACTCCTTCATCGACACAAACTTGCCAATCACATCATACTTTTCCGTAAAGCGCTCCTCCCAGCCCCTCAGCGCCTCCATCTCCTCCGCGCCCAGATCCGCCAGCGTGTCCAGCGGCCCGTCCAGGTCCTTTGTCAGCATGTCTTCGTCGAAGCTGCCGCACGCCAAGCCGCGGCTGGCGTCCCTGCCCGCAAAGTTTGCGTAAGGGCCGCCGGGGCCGTAGAAATTGCGGCCGCGCGAGACGTCGTAGACGGCGCCGCGGATGGCCATGAAGACGGGGGCGTTGTCGACGCCGTTGAAGGGCAGGAGGGTGTGCGGGTTGTAGATTTTGAAGACGGTGGGAGGGGGCGGCTTGGGGAGTTGCGGGGCGGCGGATTTGGAGAAGAAGGTTGTGTAGGCTGTGTAGAGGATGATGGAGACGAGGAGGATGTTGAGGGGCGAGACGAGGCTGGCGCTGGAGGGAGTTAGCTGAGGTTCGATGAAGGTATATATATATATCAATGAGGTGATTTACCTGGCGACGTCTTTGGCGGCCTCGTCGTTCATGCGGTGCTCGACGTATTCCATGGCGATGGTGATGCGAGATGTGTGGTTCTGGCGCAAAGCAAGATGGATGGAAAGCTAGGCTATCGCGGAATTCGATCCGGTAGAGGATATGGGGGGGATGCGAGCTTAATAGTAGCACTAGAGCAAAGGAGCCCGCTGGTCGGGGACTGTTATGCCTCGGAGCGGCAAAGATGGAGCTGCCTAGGTATAAATGGAAGTGGGAAGAGTTGATGGCCCCGCCAGTGCGGATTTGATTGCTCGGGGTTGTCATTTGCGGGCTGTGAGATGGATTGGACGGCAAAAGCTCGGCGAGGTGTGAGCAGGAATGAGAGAATTCCATGCGCTTCTATTGTCATGCATCGATGGGTGCTATTGTCTGACGAGAGATTAATTTCAGGCATTAGAAGTGGTATTACGAAGAAGACTGTTTTTTGTATAGTAGATGACATGATCATATTGTTCACATCTCATCTTCAACGTAATTACATGTTCTACGCTGCGGCTTACAAGCCTTACTGCTGTATGAATGTGTATATGTATCTTGCATTCCCCATGAATGAATGTATACGCGCACATATGAGGGATGTACGTTACCCCAATGTCTCGGTCATCGGAATCGCCAAGTGCAAGAGAAAAATACGAATAAAAAAAATAAATACATGTTTGATACAAAATTCTGCAATTCTAGTAATAGAATGTCAAAAAAAGAATGAACACGTGGAGACAGAGGGATTTGAACCCCCGACCTTTTACAGGCTTGTATTGAATGAACAATGCAAAGCAAACGTGATACCCCTACACCATATCCCCTTTGTTGAGATTTAGTGGGATCTAATGCACTATATAATGCCAACGTGTGGGACAAGCATTTTAGCGGCTGGAGGTGCACTTGGAGCTTGTCTAATCGCGTACCCTAGAAAGAGATGTAACATTAAAAAGTGTTGAAACAGAATAAGTATATATGCTTCAAGGAAGATGATATTGTAGTTTCAGGGCGTCTTTTTAGCAATACATGTCTAAATATTGGTTTCATATTTAACCAGTAGAATAGTGCTCCAACAGTGCATGCAATTGAGCTATGACTTCACTCTAGCTGCAACAGCATGATTAAATCCTCAACGTTTACACAACTGTTTGTTTATCTATAACAATTCTTCGTTTCTATCAAGTCATCAAAAGTCTCTCACGCATTAACCCTCTTGTAAAAGATCCGTGCCGCCTCCTCAAAAACCGCCTTCACCTTTGCCGCATCCAGCTTCTCGACCCGACTCTGCGTGTAAAGCCCATTCGTCTCCTGCTCGATATCCGTCCTAACAATCACATTCAATCAGCATCAGCATGCACTTATACATGTTTATAGGCATCGATTCAAGACTCACAATTGTGTCCAAACAAACCCGCAGCAATGCCCGCCTCCAGCAACGCCCCTGACCATCCTCTCTATCCTCTTCAAGAGGTCCTCTGGATCCGTGGCGGTGGTGTAGCCCCAGTCGCGAGACGCTTCCTCGCCATCGGCATCCTTGTTGGCCAGCGCAATGTTGATTCCGCCAAGCTCGGTGCAGATGATGGGCGCCGTCGGGCTGTGGCGAGCGCCGGCGTCGACGTTTGCGATTTCGCCGACAAACATGTTGCGCCCGGCTTTGGGGCCGAGAATGGCGTCGAGGCTTGCGCAAGTCTTTTCCAGCTCGGGGGCGTCGCTGTAGTCGTGGAAGGTGGTGAGGTCGGTGCAGACGTGTTCCCAGCCGCAGTTGTCGTTGATGCTGCGTGTGGGATCCAGAGTCCTAGAATATCATGAGTATGAGACAGTCATAAGAAATGCATGAAGGATCAACTCACTTGGTCAAATAGTATAGAGCCCGAATGTGGTTGCGCTGCTCGACGTCGTCCTTGAGCGACGTATACGCCCAGCTCTCATTCACCAGCGTCCAAGTCACCACCGACGGATGGTTGATTGCCAGCTTGACCGATTCCGTCCATTCCTGGTTGAACCGATCGACATATTCGCGGCTGAACTGGTAGGCACTCGCCATCTCGCCCCAGACCAGATATCCCTTGCGGTCTGCCCAGTAGTAGAAGCGCGGATCCTCCACCTTTTGATGCTTTCGACACCCGTTGAAGCCCATCTTCTTGGCGCAGTCAATGTCCACCTCCAAACTGTCAGAGGATTCGGGGGTCAGGAAGGAGTTTGGCCAGTAGCCTTGGTCCAGGTTCAGCATCTGGAAGTAAGGAGCGTCGTTGAGCCGCCACAGACCGTCGGACCACTTGATTGACCGCATGCCCGTGATTGTCTTGATTTCGTCCACCTGCCTTCCCGAGAAGGAGTCGAAGAGCCTGACCGAGAGGTCGTACAGCTGGGGATGCTCCGGCGACCAGAGAGCGACGCCGTCCCGCCAGCAGGAAGAATCATCCAAAGGTGCACTTTGGAGTACCGACTCGGCGAGGCCAGAAATGTTTTGCTCTGACAGACGGGCGCTCAGACTAAACTTGCCCGATGCCTCCTTGACGTCCACCCGGGGGGACTTGGAGACCAGCTGGCCTGCAAAGCTGACGTCTGCCTCAACGACATATCGGTGGCCCGCCTGCAAGCCCTGTGCCGCAATGTCGAAATGGACGTCTCCCGCGTGCACGTCATTCGACCGAATCACGGTGCCGTGGCTGCTGTCCGCAATTCGGGCCGCCGGCACCGTCTCCAGCCACACCGACTGCCAGATGCCTCCCGACGGCGTGTAGAAGATGCTCTCGGGCTGTGCGCCCCAGTACTGCTTGCCCCGCGGCTGCGTCAGGTCGTGGGCCGAGTCATAGACGCGGACCGTCAGCCGATGCCCGTCGGAGCTCTGGTTCTGTGCGTCCAGGACGGCAGTCACGTCCAGCTGGAAGGGGACGTGGCCTCCGCGGTGGCTGCCGATGAGGCTGCCGTCGAGCCAAACAGACGCCTCGTAGTCCACGGCGCCGAACCGGAGCAGCACCCGCCGGCCTTCATCCCGCTCGCTGGCGTTGCGCAGGTCCGAGATGAGCCGCTCGTACCAGAGCACTTGGTGGATGCCGCGCTCGTTGATGCCCGAGGCCGGGCACTGGAACACAAAGGGCACCGTGATGGGGCGCTTGTGGTTGACGGCGGCCGACGACGTGAAGACGTTGTTCTTGAGCAGGTCCTGCGTGCCGGCGGCGATGCGCTGCGTGATGGCGTCGCTTTCCGATTGGTCCTGCGACTCGCTCTCTTCTGTGAGCAGCGTCTTCTTGACGGCGACTTCGGTGGGCAGGCCGGAGTGCTGCCAGCGCTGGCCTAGGCCGACGTCGTCGTCGTCGAAGAGAAAGTCCCAGGGGCCATTAAGCGACAGCCAGCGAGAGCCGGTGCGCTGGAAATCGGGACGGGGATACTCTTCTGAGTCGTGGAGTTGAGGCTGGGCATGGGACATCTTTTGGCGCTTTTTCAATTGGGGGATATATGCTTCAATTTGGTTGCCAACGAGCCATCACGAGATATTCAACTACCAAGTCTTAAAAGTCTACACTTTCTCCTTATTACCCCCCCTTCGAGTTCATCTGCCGCGCGTCGCGAAGAGGGGGAATTCCCATTCTTTTTGCCCAGTTTTCGATCGTCAAATTTGTGGTTTTCGCGTGACATATCATTGCCTCTTGGATGGCGGCGTGACCCAGTCTTTGATGCGTGCCAATCATGGGGCCGCCAATCAATCCTCCACAACGCCATCATTGTGGCTTTCTCGCCCATTATGGGCAAGACGTGGTTCCTGGTTCCTGGCCGGCTATTCGCACGGCTAGAATATAAGCCTAGCTGCAAAAAATGGTTGGAATCCTTCCAATTGGACAATTCGGGTGTTGTTATAACTATTTGCAAATTCGGTTTTATCAAACTCTAAACTCTACAAGGATGTGCTTTGCAGATCGTCTTTATGTAAGCGGTTCACGACCAAGAAGATGATTGTCATCAGCGTGATTTTCTCTCCAGTGCTTTCTATGGAGAGGATGAAGCTCTGAGCTGTTGCCAGCCACCTTGTTGCACTTTAATGTTATCAAATTCCGCCAATGCAATCCGAAATAGAATGCTCAGCATGCCCTAGTAAGACTGCCGGCTGGATATACATGTAAGTGAACATGCCGAGGCAAACGCTCGTGGCAAGGTGTCGCGATACACAAAACGACACTGCCTCTGCAAGCTACTATATCTGGTGGCTTCTTGCACTTTGCTGCAACCAAGCCTCCAGTGGCCTTGCACAGCACAAGCGGTCAGTGGAAGGAAAACTTGCGGTCGTTTGTAAGACTCCAGCCACGTTCAGTCTCTCTCACAGCATCAACGAAGCACGGCATAAAGAACAAGGCAGAGAAGCATGCGGCTCGCAGCAAAGCCTAAAAGTTGATTGTGCCCGAGAGCACGTGGGACAAGAGGGATTTGATCCCAAAAAGGATCCCGGATACGGTCAGTTGGCCGGCAGATTGCACGAGATGGATCGATGTGCTAAGAGTGATGATTGCGGTGGATGACGGATATTGTTGTGCAAGCTTCGTGCTGATATCTCGCAACACCATCCTACTTGACGAATCCCCCGCATAGATCATGGCGCTATTACCTGCTTCTAATTATGACATCTTTTTTTTTTCATTATCGAAGCACTGACAAGAGTCAAGTTTTGCCATGACACATGGCGGATGATACGAGGTCCGAGGAGGCCGATGAGATGCATATGGGGGCGCAGAAGACTTTGCTCGTTGGAGAGGTTTGTCGACTTGGCTACTTTACATAGCCCACCTGCGGAACCCAGAGTGAGGGAGATGTGCGAGGCCATGACAGTGTCACGCTGGTAAGTCTGTGTGAGCTGATGTGCAACGCTGGCAGAAGAGAATCGAACCAGCTTCCGCGCCACCGCCGTGCATGCTGGACAAGAAAAAGAGAAGAGAAGCTCGGAAGCTCGGTTGCTCTTTGGTGGATTTTCTTTCGTTGGTGCCCTAAAAAGGTACGAATTGTAACCGGATTCCATGTTCCGAGCATGTGTGCGTGCTCTGCAGAAGGATAACACGACAAGACGTTTCCACTTCCGTCGTCAACGTGGCAATGCATGCAAGGGCCATTGGGCAAGGGTATCTTTTGCAGCATTCCAAAGATCCAACTTGGAGCCGTGCGTTTGTGTAATCCTACGACTAAGCATAAAATTGATCGTAGTAAAAGGATACAAGGGAGGGCTCGGATGGGGGTGACCCTTGGCAAGGATGGGAGAAGCTCCCTTTGATGTGGTATCACGACGTGACATGCCCTCGGCAAGGTAGCATCGCTTTCTGACTTGAGATGGTGATTGTCGTAAGGTGTTTGGTTCTGCCAGCTGAGACGGAAGGATTCGTTGCTTCATTTTGTTTCTTCGCCCTGAATGATGTGGATTTTTTGATAGAGGGAGGGATTGGACGTATGAGGGAGAGCACCAGAGGTGAGCAAGTCGAGTCAAAGCGTCGAGTCCGGATCTGAGTCAAGGTTAATTGAAAGTCTCAACCAACGTTACTTTTCTTTGTCATTATGCAGGTGAAGTGGCTGTAGTCCATGTAACTAGTATTCAGCACATGTAGACAGTAGAGTAGAGCATCATTCACCTAGGTGGTCCAAGGTCTAATATTAGCATCTGATATGTCGTGTCCTCGTTCTAGATTCAACAGAGTAGCAGCACCGCTCGAATAAAACAGCTCACCGCATCCTCCTCAGCCACTAATGCTCGTCGGATAAAGATTCCGGCCCCCTCCAGCCCTTTTCTCAGCTGAAGAATTCCTCGGCAGCAGACGAGTAAATGCTACTCGCCCGTGCAGAGCTACAGTAGCATCAGATTCATGCAAACGGCACAAAATACGAGGTCACGGGCCTCTGTCGATCACAGCGGGCAGTGCCACTCCAGAAAGAGAGACGTGCGCTTCTTTAGCGTCCGCGAGCCCGCTAAAAAAACATCCCTTCTGCAGGCGCTGAAAGGAGCTCCTCGCCGTTTACAGGTGGCCTTTTTCCGGTGCGCAGAGCTAGCAGAGCCCCTCTCCCAGATGCCACCAGACAGGTCCCCTGGGGCTGCCTCCTTACAGGTGCATCTGCCGGACGAGCGCCGTTCTTTGTCGATAACGCAAGTAGAAAGAACCTTGACCTACGGACTAGAAACTGTACGTATGAAGTACCGAGTACCCCAAAACTTGCCACCCCGACTCGGCCACGGCTCTTCAACCGCCACACCCGATTCCCTCTTTTTTTTTTCTCCGTGCGCTGGGAATACGAGATCCGTGCTACGTCATGAAAGAATGGCTGGGCCGCTCTCTGTGCATCGCCAACAGAGCAAATCGTCGGTCTGGTCGAGAGACTGTGTACGTGTGCCAAGTCTGCACTGATCTTTTGCTAGTAGTCGAGGACTCGATGTTACCTTGGTAACTGGGTGGTTTGTGTTTGTGCCGGCTTGGAGTTTGCGTATAAGAGGAGGCGATGATCCGACTGGACTGTCTGATCTGCCATCACCAATAAGTTGACGAGACTCAAGACATTGTCCTATATCCTGCATCTGCCTGCTTATATATAGCTCTGTCTATCCCTTGGCTTGTTCAATCCATCTCTATTACCATCTCTCTTGTTCCAATTCATCTCTCTATTACCACGAAGAGTCTGAAGCTATCCATCACACCTCCATCACACCTCCATCACCACCACCACCACCACCACCATGTTGAGCCTCTTGTCTACTCTCCTCCTCGTTGGCTCGGCCCTGGCCCTGCCCTCTCGCGTCGTGCCTCGAGATGCCGACACCTCCTATCCCCCGCCTCCCGCCACCACCGCCACGGGATGCACCGCCAGCTCGACAAAGGTCTCCAAGTGGACTGTCGACGACTTCGACTTCCACGCCTCGTACACCTTCTCGACGCCCGCCCACCAGAACTCGTGGGGCTACGTCAACTTCACGCTGAGCAACCCGGCGCTCGGCTACACGCCCGTCTGCAGCGCGGCCTCGGACCAGCTCTCCGACTTCTTCTACGGCAACTTTGTCTACAACTGCGAGGTGCCCGCCTCCGCCGCCGCCGACAAGGCCACCTTCACCTTTGCGCGGCCCACCAACAGCCTCGCCATCAACCAGACGTGGCACTGCGCCGACGAGGGCAGCCGCTTCACGGCCCAGGGCGGCGTCCAGCTGAATCTGACCTGCAGCGACACCACCTGGCAGAACCCCAACTGGCAGCCCGGCCAGATCTACTCGCAGCGCACCGTCACCTGCGGCAAGGTCACCGCCCCTGCGACGATTGAGGAGATGAGCGCTGTTCTGTAGGACAGAAACAGCACCATGTTCCCGCCGGCGCAGAGGACCATATCGGCCATCCGTCACGTTTTGATGAGGAAAAGCATGCATAAGACGAGGGTTTCGAGCGTGAAGATGAATGGGACATATTACTACATATAGGTAATGTTTCTTTGGAAAAGAGGGGATATATGACATGGTACTTTGTTACTTGCGAGGAGTTTCTTGTCGATTTTATTATGTTTTTTTACGACTGTGAGCGAGTCACTCCTTTGACGATCAACGACATTCTTTTACAATAATGATAATGGGGAAAACTTACTGGGTTGGGTAATTAGAGCAGGGGTGGGATTCATGAGATGGCAAAACCTGCCTGTACCATAGTACACAACGTACATATAATGTGAAATTGATTCAAAGACGCTGCCGATGAGTAATGGGATGTGATCAAGTTGATAACCTAAACTTACATGACAAAAAGACACTGAGATGGCTCCAACGGAAAATGATACATGTAGGTATGACACTTGATAAGATTACCATACTTAATAGAAGATATGAAGGACTCACTCATCCACATTTGACCACTGGTGCTGGAATTAATGTATTCCGTGAGTGGAAAGAAGAGGTAAGGGAAGGCGTTACTACATATATACAAATTAGATGTAGCTTCCTGAGACGTGATTGAACCACTCTGCCTGCCCTGTCTAGAGACGAATCCGTAAGTGGGCTAGGCGAAACATGGACAATAAAATTATCCCAGATCTTGCTCTCCAGAGGTGTACTTTCAAATACCAAAAGGAACAAGGCGCTGATGAAGTATACAAAAGCACACCTCCTACAAACTTGCCAAAATGTCCTAAAAGATGAAGAAACAGGCATTCGCGTGAGAGAATACGCAGTACTGCAATATATTAGTCTGGGCCAACATCTATGAGATGCCGATCTGCCTGAAGATCCGGAAGAGCTTGAATCTGCTCTCGATTCTAAGCTGATCCGTTATAAGCAGGCTTTTGATCGAATCCAATCCAGAATAGACCGTACCTGCTAATCTAGAATAGATGGGTTTATTCCGAAAGTGACGGCATTTGGGCGCAACAGAAGCACAATGTCGAACTATCTAAGCTAGACACAGACACCTAGTGATGAACTTGTATACCAGGCATCTTGTTAATTCTGTGGCTCCAGCTGAAATGTAACCCACAAGGCTTAAATCAGCTCAAAGCCATTCCTGCCCCTGAAGGAACAAATCATGTCCAACTTATTTTTTCAACCCTGTGTAGTCTCATCAGCTGAAAAGCCGTCCACGTGGTTCACATCACATCTCATCTTCCAATCTCTATTCCCGGAAATCGCTAACAAGAATAAAAAAATAAAATAAAATAAAAAACTTGTCAAATCACATATAATTACTCATCTCTTTTCGTCAAGACTCAACGCAAGCAAGCCTCCTCATGAGGCCATAAGTCCAGGCTTTACAATAGCACACATAGCTCCAGAAAACATTCAAACTTGAACAACCTAAATCAAACCACCGACACTCGATAACATCATAATTAGCTCAAAGCGTCAGCTTTCCTTGAGTCATGCCATCAATAAACACAAAACGAGGCATTATCCTCCTCTCGCTTGGCAACCAGATTAAGGCGTCATTCCCCATTCCTCCCCATGGGCACCTGTTAGTCGTCCCATGACTCCAGAGCGAGCTAGGTACTACTTGTAAGTATTGGCATTCAATCCATCACGTAAAGGAAACCGTTCGTTGTTACAGGAGCTAAGCCTTAAACATGGCAAAGCAAAGAGAAAGAGAATCCACTCCGGTATTACACCGTATTCGGCATGCCCTGCCAATAATCCTGCGGCATTCGACCACTTTGGCTCAGATACAGCTTCACTGACCGACTCAGAACATGAGGCTAGGGAGCGGGAACAACGTCCTAGTTTCTCCATTTCACCTCATTAGCCTCTTCTTAGCCCCGTCTTAGTCGATGAGCAACGCAGCAAAAGCAGCAAAGCAGCAACTCACAAGAATTCCAGAAAAAAAAAAGTCGTCCTGGTTCCCTCCCAAAAGATGCCGGCACTCTCTGATTGGAACAAGCTCCGATCGCGTCATCGGCCCACGCCGGGTCCGGGCGCGACAGAATCGGGAAAGGCCCCGATGTCGTGATCAACCACGGCGCGAAATGGGGCCTTATTATTTTTTTTCACCGGCTTTTTTTTCCTTCTTTCTGCCCGTTGTGTGTTTATTCTCCTTCTACCTCGTTTCGAGAACACTTCTCCCGAGAAACTAGCTGGGCTCTTGCATGTGAAATAAGACAGACAATGGATAGCGTCGGCATTGGGTGACTTGCCGCTGCATCGCACCATTGCGGTCTCGTGTCTGTCTTATCAACTTGCACGTATCTGTACAGTACATCGTATATTCTTTTTCTTCTTCTCCAAGTGCCAAGTACTGTATGTACTAGTAGTGCTAATAAACTGTTTTTGTACTCCATATTTAAATCATCTGGTGGAGTTTTGTAGGGGCTCATGTCCCTGGCTAGGTGAGGCGACTTACTCGCAAAACTGCGTGTTAGTCCATTCAAGCTTCTCGACTCGTGGGTCACCTTTTGGAGCGTCAGCCTTGCTTCAATATCTACTAGTGCCTTGCCTATGTACACCAGGTGATAGCGTCTACCGAGATGGAATAGGAGAAAGAAGTCATCTTTTGCAAAAAGTGTCTGTATAAGTTGGAATTAGAATTATTTCCAAATGCCAAGTGCTCAAGCCTCCCGCGCTTAATCAATCCTTCCTTGGCATGGCACACCCATTCGGGCCTCTTTTTAGTATCCCAGACCGCGTCCTTCTTTCTTCTCTTGTCATGAAAAAAAAATCCGCCACCTCCAAGTTCTGGGTCTCCATCGCTGTTACCTAGAACAAACCAGGGGGCCTGGAGCTCTTTGCGTTCGTTTAGCACCCGATGGCACCATGCCGGGCCCCGCTCAAGACAAGCTTTTTTTTTTTCTCGACTGCCTCTTCATTGTGCAAAGGAAGCTGATTTTGTCGTGTAATTCTTATTTGTTGATCCATTTTTTTTTGTGGCCGTACCCGCGCGTTTGGGGATAGGGATGGGGTCGTTGTTTGGTCCACTTGCCATAACGTGGGAGGGTTGTATACATCTATAATAGGGACTGAGCCTCCTCTTCTTTTGTTCTTACGCTTCGACATCCTCCTTCTTATTGTTTGTTACTACTGCCTGGTCTTTGGTATCTAAGGCCTGGGCTTGCTGATTGTTTTGTCCTTGTTTGGTGTTTCCAAGACTACAGACAATATGTCGGCCATTAAGAGCCTGTTCAAGACGGGCGCCGAGGATGTTACCAAACTGAATCCTCAGCACGCTGGCAGCGATGATGCCGCTTCTGTCCAGAATGGAACTGAAAGTATGTTTGTGTTACTAACTCGTCCTACAATACATCCATCATACTGACTCTTTCTCATCAGCTCAGTTCGAACACGCTCGAGAGGCCAAACGCCAGATCGGCGTCCCCTCAGCCTCCATGCTCATCTTCAACCGAATCATCGGTACCGGCATCTTCGCAACTCCAGGCTCCATCCTCGCCCTGTCCGGCAGCGTGGGCCTCTCCCTCTTCCTCTGGGTCGCCGGCAGCATCATCGCCTGGGCCGGCACGGCAGTCTACATGGAATTCGGCACCGGCCTCCCCAAGAACGGCGGCGAGAAGAACTACCTGGAATACGTCTACCGCAAGCCTCGCTTCCTCGTGACGGGCATGTACACCACCTATGTCATTCTCCTGGGCTGGGCGGCTGGTAACTCGGTGGTCTTTGGCGAGTACATCCTCAACGCCGCCAGGGTCGAGGTTACGGATTGGAACCAGCGAGGCATTGCTGTGGCTTGCATTACAACTGCCTTCTTGATCCACGGCACTGCTGTCAAGTGGGGACTGCGTCTTCAGAACGTGCTGGGTGTCATCAAGATTTGCATTGTCATCATTGTCATTATCGCGCCCCTGGCCAATATCAAAAAGGTCAAGGAGATCAACTGCCTCCACAACGCCTTTGAGGGCACTACCGGTAGTGCCTATGGTGTCGTCACCTCTCTTTACAACGTCATTTGGAGTTTCATCGGCTACAGCAACGCAAACTACGCCCTCAGCGAGACCAAGAACCCAACCCGAACCCTCAAGATTGCCGCGCCCCTGGCCGTCGGCTCCGTCACGATCCTGTACATGCTCGCCAACGTTTCTTACTTTGCTGGTGTCTCCAAGGCGGAGATTCTCGAAGCCAAGCGACTTGTTGCCGCCTCTCTCTTCCGAAACATGTTTGGCGAGAGGGCCGAGAGAGCGCTCTCCGTCTTCGTCGCCCTGTCTGCCTTTGGCAACGTCTTGAGTGTCATCTTCTCCCAGGGCCGTCTTGTCCAGGAGCTTGGTCGCGAGGGTGTCTTGCCCTTTTCTCGATTCTTTGCCAGCAACCGGCCCTTCAACGCTCCCTTGGCCGGTCTGTTTGAGCACTGGGCCATTACCATGATTACTGTTCTTGCACCACCTGCAGGTGATGCTTACAACTTTGTTCTCAAGTAAGTGTTTTTTTACATGTGCATCAAAAGAAAAGCACAGGATATACTAACAATTCTGCTACAGCCTCATCTCCTACCCTCTTGCCATCATTAACGTCTTCGTCGCCGGTGCCCTTATCCACCTCTACCGCAACCGAGCCAGCTGGAACTGGAACCCTCCCATCAAGGCCACTTACCCAGTCGTCACCTTCTTCCTTCTCAGCAACATTTACCTTGTCGTTGCACCTTTCGTGCCTCCTGAAAACGGCCAGAACGTCTACGAGCACCTTCCTTACTGGATTCACTGCGTTGTTGGATTTGGTGTGCTCTTTGTCGGCGCTCTTTACTGGCTGCTATGGGCCAAGGTTATGCCTTGGATCGGCAAATATGAGCTGGTTGAAGAGACTGCCATCGACCCCATTGATGGATGGGAGAGGAGCTACTTTACTACGAGATCGTTGAGATCGACATAGGACGAGGCGTGGACATGAAAGTGTGTTGATAATAAGGTTGTGTTTTTCAACAAAGCGTTAGGATACCCCGATATAGATTGAAGTAATGTTAATTGATCACGTCTAATTGAAGACTTGTAAAACAAACTGGCATTTCCGCTTGAACTAGATAAGTTTATCTTCTGAATGTGTAATATTATGTTGTTGATACATGCCAAACTCGAATGATACAATTTATGTGAAATAAAACATGCTAAAACTCAAAATAATACAATTTGTGTGAAATGACGCGTGTTGAACAAACAATGACATATCCAAAGTCCATACCCAATAACCTTATGATGGCGTGACCGATAATACATTCTGAAAGTACACCTTGTGATAATATCCTGAAAGACCCAAAACAATAAATAATAAAAAACAGGTTAAAGATAAAAAAAAAAATAGCAAATAAAAGAAATTAAAAGCAAATTAAATGGATAAACGAAAACGCTCTCGCCAGTATAAGATGAAAGTGGCAGGTAATCTCCGTTTCGACTGCGCTCATCTATATGCATCTGAAAGCAGAAAGACAATGGGAGAGGAATAAAGATGGTCGGTGTAGCTGGTGCCTTGGCGTCAATCAACGCCTATTGCCAGAGCTGCTGCTCGCTATTCCTGCGGCCGTTGTTGATCGGCTGGTTTCTGGCAACGGATTGTTTCCAGGAGCATTCTCCATCTGGGTGATTTGCCGCAGTCGGTTGTTCTTGTTCATATTGACCTTCATGTTGTTCCCTTTGTGCTGGTTTATGCGTCAGTATTTTGAATATAGTTTGTGCAAAATAGAACAAAGGGGGGATGCTTTCTTACTCCGAGCTCTCCACGTGGGTTGTTAGCGATGCGGAGCTTCCATCCGTCACCTGCAGATAGAAGGGATTTGACGAGTTGCTTCGATTTCTGGGAGAGCGAGCAGTTAATATGGAGAAAAGCCAATTTCTTTGGGGGTTAAAACTCACCGTCAGGGCAAAACACATCGCATCGACACGCTGTGCAAACGTCTCATAGGCTTCCTAAGCTCCATCGGCGCCGCACCAGTAAGGTATCTGGGTATATCCCTGCTGCGATTGTATGGCAGCTTCCTGAGAGATGAGTGACAGTTGGGTTAGCCGGCTGGTCATGCAATCTTTGTAGTAGCGCGCGGGGAGAGCGAGAAAAAGACACTTACAATGAGCTCCCAGCAGAGCCATTCTACTGTCTGGTCGTTCAGCTGCCGACCCAAAATCTTCTTCTGTTGAACATCAAGAGTTGGAAGCTCGTCCCGGCTCGGCCGCATTTCGTCCAACGGGATGTCGTTTGGCTTCTTGTCTGGAGTTGCGCCGTTGGCTTCCTCCTTCATGCGCCGGTGTTCGTCTATTACTCGGTTCCGCTCTTCGGGAACCAGAGTCTGTGACCACTCGTTGATGTTTTCCCAATCGTTGATTGCATTGAAAAGCTTCCCAACATATCTTTTCTTGTCCTCGTTGCTTTGAGGAAACGTAGAGTCTGTAGAGGGGTTGCTGCAGTTGTCCTCGGATTTTCGAAACAGCTCGAGAAGACGCCTAAGCTTCGTATTGGCGTCCGCGGGCGAGTGGAAATACTCTTGGTATTCAAACGTGGGCAATTTATCCGTCTCTATTTTCAATTTAGAGTCTTCAATGTTGTCAACTTTTGCCAACATGTGAGCCTTTATTACTCGTTTCTTTGGACCCACAGGACTCTTATCAATCCTAGCCGCTGAGGCACTGCGCTTCCGAGGTGAGGATCTGGTGGAAGAGGGAGGTGAAATGACAGTGTAGGGCGATGAGATCACCGCATAGTCCGGCTGTTGTGATAACATAGACGTTGGCACTGGTTGCCGCGATGATCCTCGTTGCATGGCAAATGGAGCTGGCTGTCCTAGAGACACTGGTGTTGTTTCAGACTTGGCCATGAACTCACTCAATGATCCCTGATATATGGTGTTCTGAAGTGGAGCGATTACTCCCGCTGCAGATGCCTCTGCTACAGGCTGTAGAGCTGTTTCGGAAGGGTATAAACTGTCCAGGAGGCCATCACCATCTATACCGTTGGTTGGATAGTTGGTACCAGGAGCGCTACAGCCATAATCGAAATTATCAGTATTTGAGTAAAGGGGGAGCGTGTCTGATCCGCATCGTAGTTGTGCTATATGCTCGCTGTCCCAGTCACCGCTGCCGTAGCCCTCAAACGGTATTGGTTCCGGTCTCAGATAATCAATTAGCGCCAACGATGGCGATGGCACTTGCAAAGCCTGAGAGGACACGAAAGCGGCATCGAAAAAGGAGTCATCGGCGATTTCTCTGGTTGAACTATCATGCATAACATGGCATCAGCCCAAGTCCCTAATTGGAACTCGGTTGTAGAGATTACTCACAAATGAGATGGAGCATTGTAGTACTCCGGATTGGGGAATTGATGATCGTATTCATCACTGTATAGGCGTCTCCGTGGCTCGTAAACCTGCTCCGGAGATGCTAAATATTCACCACCATTGTAGGGCGGACATGTAGGAGCGAAGCCTGCCGCCATTGGGTTGGTAGTCATGGGGCCGCTCCTGGTATCGTAAATGTCTGTGACCCATCCGCTACCAGCAAGATACAGTGAGTTTCCCGTTTCATCGAAATCCATTGCCCTTTAGACAACACTCGGACGCTCAAGCCAAGGGGATGGAGAAGGAGCCGGAATTAAGTGATAGTAGCCAGTGTAAGTAGAAGTCTGAAAAAGGAGATGTAGGTATTGCAGATGAGAATGGACTGGAGGAGAAAAGAAAAGAAAGTAAAAGAAAAGGGCAAGGTTCTCCGGAAAGCTGGGAATACTTTATGCCGTTTTGCTGCACCTTTGCGCGTTTGATGGGAGCTGGGTGCGTGTAGGGGCGGGCGAGAGGCGTGGACTTGTTCGTTTGCGATAAGCCATGATCGAGAACAGTCAACGTCAACATGCATAATCAGCTGAATCACCCGGGCAAGCACAAGCCATGTAGAAGCCATCTGTATGGAAAACGCGCAAAACACATACCCGTAAAAGCATGCATGCCTAGCTAAACCGCCATCTCAACTCTGACCACAGCTATCCGTTCTCTCTGCAGCTTCAAACAGGTTACAAGCACACGCCCCTGACAGCTGTCACTTGGTAGACGCAGCTACCCGTGTTTCCATGCGTGTCAAAGACCGGACACTGGGGCACTGAGGCTGATTGCAGTTAATGATCTTGATGAGACGATGTCGAAAACATCAAAGAACACCGTGTGTCTCTTGCTCTCTATGCTGCCGTCTCCGTGCATGCGGTAGTATCCCCGTATATGCCGTTCACTTAAAGGTGGCTGACCTGTATCTGTCACCCAAACTTTCCCAACTGGCTGACTGTCTGCAGGAACCCAGGGACGGAAGCTCTCCTCGGTCTCTCCCCTCCATGAGCATCTTGGCTGTCAAAGCACTTTAGTATCCCGAAAAGTAAGCGTATGGCACTAGAAGTGATTAGTTGGATATCTTCCAAGCATGACCATCGTATATGACTGTTAGAATCGTCGCTATCTATCACTATCACGGCTGGAGTCGGTGTTTGAAGTTCCAAAGCCGCGATTAGCCTCTGGTTTCTGGCTCCAAGATCCAGATTGTCGGATTTGGCGCGTTAGTTTTAATTAGCTTTCTTGGAGCTGGGAAGCCATGCAATGCATAACCATGGATGCTCGCCAAACTATTTGTTCATCGCATATGCTATTGGAGAACGGGTAGGGACCGGCCCACCTCATGTTTCTATGTTAAGCAGCAGTGCTGGCGGTAGTGACGGTGGCTGGGCCAGTAGTGATATTCAAGTCCGGGGATGGCTATCAACAGACGCCACTCCCACGTGCTACAAGAGATGGTTGCAACCCACGGGGTAGCAGACGGATAGTAGTCTCTGAGCCTCTTCCGTACCTGCGTGATAGCCAATGCTATTTGACTGTTGCTCTCGACTCAGGAAGGAACAGGTGGAGATGCGGGGGTGGATTTCCGGGGTATCAAGAGGCGCAAAGATTCGGTTAAACGTAGTCTGTGGTAACTCATCTTGTGCTGTCCAAGTCCATGCCCATCTGAATTTGATGAAATGCTCTGGCAAAGCGAGCCATGGACGGCCAAGATGCGTGAGTCGCTCATGGCAGGCAATCGGTATTTCGAACCCAAGAGTAAACAGGGTGAAGCCCACCCCCAGCGATCTATTTGCTGATTTCTCACCGTGACGCATCTGCGGAAAGGAAGGGTTAGCTCAAAGACCGAGAGATAACCGATGAGAGCACGGAGAAGAAGTTCGGACCGCCCTGTGGGTTCTCCAAATCTCCAACAAACCACGGCCAACTCCAACCAGCGGCAAGGGGGCTAGGGAGTGCTAGGCTGGCTGCTAGACAGCGGACATAAGCACGTTGTTTAAGCTCTCGACACCAATATGGGAGCCAAAACCCGGGGAAATCTGGGGCGTAGAAGAAAGCCTAGGCTATGAGAGAATCTTCCTCTGGCGAGTGGCTCGATGCGGGGGTTTTAGTGCAAGGCGGTGATGGCCAATGGCAGAAGATGCCTCGGGAAATTTATGTGCCGCCCCTTCTGGGCCTGCCTTGCTCTGGGCGGAGGTCAAACTCCTAGCCTCAGTCTCTACTCCCTTCAGCTGGCTGGCCTCCATGATTGATCCTTCAAACCACAAACCGCAATGGTCTTGCGTCTGACCCTCGCTATGATTCATAATCCCGCTCCAGGTGGAGGAGACTCCGCACATCGTTCCTCCACAGCGTCGCTGCACCGCTGGTCGGCAGTCGGCCTGCTGGGAGTCCGGCTACGGCTGGGATGACTCGTGGAGACGGCCCTGGTAAGCTTGCAATTTCTGGAGAAGACGATCCACTGGCGCCACGATCTGCAAGGATGCATCACAGCCTTTTGGGAGAAGCGCTAGCACTAACACCACTGCTAGCACTACGACGCTCCGTACGCGGCGCACGCTGGCCTTTGGGGCATCCGGATGTTGGAGACGCCTGGCCTTGGTTGCGGTTGCAGCGAGCCCTTGGCAGCTCCGGTGATGGCTCAGCTACTGCTGCTATTGGAAAGGCCCCGGTGGCCCCCGTCGCTCGCTTGTCCGGCGATGCCAATGGCTGCCTCCATTACCCACCCGCTGACGCCTAGTGCGAGCTGCGAGCATCGTCGACAATAGAGTACGAGGCAAGCATGTCTGGGGGCATGAGGAGCACAGCACAGCACTGGCCGAGTACAAATAGGGTCCGGCAGATCCCTTGGGCTGCACCCTTTGTGTTCCACTCGCTTGCTTCTTGTCTCGCCATCGTCGAAGCCTGTGCTTCTTATTCCTCCACTATTTCACGTGGGCTCTTGCCCTTCTTCTTTTACTTACAATTTTTTTCTAATTGTCTGGCTTCTCTCGTCTTACTCAGACACCGGGAGAGACAACCCACGCGCGGCCAGATTGACGTCTGTTTTGATACCCTGAAAAGCTGCAGCGCATCCTACGCGCCGGCCAACAGCAGATCGTCGCAATGGGTGTTATAGACGAGAAGCACAGCGGCTCGGATCGCAACTCGACCGACGTCCGCGATGCAGAGATTCAGTATGCGGCCGAAGCGGTCCAATGCCCGTCGCACACGACCGAGCGCAAATTGATGGCCAAGGTCGACATGCGAGTCGTTCCTTTTCTCTGTATCATGTATTTGCTTGCATTTTTGGGTAAGTCGGCAGCACGCAGCGCGAAATATTCCTTGCGAGTTTACACGTTTTGTGCTAATTCATCCCTTACTAGATCGTGTTAACATCGCAAACGCAAAACTGTTTGGCCTGGCCAAAGATCTGGATCTCGGCACCGGAGACAAATACAACACCGCGCTAGTCATCTTCTTCGTTCCTTATTGTATCTTTGAAGTCCCGTCCAATATCCTCCTCAAGAAGTTTAAGCCCCATGTCTGGCTTTCGCTCAACATGTTCCTCTTCGGCTTTACCACCATGATGCAAGGTCTGGTCAAGAACTACAGTGGCTTGCTAGCCACTCGCTTCTTTCTCGGCCTATTCGAGACTGGCATGTTTCCAGGAGGTAAGTCTCTTGTATCCCGCAGCCAAGTATGGCCGCCTAGTTCAGTAGCTAACTAGCATAAATCTTCAGCCTTCTATCTCATTGGCATGTGGTATAAGCGATCCGAAGCCCAGCGACGCTACTCATTCTTCTTCAACAGCACGACCCTCGCCGGTGCCTTTGGCGGCCTTCTGGCTGCCGCCATTGGCAAGATGGACGGCATGCGAGGCTACAGCGGCTGGCGCTGGATCTTCCTTATTGAGGGTGGTCTAACAGTCCTTGTCAGCTTCTTCTTCTTTTTCCTTCTCCCCGATTTCCCGGAAGAGGCGAAGTGGCTGAAGGAAGACGAGCGCCAGTATATCGCATCCCGCCTTCGCGTGGACCAGGGCACCGGTTCCGGCCTTGGGCGATCAATGACGATCAAGGACATCTTGAATGTCTTCAAAGACTGGAAGGTTATTGCTGGCGGCTTCATGTACTTTGGCCTTATCGTCCCCGCCTACGGCTATGCCTACTTCGCCCCAACCATTATCTCGACGTTCCAATATAGCCCCATCGAAACTCAGCTGCGCAGCGTTCCGCCATGGGCTGCTGCCTTTGGCTTTTCTCTGCTTATTGCGACCTTGTCTGATAGATTACGGCATCGATTCGCATTTGCTATTTTCGCCATGTTTGTTGCAATTGCTGGCTTTGCTATTCTTCTCGCGGAGCACAGCAACCATAATGTCCAGTACGGCGCACTATTTCTCATCACGTCTGGCGCGTACACGGCCATGCCCATCATTGTCTGCTGGTTCAACATGAACCTAGGAAACCACACACGCCGTGCTGTCGGTAGCGCATGGCAAGTTGGCTACGGAAATCTTGGAGGCATCATCGCTGTCTTTATTTTCTTGACCAAAGATGCTCCCAAGTTTACTACGGGCTACAGCGTGTGCCTCGCCTTTACCATCCTTTCCATGATTGCGTCAGTGCTCTACGGGCTGGGATGCTGGGCGGCGAATAAGAAGAGAGACAACATGACAGATGTCCCCAACCTTACAGAAGAGGAGAAGACGGAGTTGGGCGACTTGTCCCCAGAATATCGATACCTACTGTAAACTGGGTTTACATGTTACAATGGAATGCAATAGTATTATGAAGTATATAAGTATAGTATATTACAGTAATGATTGAACGGAGTTATGTCTTGGATAAAGACTGAATAGGGCACTTGGCTGTTAGCAGCATCAATTTCACCTTTGTTGCCTACTTTACATCGCTTGTGACCTCGCTTCAACAAGCCTCTGGCGCTTAAACCCAAGCTAGGCTACCGAGCTGGACAAGCACCCCATTTTAATAACTTAGTTCCAAACTGCTGCGTTATTGCTACAATGACTGATTCGAGATAAGTAGGCTAACCGAGCCAGGAATATACGGAATCGGAATACATATGGAATACGCAATATCAACCTCTTAGCAAGATGGGCCACCAAGCCACTTTGTTGCCACCAAATAGCTAATCTACTGCTTTCCGCCTCCAAAACCAGATTGACCTGAGATACGAGCCAAGATCTTTGCCCAGCCACAAGGCCCCAGAAGTTTAAAAAGAAGGGCCTGGACCGGAGCAGAACATAAGTCCGAGTCAGGTCTTCTTCCGGGGTGCGGAGAAAATATGGGTCCCCAGCCAGCCACGACTGCTCTTTTTTTCTTTGATTTGCTATTGTTTGTTTGTTTTAAACCTGGCGTGATTCTTGTTTTCAAGGTGGAGAACTTGGGGTCGGAGAGTCATGGTCGTGGAGTTGAAATTATGCTCTAATGTAGCTTCCGCGGTCTCCTTTTTTCTTTTTTCTTTTTGGGTTGGTATGATGAGCAATTATGATTCCTAATTCGGAGTAGCTTTTTTTTTTTTTGTTATTGCGTTTGATTTTTGAGATGTGAGGAAATGAGGAAATGAGATGTATTGGTGCCTAAGAACGACTGGTTAGAAAGCAATACCCGTAGACCTGGAGGTGTACATTACCTGGGAGTAATATAAAGGACAAATCTGACGTTAGTGATTTACTGATCTCGACTGAAGAAATGCCCCAGGCAAACTTTGTTTGTGCAAGTAGTTGAATCCGGGCGTAGAAAAGCTTCGGACCGCATTTCCTATTCCGGCGTATTGTGTCAGCATTCGGTGTTTTGAACTCTCTGAGCTGTTAGATGGGAGACATGTAGACTTACTTGTTCTTTTTTTTTTTTTTTTTGTCTTTGAGAGGGCAGATTTTATTGAATCGATGATGTAAGAAGTCAAGATACTCGAAAAGGGCTGTCAAAGGACTATCAATTAGTATCAAAACATTCAAATCAGTTTGCTATTCTAGTCGTTGAGACTTACACCTGATCTACCCGCTCTGCAATTGCAGGACAGAGGTGCTTACACCCCGCGGACTTTCCGTCGACGTCTGGGCTTCAAGTGCAATAGAAACTATTGCCATTTCGCTTGCTTTATTTTCTGTCTTGCACTGCGAGATAGCCAATCCAGTACAGCTCGCTGCTCTTACCATGCCAGTTCACCGGCGCAAAGTCGTTGAGCACCTTGAGCAGCGTCTTCCATGAATCCTCCGGGCGAGGCGTCGTGACTGTGGTTTCCTACAGCATGGCCACGACGAGCTTGTATATCTCCGTGGGGAGGAAAGCGACCTTGCAGATGGTCAGGATGAGGCGCACCCAGTTGTCGACGAAACTTTGGCCGAAAGCTGCCTGCGCGTGACAGAACTCGAGTGAGTTGACGGTGCTGTCGTCTTCGTGAGTATGTGTAGTGATACGCAGAGCTGTAGATGCCGTAGGATCGCGAGTCTTGTGATGGTGAGCAATCAGCTGGTGGATTTGGCTAAGATCAGAGGCACCCCAGAGAATGTTCAGTGCCTTGTTCATGGTGCTGTTATGGAGGATATTGAGCGGGAGATTGGCAGTTGCTGCGGGAGACGAAGACGCTCCGGCCTTTGCGTAAACAAGAGCAAAGGCCTTGATGAGCTGCTGGTGGATTCCGCGACGAGCAGGCGAGCCCAGGTGGAAGAGCAGATTGTTCTCAAGCACAATCACCAGCGTTGCCACGCGCTGGGCCTGCAGGACAGTCAGGCCCTCTGCAGACACGGGGCTGACGGATACGTGCAGACCACAGTCACTGGCAACGTGCAGTTTTGCCGGGTGGGCGGTCCAGACGCCGTACAGAGCCGTGTTGATGCCGGGGAACAAGTTGTTTGCCTCGGATTCACGCAACGTCGGGCTGCTGAGCCGTGCGGGCTGCCATTTGGCGTGTTTGCCGTCATGGCCGATGTCGCTGCTGGCCTGGAGGAGCCAGTATCTGCACAGCGGGTTTTGGACGGCGCCTGCGTCGAGCCACTGGACGAGGGAGAGCGGGTTCATGATGCACATGTCTGGGTTGTGCTTGGTCTTGACGATGCTTCCCTTGGGAGCTGTGGCACGAAGCTGGCTTTCTTGTTCTTGGGTCTCGCTGTTCTCGCCATTGTCGCTGTCTTGTTCGAGGAGAAAGGCAGCTTGGAGGCCGGATTTCTGGAGGGCAGAAGCAAAGTAGTGGAAGATGCGATGGCGGTTAGAGATGCTTTGGGATGGTTGACTGGGAGAGACGGGAGGGGCGAGGAACTCGACTTGGATGCCGAATTGAATCTCGGTAGCGAGAGACGGGGCTCTGAGAGGCGCGGAGGAGAGCAGGATGTGCCGCATGATTGGATCAGGGTTGGAGTTTGCTCTCGGGGAGTTTGATCAGTTGAAGATTGAGGAAGAGTGCTGTAGTGTGTTTTGTGTGTCTTGGTAGGAAAGGGGGGCACGAAAAGGAGGAGAGGGTAGAGTCAGAACTTGGCAATGGGAGAAGCAGAAATTGTTGCAGCTGTTTTACATATCGCCCCTGAATGCCCACAAATGAGCTAGTTTTGAGATGCTTTGTAGGGCTTGGCTGCTTTCCACGTGAACAGTTTTTTTATCAAAATTAATATTTTACATTGATCTTGCCTGTTAATATCTGCTGCCACGTTTGGACAATGGTTGATTGGATGATTTGCTCATTTAGCTGCTTTGGGTGGCACTATTCTGAATACAATTCAAAGCATCAAAAGTGTGGAACATGGCTCGAACAGCTGTTGGATATTTTGCTGGATCTTTTGCGTCCATATACCGTAATTCCTATTACCGGCAAAGTCTGCATGGTATAGTCATGGAAACTGATGTTTATCATCTCTGCGGCAAAGAGGCGCTGCAGCTAGACACAACAGAGGAAATCGATGACACACTGCGGAAATACTCTATTCCAAACAAACTTCAATAATACCAAACGTCTTGATGCAAATAATTCTTCTATGGCTGCGTCTGATTGTAAAAAGCAAGCAACTGCTGCAGCCTACTCCAACGATCATCATGACTGCTCGGTGATATTCCTTCATTCGTATGATGTGCACAGCTATTTCCCCGATGGAATATTTGTCACGCAATATTCATCGCCCCATATGTTGTTATACTTCTTACATTCTACAAGGCAGCCGCCTATTTACTACCACTAGCATCAGTCCCGTCACACAGCCAATCACTAATTCCCCTACACCAACCTTTCATTTCTCCGATTACCCAATAGTTATAGCAACAATACAATACAGCATAGAAAATCATTCCCAATGCGCCACCTGGCGGTATCGACATGCTAAGTGGAAGAATCTGGAGCTACTGCAGGCAGAGGACCTTGAACCTTTTCGGGGAGTGTCGGTGTTCTATATTTGGATGGCTGTCGTTCGTCTACCGATGCCGGAGAATCGGTAGCACCGCCCTGACCGAGATTGGCTGGGGTAATTTGCGGATAAAAGGACCTGCTGTTTTTCTAACCCGCTGATCAGTTGATATGAATGGAAAAGATGAGAGCTTAAAAGGGACCGCTGAGTCGCCCTCATTTTGGGCTTATTTACTTTGATGTCTTACTTTAGTTGTAGATAATCTGCTAAATATTTGGAAATTATAAGATTCCATCATGTCCTCAACAGAGACAATCATCCTCCAGCCCCTCTCTCTGCCAGCCCCCATAGCTTCCATCCCGCGCCGATTTTCTGATCCAGACGTTCTAGCCTCATTTTATGAGCGCTCGATCCACGACGCCGAATCAGCCCTGCCGCCCGAAACGGCCGTCTCCACAGCCCAGAGATGGAACGACCCCCCGAGGAACAAGTATCGTGTGTTTTCATGTTTCTTCAGCTTCATTGTGTACGGCATGAATGATGGTGCACCTGGTGCAATGATTCATCTATTTAGAGAATACTACCATCTGCCACATTCGATTATTTCTCTTATTTTTCTGAGCCCCATGGTAGGTTGCGTGCTTGCCTCTTTTACTACAAATCGTCTCCATGCAGTGGCTGGAAGGCGAGGCGTTGCGGCCGCTGCGACTGGTGCGTACATACTTGCGTACATAGGGCTCACGCAGCATCCTCCCTTTGGGGTAGTCGTCTGTCTTTTGGTTTTGACGGGGTTTGGAAGCGGGTTGATGAATGGGAGCTGGAACAGCTGGTTTGGAGGATTGGTTCAGGGGACTACGATGCAGGGGTTTCTCCATGGATTCTGGGGTCTTGGCGCAACGTTGTCGCCTATTCTGGTATGTTGCTGTCTCTCATTGAAGAAACTATTTGTATTAATGTATACCATTGTAGATATCGAGAATTGCAGCCAAGGTGGAAAACTGGTGGATCTTTTATTGTAAGTGTTTGAGAATAAATGGCACGGGTTCTGGATATGTAGCTGACAAAAGATAGTTATGATGGTCAGTTGACTCTCTCTGCTGTTGTAGGATTTTCGGCGTCTCATATGCTTTGTATTGTTCTAGGCCGGGTTATCTGTTCTCGCCTGTATAGGCGTCACTTCTTCTTTCTGGGATGATGTCGGGAGCGGCTTCCGTCAACAACCCGTCACGTCATTGCCCAACGCTCAAGGAACCCTCAAGATGCTGAATAATCGGGTAACATTCCACATTGATTTCATATTCGTAAGGGTTTATCGCAAAGCTGACGAGATATAGGTCACTTTAACGCTTTCCGCGTTCATGGTTCTCTATGTCGGATCTGAAGTAACCATTGGAGGCTGGCTCCTCACTTTTCTGATGAGCGTCCGCAAGGGTTCGCCTATTGCGTCTTCGCTTGCTACTTCTGGATTCTGGAGTGGCATTACAGTCGGCCGTTTCGCATTGAGCTGGATCACCGGATACGTAGGCGAAAGGATCATGGTGTCGTTGTATCTCGTCAGCGCAATTGCTCTGGAGCTCGTTTTCTGGTTTGGTCAAAAGTTTGCAGTCAGTGCAGTCATGGCTGCGCTGATTGGGGTGTCCACTGGAATGATTATGCCATCTGTGAGTTGCCGTCCTCTTCTTCAACAAATAAACTCAAACTTCCATGGAAGTAAACTCGCTGACCAGAAGAAATTCAGGGAATCCGAATGATGACCAAGCTGCTACCACCGGAGAAGCATCTTGCTTCTGTGGGCTTTGCCACGGCATTTGCAGTGTCCGGATCATCCATGTAAGCTCTGTTGCACATTGGATCTCGCTTTTTCTCAACGAGCTGACGTTCATTCTCCCATGTAGCTTTCCTTTTGCAGTCGGCGCACTCGCTCAGGCATATGGCGTACAAGTTCTGCAGCCCGTGGCATTGGCATTGTTTGCAGCGCAACTGTTGCTGTGGCTCTTTATTTCAAGGGGGAAGCTCAAAGTTTAGAATTGAGGATCTCGAGTCTCAGACCCAACTGGTGGCAACTCGAATTGGCCAGACTGATTGGTCGATTTATCCTAGCTCCCGTCTCAAACTCTCTGATTCTTCCCTTAAATAGTAAACATCATAATCGCCGTCGGGGTGATGGAAAGTCGGCAGCGCCCTTGACCAAGTCATGGCCCTGACGTCGAGTGGACCGCGAGTGGATTTATACGTTTTTTGTGTCCAGAGTGGATTAGCCAAACCGATGCAAAGGGCGATTTCGACATTTGGAAAGGCGCAAGGCGAGATCGGAAAAGAAAATCTGCGGCTGCTTACTCGCCGCGACTTGCGAAGCCCCGCCATTTGCCCCTCATCTCCAATCCAAAGCTGGTGGCCGAGTTGGGTAAAATGTTGCTTTGCTATGCCCCACTGTATTTCTCGAATGTTTATAAGAAGCCGGGGCGTTGCTGCTTTTGTAATTCACCAATCGAATCAGATTCCTCAGTTCGCAAAGTGCTTCATTGAACAACGATTCTGGTGATTCCACTTGCCCAGACACTCATACTCTCACGACAAACAAAATGGCAACTGTTCGACACGCAAGACGCGGGGGTACGACCATCTTCTCTTGTCCCGCTGGCAGCATTTCCTTTGCGCAAGTGACATTCAACCGCTAACCAGAGTGTCTAATCTGCAGATGCGAAGACGATCCTAGACTTCATCCAGGAGCTCGCCGACTACGAGAAGGAGTCCGACTCCGTGCTGGCCACCGTCGAGACCCTGCAAAACACAATTGCCTTTGCGCCGGCAGACGTCGTCAGCCCCCAGAACCACCTGCCCGTGACCGAGCCCATCACAGCCACTCGTCCCGCACGATGCCTCCTCCTCATCGACGCACAAGGCAAGGCCGTAGGAATGGCTCTTTATTTCTACAACTATAGTACATGGCGATCCAAGGCTGGCATCTACCTGGAGGATCTCTATGTGTCTCAGTCAGAGCGCAACAAGGGATACGGCAAGATCTTGCTGTCGGCGCTGGCCAAGGAGGTTCTTGCTATGGGCGGTGGTCGTTTGGATTGGTCTGTGCTGAAGTGGAATGAGCCCAGTATCAAGTTCTATGAGATCATTGGAGCCACTGCAATGAACGACTGGGTGGGAATGCGAATGGATGGACCTGACGCCCTGGGCAAGCTTGCCAAGCTTGCCTAAAGTGTTTGTATATATATGCGAGCCAATAGAAGTATATAAAAAAGGACGAAAAAAAATATCAAAATGGTATATTTCACGACGATGGCGTATTACGCACTTTGCGGCCCTTTTGGTCGACACCTTGAAAGATCTCGAGCTGGTGCTGAGCTGCTGGAGGGAGCTTTGGCTGGACACTTCCCCATGTGAACGAATAGTTGAGCGTGTTGGGGTCCTGTGACATTGTTGGTGTAAGCTGCCACGCTCTGGTGTAGGCTCTCTGGAACCATCTCGCAGACAGTGTGCGATCCCGGTCCTTGACGCCGTACGGGCTGCTGTCCTTTTGGCCGGTTCGCCGCTGTTGTTTAAGGGATTTGGGTTTCTCGACAATCGCCGCTGGCTTTGTGGCATAATCTGCCCAGCTCCAAGATGCTTGCTCGCCGGTCTCTGCCGAGGTCACCAACGGCTTTGCTGATGTTCGCCTCTCTGGGACGTTCCACTCGCCTCTCTCTTGGCCTCCGTTACTCAGCTGCTTGAGCATCTCCCACTCGCCCCTGCCCAGCGGAGGCATGATCTTTTCAGCACTCCGCCGCCACCAGTGAGCTCTTTTCGTTTGTCTTAGATTCTCTCCAGGTGGTTTCCCCCAGATGGTCTCTTTAGGAATGAATTGATCCGGGTCAATCGTCTTGACGATTGCTCCCCGCCAGCTGGCCATTCCCTTTGTGTCCCGCTGTTGCTGCCGCTGTGATGATAGAAGCCGCAAGAGCTTTTTTTGGTCCCATTTATCGAAAAATTTCCTTTTGATTTTTGATTCGCTCTCTTCTGATACCTGCGTTGAAAAGGCAGAGTCTTTTGCCGCTTTATTTCCTCTGTCGGCTGACACAAGAGCTTCTTCAAGAGCGCCTGTATCTCTGGGCCCCTGTGGGATCACGAATTTGGCCATCAGTTCTCGTCGCCTGCTTCCTGTTCTCCCAAACCCCTTGGATATCAAGCCCTCCATGGCGGACTGCTCGCCGCTATTGGCAGCTCGTAGAGTTCGTAGAGCTGTCTGCGCTCTTGTGAGATGGGATTTTGCACGTGGGTCATACTTTCGATGTCTATGAAAACGATCTTGAATTGCGGAGGCAATCTCGGCGCGGAAGGCGGGAGGTAAGTAAGAACATTCTCGGAGAATATGACGGTAGAGCTGGATTGCGGATGGCGACGCGGGGAGGGGATATGAAGGGGCAGGCATGATGGATGGCCGAGATGGGCGGCCGTATTGATTGAGCAAAGCCGCAAAGGCTCTCTCGCAAAAGATTGAAGAGATATCAGGTATTTTTCTGGTCGAAAGAGGAAAATGAAGATTGATCCGTGGATATCAAGTCAAGGCTCAATATCTGCGCTTTACTGGTTAAACTCCGGCCAATTCTCAGTATCAAACCATAGCACTGTGACAATCTGGGTCTCGGTGACCCTTCATTCACAACTCATAATGTCTCTTGAATAATTCTTGAATTCAAATACAAGTAGTAGCAATGGGCTAAATTAACGACAATACCAATTGCCCAGTGCATTTACCTTGCATTAGTACGTAAAGCGCCATCTAAGCCTAATGTCACTGGACTTGAAGAGCAAAATTTACGCACAGCACTAACGGATAAAAGGACTCATTTACTCACCAGCATTGCAAACGTGTTTCGGCAAACTGCTCGAGGCAAACACCCAGCTGCGATTCAAGGGGAGAAGTGCTGGTTCGTTTGTTCCATGCTGGACCCAAAATGCCGGATGCTAGACCGCTCACCATTTGCACCTAGGCTGAAAATTATAGAGGCGCCACAGTTCCACCCACTCTTTCAGCTTCACGCAGCCGCAATTTAGCAGCAGACAGCGCTCTATCTCAATCAGAAGTATAATCATTATTATCAATTCGTTTTGACGGTACATTTATCCCCTGGGTACTCAACATAATTCCAGTTCATTTCCTTTCCTTTCAAAGCCACAGCATTGCTCTTCCTACTGTCACTCATCTCCGCTGCGTGTCAAGATGCCTCTCATTATGAACATCGAAGACATCGACAGCCTCGATGGTCTAGCGCCACGGGCCTGCGAACTATGTAGGCGAAAAGACAAAGTCTTCCGCTGCTCAGCGTGCCTGGCTGTATACTATTGTGGACGAGACTGCCAGGTCCAAGACCGTGAGGATCACAAGATTCCATGCAAGTTGCTCAGGAAAGCACATAAGCGCTACAGGGAAGAGGAGCAGAAGCTGCGTGAGTGGCAGGAAGATCTCGACACACCGGAAAACGTCTTTGAAGAGCACGCTGGTCGTTTCTGGAGAATCATGGGAACGCGTCCGTATATGGTTGCGCGGTTTGATCTGGCACACATCATGAATGACAGCTACGGCACCCCTGGTGGCCCGAGGGATCTTGTGCAGGATATGCTGGACCATTATTTGGACATGTTGCGACTGAGCCGCTCAGACGGCCTGGGAGTGCGCGAGATAATTCCTGCACTATACGTTCGACTCGGCAGAGACCAAGATGCCTACGATTTCCTTAGGTGGTATGCGGACGTTAATGAGAATCCGGACTACGATTGGGGCAACATGAGTCTACCTTTTGTCGATACCAAAAATGCAGACGCACTTGAGGAACCTCTACAACGAGCGTGGACAGCCAAGTCGTATCTTGATTTGAGCCACGCTGTGACACTGCTGTTGGTCAAGGTGCGAATCTTGCTCGACCTCCAGACCGTCCAAAACACCACCACTGCGCTTGGCGGCACGTTCCCACCCGAAATTATCGGACTCATTGACGGGAAGCTTGTCCGCCGCGATACCTTGTTACGGCATCAAAGTCTGTTGAGCAGGCCGGAAAAGCTCGAGCCGCTGATGAAGAAGATCAAGAGCCAAATCAGAGAGGTATACAAGGCCGTTGGAGAATACAACCCGCATTTCTGGAACCTGATGGTGAACAACCCGGACGCTTGTGTTTTGCAAAGGCCGCAGCTTGATGGATATGCACAGCGATCGGAAGAAGAGGCTTTGTTTATCCTCGACTATACTTTTGCTGCGTGGTATGAGACGCCGGGAGCTGTCAAGATGCTTCGAGACTTGGCCAAGAGCTAGATCCGTGTGTCTGTTCCTGAGTAGTCATATACGACAGCTCAGGCAGTCCTAGTCTGATTTTAGCGCTGAGTCTGAGCTGTTGCTGCTTTAACCCAAATAGATGGTGAGCAAACGGCTGAGCAAAGGGATGCCTTGAGGGAAACGCAGCAACTAGTAGTAGCTTTACAGCCATTGATTTCACATCTGTCTTATCTAGCACTCCAGAAGCCCTAGCATAATTTAGATAACTCGCAGATTTTTCTTTAAGACCAGGTACAGGACCTAGAACTTAATAAAAAAAAAGTTGCAAGACTAAGAGTTAAGCGTTCTGTTTTAAAAAATTGTTACATGGAGCGGATAAAGCCCAAAGGATACATCACGCCCCTTGGCACGAGAAGCTATGCTAAGCAAGAGAAGCAGGCCCTGGTGCTAAAAATTATATAAAAAGAGTGGCCCCCGGGTAACTCATAATCGATCTAAGAAAGCATAGGAAGAAGAGAAAGCATTAATAGATGGGAGCTAGCGATTGTGGTGGCTGGTTGGCATTTCTCCCATTTAATAAAGCAAATCTGGAGGGCACTTCCCTCCTGATGATTAAAGACAGACAACTACCTCATGAACTTGAGTTTGTTGGACACGCATGTGTGAAGCCATCGTTGAATCGCTCATCACTGACCAGTCTGGTGCAGGCTCGCACCGCCGTATTAGGGTCACGTGCCACACTTTTTTTTGGGCGTCCTAGGTTCGAGACCTGGTGAAGTATTTATAATTTTTTTTTTTTACACCGTTTTGAGGAAATAGAACCTGTACATTTAGCATACAGATACAAATTCTCTTGAATAAACTTGTAGAGTCGAGTAGGAAAACTGGGATGTTTGTTTGCATCGTCATATGTGCACACAAGCTGCCTATAGTACTACTACTAGTAATTTCGAAGCGCTTGCACGTCAATTGTAGGGATCCGCGCAGGATCATGTGAGCCGTTCAGCTGCTTATTGCAAAGGCTACCGCCCGACTTTAGTGGCTTGTTTTGAGTTGTACCGTTGCTTGTATCGTAGCATTACAGGATGCAACCATCAAGATGCTACTGCAAAGGGTGCAAATGAAAGCCTCCAGATGCACATGTTGAGAGCTGATGACTTACATTCGGCTCCTGATCTGCTGCAATCATACATCATCCCGCGATAGTGCCGTTACAGCAACTACGACAAGAGCCATCAGCCGGACAAGCTCTCACCGCAACTCGCGGCTTCTCGTCCTGATTGGTAGAGGCTAAATGAAATGTTGATGGCCAAAGAGCACAATGTAAACAAACTCTCTTCAAGCCCAAGCCCAAGCCCAAAGCCCCAAAATAGGGTCTCGGCGTATCACAATCGCCTGTCTCGGTCGCTGACCAGGGCTATCCAACCCCACCAGCGCCCATCTCACCATCAGCAGCAGAAAAAAGGGTCATTAAAGTCGCGCTGCGCGACACGCCCGACACGAAATCACGAAACAGACACGTCCAAGCTCGGATTTCAATTAACAGCGTTACATGCTCCGACTCGGCACGCGCATCGCAGCGTACCTCGACTATTTTTCCTGCAGCGCAGGTCTGATGTACATACGGGGAACGCCTTATGCCACCGGCTGCATATCCCCACCGCACCTTTTGGTCGATTGCATCAACGGCCGGTTCCTGTTTTTTATCTTGCGTAGTTGAAATTGCCTTTTCTTGATAAACTTGCCCTGTGCAATCAAACGAGTGCCGCACAGGTCTCAGACGCTTGCCCTTTGCTCCATTCCCCGAGACCAGGAACCAGAGCCTCAAAAACGCTCGCGCCCTTGCTTCAGCCAGATTGTTGTCCTCTTGCGCAGCCCTCAGCCAGGACCTGCATATCTTGTCGTGGCCCGTTCTTCTATTCGCTGCGTTTGCTGCAAAGCGGAGACGCCATCGTCGAACCCCCTCCCCTCGGCAGAAGCAGGCGTTGCTATACCTTATACCTTGCACACAATCTTGTGCTGCAGATTTGCTGCTGTCACCCTGCCAGCAAGCCACGCGGGCCGAAACCTCTCTTGTTCCCGCCACGGGACTCGCATCTCCAAAGCGCCCTGACCGACCACCGAGGCTGCGACTAGGAGAAGAAGAGCAGCAAAGAACAAGGAGAAAAAGGCGGCATACCGAAAACGAACCCAAGGCCTTTGTGCGCATTCGCTCTTTTCGCCCTTGCTGCTTTTGTGTATGGGTTAGACTTTTGAGTTGGCATCGGCAGGCAAACCTACGAGCTAGTGCCGCCTCCATTTTGTCGTCCAATCCTCGTGCGACCTCAATCTCGTCTTCACCAGATTCACAACCTTGGCCATGCCATCCGCTTCGCAAACGTCGCAACAATCCTTCACAATGAGCCAGCAGTCGCAGACGGGGCGGGCTGCCTCGTTCAACCGCAGCTACAACGGCGGCGTTGACGGGCCGCAGATATACTCGGTATGTATCCCCGCCTTGGGCCAGCGTCAGCGCTCGGCCTGTGCACTCGTGAGGCCATGAATTTTAATATATGAGAAACAGGCGTCTTATTCGGGTGTCGATGTGTACGAAATGGAAGTCAACAACGTTGCCGTTATGCGCCGCCGCCACGACTCCTGGCTGAATGCCACCCAGATCCTCAAAGTCGCCGGAGTCGACAAGGGGAAGCGCACCAAGATCCTCGAGAAGGAGATCCAGATCGGTGAGCACGAAAAGGTCCAGGGAGGTTACGGCAAATACCAGGGCACTTGGATAAAATTCGACCGAGGCGTTGAAGTCTGCCGCCAATACGGCGTGGAGGAGTTATTGCGGCCACTGTTGACATACGACATGGGCCAGGATGGAGGCGTTGCAGGCCGCGGCGATTTCAACACCCCGACTAAAGAGCAAGCCATGGCCGCGCAGAGGAAACGCATGTACAACGCCGGAGGTGATGGGAGACCCAATGGCTTGTCGGGCACCTTTTTCAAGAACATTTCCAGCACGGCGTCCCATGCCGTTGCCGCCATCAGCAAGGCTCGGTTCGGCTCTCCCGGGCCTAGAAATCGCAATGGGCCATCAAGAGCTCCCAGTTTCAGCCGACAGCCCTCGATGCAGAATGGCGATGATTTCCCTGGCAACTCTCAGCAGAGCTATACCTCTGACTACACTAACCCAGCTGTCGACTCTGCCTATTCAACGCAGCAACAGCAACAGCTACAGCAACAGCAATTGCAGCAGTCACAGCAGTCACAGCACCAACATCAACAGCCAAACGGCAGTGTGAGCATGCCCGACAACGAACCCCCGAGAAAACGTGCACGAGTCACCATGACCCCCGCCGATAGCTTTGGAGCCTACGGGCAGAACATGGATGCCTATGCCGCAGCCTTTCCGGGATCACCGACGGAGCCCAACGAATCCTTTGTGTACACGCAAAGTGCGATTAATGAACGCGATGCCATCGACGAAGGCAGCGGCCCGTCCCCTCCTCTGCCCTACGAGGTGTCTCCCGACGTGGAGCTCAAACGCAGCATGCTCATGGGCCTATTTATGGACTCGGCTACGGAGGAGTCATCACACGAAATGCTCCAAACACTTACACCTCTCGAGCTTGACATGCCCATCGACCCTCAAAGCCACACCGCTCTTCACTGGGCAGCCACACTGGCACGAATGCCTCTTTTACGAGCTCTCATCGCTGTTGGAGCCTCACCCCGAAGAGTGAATGCATCAGGAGAGACGGCCCTCATGCGAGCATGTCTTGTCACAAATTCTATGGATCAAGGCTCGTTTCCAGATCTCCTTGAAGTTTTGGGAGGCACCATTGAGTTCCGTGATCATAAAGGACGCACCGTTTTGCATCATATTGCAGTTACAAGCGCTGTCAAGGGCCGCAACGCCGCCAGCAGATACTATCTCGAAAGCCTACTGGAGTGGGTTGTGCGACAAGGCAGCGTTCCCAACAGCCAAGCCACACAGCTGAATGGAAATGGCATCAACGGCTCACAATCTATCCCTAAGATGGGTATTGCGCGATTCATGTCCGAGATTGTCAATGCCCAGGATAGCTCAGGGGATACAGCGCTTAATATTGCAGCCCGGATCGGAAACAGGAGTATAATCTCTCAGCTGCTAGAGGTTGGAGCTGATCCGGAGATTGCTAATCGTGTCGGGCTGCGGCCTCTGGACTTTGGTATCGGCGGCGAGAATGCCGATGGAAAGATGAATGGCGATGCTACGGCTGAGAAGAATGGTGCTCCTGGATCCAGCCAGCGAAGCCGAGAGAGCAGTGACGAGATTATCGAATGTAAGTCAAATCTCATCCACTTTGTCCATCAGCACCCTCCTTTGTTAATCATCCAATTAACTCCATAAACAGCCATTACCCATCTCTTGAACGAAACCGGCGCCACCTTCCAGCAAGAAATGAAGAGCAAGCAAGCTTCATTAGACAACCTGCATTCTACCCTCCGAACGACATCAGCCCAACTAGGCGAAGCTCGTCGAAGCATCGAACAAATCACAGCCACCCTCAAGAAGCAACAGCTGGCTCGCCAAAAGGTCGCCAACCTCACGCACGCCCGAGAAGATGACCAGTTCCGCATCATGAACGAACAGTCCAACGCCGCCCAGTCAAATCCATCATCATCATGGGAAACCGAATTAGCCGCCATGCTAGAAGCCGCCGGAGAGGCCTCTGCGTCTGGCGGTGGCGGCTTCGCCAGCGAAGGAATGCTTCCCTCTGCAACAATTCTACGGGCACGCATCCGCGCCATCGAGAGCCGCAGGGAAGTCACGCGCAAAATGGTCATGGCCCTCAAAGGCCGGAGCCGCGACGTCGAGGTCAAGTACCGGCGTGTCGTTGCGCTATGCACGGGTGTTCCTGAGACTGAGGTAGATGCCGTCGTGGACGGTCTGCTGAAGGCTGTTGAGAGCGAGAAGGATGAGCTAGAGATTGGGAGAGTAAGGAGATTCCTTGGAGGAGTCGAAGGTGTAGTGCACTAGTGAAAGCGCTACCTTTTTACCATTCCTTTATCTCCTTTATCTCTCTTCAATGAGGAGAGCTCTTCGTTTCTATTCGATGTTCGAAGTTCCTGTATATTTGTATACTGCATATCTCGGTCTGGCATCCTTGGAGAAGTTGTGTCTTTTGTCTTTTTGCACCTTTCACTCGGACACTTTTTTTTTTCAGGTCACGATTTTATCACGACTTTGTTTTTTTTTCCTTTTCACATATATACATATATGCATACACTCAGATATAAAGGCGGAAGGTGGATGGTGTTTTTCTGGTTTTGGTTTAACCCTTTTTCTAGCATCATTGGATGGATGTACATGACTTTTGAACTGTTTCATGTTTTTTTTTTTCTAGAATGGCGGGAAGTTTTTCTTTTCCCACGTTATTTCCAAGTCATTGTATAGCGAAATATCTGTTTTTTTTTTCTTGTGTTATTGCATGTAATGTAATCAAAGGGCTTCAAAAGAGAAATCAAAAAGCTTGAGTTTCACATGATAATTCGATGAGATGTCATTTCGCAATGTGAATTTCCCAATATGAAGGATAATACTACCTCCTATATAATTTCAGCATTTACTCTTAACGATATCGTAAACTGGACCTCTAATCAAAACCCTTCAAACAGAAGCGCTTCCCATGTTTCGCCGTTTAAACAAGAAAACAATTCGTTAAGCAACTGCTGAACCGCCAAAAAAACGCCGTATAATGCGGATAAATAGCCAAAAATCCAGTCCAATCGAGGATGGATAAGATACATAATTTCGCATCCAAGGTATTAAGATTCGTAAACAAGGGCGAACCAAGTGCTTCTTCTCCTTCGGCTCATGATCCATTCCGGTAAGCCACCTCCCACTTCTTCTCCACGTCCCCAATCTTCTTCCTCAACCCCTGTATCTCGCCATTCAGCTCATCCATATTCCGAGACAAGGCGCTGACTTCTTCGAATCTCCTTGATCCGGTGGCTGACTTGACCATTTCTTCGACCATGAATTTTTGTTCTTCGAGCACGGCGAGGCGCTCTCGCAGGTCCTTTTCTTCCGTCTCCAGCAAGCTGACCACCGTGCTGGTCTCGCTGGCCGCCTGAGAGGCGTTTTCTGATTCGGCAAGCTCGGAATGCCGTAGGCTTGACGCCGAGTGATTTGTTGAGGGGAGAAAGTGTGAGTGTGATGAAGAGGTGGATGGCGTAGATCGGTGACGAAGGAGCTGCGGTAGATTTTTAAGCGGCAGCATGTTGGTATGTAGAAATGTGCTCGCTGAAGCATACACAGCGATCTGAAGTCTTTGTTGAGTCGGGTTATCCGCATTCAAGTCGCGCAGCCTCTTGGCGGCAGATCCGTATTTGGTGAAGCTGTCTATTAGGCGTTTCCGTATCTTGCTCGCTTCTTGGATTTGTGCGTGTGTAGGTGGAGGTTTGTTGAGATCAACTTCTCCGTTTTCCTTCACTTCTGGTTGTAATGCCAAAAGAGCTCGATGGAAGCTCGGCAGAAGCTGCCGTATACCCCTTTCAAATTGTCGAAGGGTTTCATAGGCTCGCTGATCTGGAGGTCTATGCGCCAGGGATGCTGCAAAGTCACGACTAGAGAAGATGGTACTATTGCAATCCTTGCACATTCTGATATCCACAGCCACATGGCCGGTAGTAGTCGATGGAGGTTTCTCTGCGCCAGGACCAGTTGCTATACTCGAGGTTAGCCTACAACAGTGAGATATTCACAATGGACGAGCAACACGTACGACTAGCAATGCTTAAGCTGACTTCAGATGAACAGCCAGTCTGAGGATCTCCGCACACTACGCGGCCGCATATTCGGCAATGATGCCGCCTAAACGTCCAGGAGCCGAATTCTTGATGGCAAAATGGGCACTCTGGCACCTTGTCGTCTTCCTCCCATGTCACTACCGACTGTTCAATCAATTTCCGAGGGTTCTTTTGGCCGGTCAGTGACTGGACAGGAGCTAATATTGAGCCGTTTGATGCGTTTGTGAGCGCCTCTGGAGAGTTTGCAAGCAGTCTCGTGAGCTTCGTCAACCTCTTCTCGAGGCGCGAGATTTCCAGAGTCTGTCTTTCGACCTTTTTCCGCCTGATGGCCTTGAACATGTCTGTGTGATCTACCGATGTTCCGTTATGGTCGTTGTATCCCTCTCTAGACTTGTAGCATGTTTCGCATACTCTAGCCCAGTAACCGCGGACAGGCTCGTGGTTGGCACTTCTACTCAGTTTCATCTGGTACATGGTGTGCTGCTCGCAAAAGAGGCGTCCGCATTTCCTGCAGTTGACGTTTCCGTTGATAGGTCCGAGCCCCTTTCCACAAGTCGGATCCGTGCACATGTCATATCCCGTAGAGCGCTGCCAGTGATGTCTCGTTATGAATTCCTCCGGGTCGACGGGAGCTTCAATCGGGAGCTTGCTGGCGGACGCTATTGGGGCTTGCGGCGGCGTAATAAAGCTGGTTTCGTTTGATTCGAAGACTTCGAGGCCGCGCAGCTTCATGTTGATCATCGACAGCGGCTGGAAGCGCTTCGCTTTGAGGACCTGTTTGTCGAACCATGTCTTGACTTCGTTCTGTTCTTCGGCAGGGAGCTCTTGGTGGGTGTCATCGATATGGCGGTTGAGTTGGAGCAAAGTGAGCTGCAATATGGTAAGTAAGAATACGCCACGGCTTAGCCCTGACAGCTTCATACCATCTCTTCGCTGCAGATGGGGCACAGAAGGCTCGACGGGTCCGCCGAGCTGCCCTTTGGCTGTGCCCCGACGCTGATGCTGGAGCCAATATCCTGGCTCAGGTCGGCTAGACTGCCGCTCGCAGGTGGCGATATCGACGACGAGGCCACGGAAACGGTGCTCTCGGACGGAGCAAAGGGACTGGAGGATCGAGCCGGAGGGGTCGGGCCAAGGCCCTTTCCACTGCCCAGGATCCTGCCGCCGCCGAGCCTGCGAGACATGGCGATGGTTTGCGGAGCGGAGCAAAGAAGAAGAGAATCAGAACCGAAAAGAAGCACAAAGAGCACAGCAAGACGACCAGAACAGGCCGATGCGTGCCTCGAGCTGCATCGCTGAAAGAGCCAGGCAGGGCAGAGAGCAAAGCGCAAGGCAAGGCTAAGGCAGGCTGCAAGAGGGGGCTGTGCGGAACGGTTGCGTCGCTCAGCCGCCAGCCGCGATTCGCTGGCTTTAGCGCACGCGACAGGGGTGCAGTGGTTGACGTAGAGGCTCCGGTCCCATCAGAGCGCTAAAAAGGGCATGCGCCGACGCTACTACAGCGGACGGGAAGCGTCAAGCGCGCCGAGAGCTTTGCTGATTCAATGCGTCAATGGGAAACAGCACAAACAGTGGATCATCTACCTACTGTACAGTAAGTAGTATGCTCAACACGTATCGCTGCGTGTCTTATCGAAACTCCGAAAAATCTCCAATTCCGCCACTTGTGCAAGGCAAGCCGAGCATAGCTTAAACCTTGACTCAGACTCGGGACATTCGAATTCGAAATTGAATCGCCCGTCTTTCCGCCTCAAACCACACATCGAACGCTACTTCAATACGAACTTGAATTATGAGCAAATCATTTCCGCAAGTGCAGCCGGGAGGGAGCTTGATTCTGGCATGGCGCATCAAGGACAAGAATGTTTTGGTAGTGGGCGGTGGCGAGGTACGGCTGTTTGCATTTCCAAGTCCTGACGTTCTAAAGGGCTACACAGGCTCTCTAGGCTCTTGACGGTTGGAAAGAGCTGCAGGACTAACAAGCAAATCAATCGACAGGTTGCGTCCGGCCGCATTCTCAACTGCCTCAACGCCGATGCCAAAGTCACCGTCGTCTGCCCTGCGTCCGGGCTGAATGAGGAGGTCGCATACCGAATCGCAGAGAAGCAAGTTACACACATCGACCGGCTGTTCGAGCCCTCCGATCTGGACAAGACAGACATGGTGCTGGTCGCCATCGACGACCCGGCAGCCTCTACGGCCATCTGGAAACTGTGCAAGGAGAAGAGAGTCCCGGCCAACATTGCCGATGTGCCCCCCGAGTGCGACTTCTACTTTGGCAGCGTCCATCGCGATGGGCCGCTGCAGGTCATGGTCAGCACCAACGGCAAGGGACCCCGATTGGCGGCATCGCTGCGGCGGCACATTGCGAGCCAGCTGCCGCAGAATGTCGGCAACGCTATCGAGACAATTGGGGATTTGAGATCACGGCTGCGCAAGGTTGCGCCCAACCACGAAGACAGCCAGAAGCGGATGCGATGGTAAGGTTTTGGACGCCATTATTGCTAGATGCACGCGACACGGAGATGCTGACTGAAGATGGCGCGTAGGATGTCCAAGGTCAGCGACGCCTACAAGTGGGAGGAGATCAGCCAGCTCACAGAAGAGGACTTGGAAAACCTGCTGCTGTTCTATCCCGCAAACAAGGTCCCGGATATCGATATTCTGAAATCCCTTCGCGGTCCGGACAACGACATGAAGAAGCTCGACGTTTTTGATGGATCATTTGGATTCAGCGTGGGGTCGTAATTGGGACGCGGAAACGAAAGAAAAAAACAAAGAAAAAAAGAAACCAAAAAAAATTGTGTGATTATATGTTGTACAGTTAATTGGCGCTCAATGGTTGTCTTTTTTCTGACCAAATGGAAATGGAATATGGCGTTGATGTACTATAACGAGCAAGCGCAGAGTTCTTGGCTACCAATAGAAATGACGAATTCCTCTCTTTCACTTTCGACTTTTTCGGAAATTGTGTGTAATCTTTTTTCTTTATCGCTTTGGGATCTTGCCAATCCCCTTTTCCTCCAGGATTATAGGGACGTCTCCTTGCCGTCTAACTTACTTGGGGGAATATACTTGTACAAGGAGTAGAAAAAGCGGGGCTAGAACGGCATTTGCAGCATCTACTTCCTGGTGATTCGGTTTTCCACAGCATGATCAAATCTTTTTGCCTTTTAAGAAAAAAGCAAGAATCTTGGTAAGTAGTTGGAGTTGAATGACTAAGTTAGGGTTGATGGTCAGGATTAATGGTGTATAAGTGAGGGCAAGTTGTGATTGATCGACAGGATTGGCCAATAAAAGCCCATCTTTTTGTTATAAGTTTCGCGGCGGTTGCTTATTTGGACTCCGACAGGGGTAGCTGGTAAAAAAGACCAGACAGCAAAACGAATATACACATGCGTTATGATAAAAAGAGCACTGTTTCTGCTATCATAGCGCTGTATACATGTGCGCATGGCATATTTTGTGCGTTGATAATGTCTCTAATGCCGGTTTTTTTGTCCGGTAGTCCTTTCAGGATCCCAGATCTGGCGCCGCCCAGCGACCGGAGATGGCGCCGTTCTCCGGTCAGGCCATTCGGACTTGGCCTCGCGCCATGAAGCAATATTGAAAAGTCAATTGCAACGCCTCACCGATTGAGTCACTCGGAGAACAGTTATAAAGTGTAGAGAAGCCATTGCCAGGTATTGATTTTGTATATAGATGAAGGGGAGAATGAAGAAAATGAAGGAAGCAATCCACTCAGCCACTTATTCAATCGCTTAACAACATTTGGTACTCTTTTCACAAAGACAATTACTTCTAGATATTTTATAAACTTGAAAATGGCCTCTCCTATCGTTCTCGTTATCGGCTGCGGTGTAGCTGGACCTGTGCTTGCGATTCTTCTCAAGCGCAAGGGCTATCGTCCGATTGTGTTTGAAAAAGTCCGAGAGCTGGGCACTGCTGGAGCGTCGTTGATGGTCATGTCCAACGGGTATGTTCTATTCCAGACATGGAATCTGATGATGGATTGAAAAAAAGAAGTATTAACGTTTGGAACTTCAGACTCAAAGTCTTTAACATGATTGGGGTTGCAGACGCTATCAAGGCCGAGTCCCTGCCACTCAAAGCTCTTTGGGATGCTAAAGCTTCAGGGGAAGTGCTGGGGCAATCCGATTTACCGTCCACCTTTACCGAGAGATACCAGCAGCCTGCCGCCGGCATCAGACGAACAAGCTTAAATCTCTTGCTGAAAAACAAGGTATTGGAAGAGGGTATCGAAGTCAGAGAAGGGTGGGGACTGGTTGCTATTCAAGAGCACGACGACTCAGTGACGGCAACTTTCAGCAACGGCGAATCAGTCACGGGGTCTTTTCTGATTGGATGTGATGGCATCAAATCAGCAGCAAGAACAATTCTTCTAAAGCAGCGGGGGGTTGAAGAAGGTGCCCCTTCGTTTACGGGTCTCACACAAGTACGTTTTTGACAATTACAAATCTACTATTCAAGTTAAAAGTAACTAACAAAGAGACCCAAAGACGGCCTTCCTTTCAGAAACACCGGGGCCTCTGCAAGACTTGGCGGCTATGCGCAACTGGTACGGCGATGGAACACACGTAATCGCTTATCCAGTCGGCCCAAAGACCACATCATGGGCTCTCACGCAGCGTGAAACCCAAGAGAGGGAAGAGACATGGCGCCCCTTTACCGCTGACGAGATGAAGACTCAGCAAGATGCTCTCTGCAAACTGCTCGAGGGGTGGGATGAGAGCATCGTCCAAGGGGTGAAGTCTTCAGAACGCATCATCAAGTTTGGTCTCTTTGATCGAGACGAGTTGAAGCCCGAGCAGTGGTATTCTAAGCGATGCGTGCTAGTCGGGGATGCCGCCCATCCTACCAGCCCTCATCTCGGACAGGGAGCCAACCAGGCCATGTGAGTGGAACTGAGCCATACTCGTTTGAAGCCTGAGCCTAGCAATTTTTTTTACTGACTCGTCAACCTAGGGAGGATTGCTACCACTTGAGTTGCGCACTGCCAAATCTCTCTTCCAGGCAGGATTTCGAGAGCAACATTGCAGCTCTCGGCGCCATCTCGGACATCTTCCGGCCTTTTGCAGAAAGCCGCCAGCCGCGAACGTCGGTTCTCGTCAAGGGAGCTCGCGCTCTCGGGGAGAAGCGAGTGGCTGTCGGTGCCGAGCGAGGCAAGGAGCGAGACGAAGCTGTTGCGCAATCCTACCGGGGAGGTGCTGCAGCTATAGTTGAAAAGTTTGAGGGGCTGCTGAGCCAGCCGTTCAACTAGTTGAGCTGATTCGGTTCTACCGCAACCGAATGCATGAACCATCGCATGGCTGTGTGTATAAATAGAGACTAGCGACGTGTATTTGATTTAATGAATAGCGACGTGTACAAGATTCGATACGACATTTGAGGGCACGTATATGAATGGATGTGAAATACTACATGTAACCTGCTTGACACGCAGCGAGCAGAATTTGGCCAACTGCCGATCAGCTGTTGATTCAATGATAGAATAATCTGACAAGCTGGATATCAAAGTTTGAAAGATATGCACAAAAATAGAAGAGGAAGCTGAAGATGGGATTTGGTGATTACTATTTCCTTCGTATTCTCATAGTCGATATAGTCAGCTCCGTTCAACCAAGCCCAGTGGCGCGACAAGTTCGGTTGGAAACGCCTCCCAATTGGGTTTCCCTCTGCCAAGTCCAGCGATCCGGACCTCCAATTCTTAATGAGCAGAGTCTTCTCCTTCTGATTCTCTTCGTTGCTAATATCTTTAACCTTTAACCTTATTTTTCTTCCATTTGTTTTGGTCGTAATCTGCGAGAATTAGTTGCGCCTGCACGCAATCTGGCCCAGCCTTCTCTTCTCCAGAACTGTGGCGCCCCATCTCCGAAGCATCGCGGCCCCATGTCCGAATCTCCGGTCGCTGACGAGCAGCCTCTGGCGACGGACGGCCAGGCAAGGCGAGCCAACAAAGGCGGCCGCAAGCCCTTGAGCTGCCTTGCATGTCGCCGCCACAAGCTCAAGTGCGACCGCAGAGTGCCCTGCGGCACCTGCACTCGCTTTCGCCGCGAGAAGTTCTGCCGCCTGAATCCGGCGCCGCCGAGGCCAGGCCGGCCAAGGGGCAGCGGCGACACGGCGGCTCAGGGCGATGCCGCATCGCCGGAGGGCGCCTACACCGTGGATGCTTCGGTCCGAGAGCCCATTGCATGCGCTGATGCCTCTGCCGGCGTGGGCCTCGCGCTCCGGAACAGTCAGCTGGCTGCTGCTGAGACCAGCGATGTGCCCTCCTTCTTCCGGGCCCTCGGCTTAGACGCAAACACCACGTCCGTTCCCGTTTCTTCGCTTGCACAGCTCCTCGCCGAGATTCAGCGCGCGAACCAGCCGTCCCTGCTCTGGAACATGATGGAGGGAGACGCCAACCGGCGGTACTGGGAGACGCAGCTGCGGTCTGCATTGCCGTCGCGGTCCATGTGCGACCTGATGGTCAACTACTACCTCGATCACATCAACTGGATCTTCCAGATCACGCACGTGCCGTCGTTTCGGCGCCAGTATGACGACTTTTGGGATGCCAGGGACAGCCGGGAGATGGACTTTATGTTCACGGCACTCCTCTTCACCATCATCTCGGTCAGCGCCCTGTTTATACCTCCTGTGACGGCTGAGATATTCGGATGTCCGAAAGAGTCGGTCCGGGATCTTGCACATGTATGGCACAAGGTCTCTCACCAAGCCTTGCGGGCTGGGGACTACGAGTCAAAGCCGTGCATTGTGCAGCTCCAGACCTTTTCCATTACGCAGTTTTACTGGTATTCCACCAACAAAATCGATACACTGAACTCGTAAGTCTTTTTCTCGGGAATGGTTGTTGATTCAATGTGATGGTTCAACTAACAAATGCGCTCTATAGACGGTTGGGGCAGGCTGTGAGGACTGCTCAGACTCTCGGACTGGATAAAGATCTGAGTCCTTCTCAAACGCTGCATGATGAGATGAGACACCGTATATGGTGGGATCTCGTTGATTCAGACACGTAAGATTTCCGTATCTTGTTGAGATGAAATAATTAACGACTTTTATAGATTCCAATCCATCTGCTTGGGCCGCCCTCCACTGATTCGCTTAGAGACTCCGGGAGTCCCTCTACCACTCAACTGCAACGACGACGACATCACCGATACATTCCTGCGGCCACGTCCCGATAATGAGCCGACTATGATGATGCTGAATATCTTTAGAGCCCGATTCTTTAAGCTGATGAACAATCATATTTGCTATGGCGATCCCAGCGGCAGCGACTCCTACGAGACCATCTGCAAACTAGACGAAGAGGTCCTCAACATTACAAGATCTTACCCCTGGTTCTTCCAGCTCGATCAAGAGGGCCGTCCACCTCCTCTGCCCCATCCAATGGGAGAGATCATCACCTGGCAAAACCACATTATCCGCACATGCATCAGTACCCAGCGCATTCGCATGTACCGCCCCTTCATATCGCATCGCATCGGCGACTCGTGGGCCAAATGCACCGAAGCAGCCGAGGACGCCATGGCCGTATACAGAACCCTCCGACGGAACAAATCCAGCACCTCGCTTCAAAAGTTCCTCCCGCAGGCATACCAGGTGTTTTCCGTTGCCGTGACGGTCACGGCGCTTCTCCTGGTGGAAGGCTCGTTGCCCATACCGAATGTTTGGCAGCAGATTAGGAACATGGCGGACGATCTCAAGATACTGGAAGATGAGGGCTGTGTATCTCCTGTTGCGAGCCGCGGGAGACAGGTCTTGACAAGGATGCTAAGCTTGGTAGATATGGGAAACAATGGCGCTCCGGTACCCGAAGTGACGGATGACCTGGTCGCTGATATAGGCTTCATCTTTGGCGGAGAGGAAGCTGCTCAGACGTATTTGCAGAGACTGGCATCTCGGAATCTACGGCATAGCGGGCGTGACGCTTCGGTGCCGTCCACAGTGTCGGAACAGAAGACTACGCCGACGTCTATGAGCAGCTCAGCGTATTCACATTCTGGGTTCCAGAATCTAGCTGGTCATCATGGCGTGGTGGATGCGTCCATTGTAGAATCGGCGGGGTATATGGTAGGACCGCCGCAGCAGCAGCAACACCAGCCTACGAATGTGTACCAGATGGATCTCATGATGGATGATATGGTGTTGCAGAATATGCTGAATTTCGATATGACGGCGATGATGGCTGATTCACGGTTTGAGTGATGATGGGAATTGAACGCGGTTTTTGTTTCATCTCTACAAGACTTTTTCTTTTGCAAGCGAGCATTTATTGTATTTAATGAAAAAGGGGCTGTGCATCTTACCATTGAGCTAAAAGGGCAAAGTGACGCAATTTATTAGGTAGAAGCTCAGCTATTGAGACGAAAATAAACCGACAAATCTCATACACTATCATATGGGTATATGAAACTTTTAACATCCAGTCCATTTGCTCCATGCAACACGCAGATGGACAAACAAATTTAGGCAGCCATGATGCTTCTTCCTCCATCTTGCGTCATCCTCTTGCGCACCCGGATCTTCATATGGCCGTGAGACAGCTTGATAAGCTGTGGGCTGACTTCTTCTAACACGGAGACTTGGGCATCATCCCATCCATTACTGGTAGACAGACCGTTTTCCGACTTCAGTGACGTTGTGAGCACGTCAATTATTGCAGATGGACAGAATAAAAGGGCCTGGCCACGTCGAAGAGCCACGATTTTGCTAAATAGCTTCATCGCGAATTCGTTGGGATTCAGGTCCGCAACAAGGCCGTTATTGCTGTCTTCGCCATTGGAGTGACCGGTGCTGGTTTGCTGATTCTTGTTCAGAAGCGAGATTGACGCGCCGGCCAAGTGCTTCTTGAGACTTTGTAACCAGTCAGGAGAGGTGAATCGGTGCACAATCGTGACGGAGCATAAATCCAACAACTTGGGTGAAATAGTAGGCTCTTGGGTCGAAATGATGACTCGGAGGCCCAAGTGACGCTGTAAACGAATGTTGGAAAGAAGTGCCTGCGTCAGCACTTCACACTCTGCCGTTTCCGTCATGTATTTGTGTGCTTCGTCCAAAGCAACAACACGACCAATTTCCGGATTCTGCTCCAGGAAGAGGCTTAGACAGATGTTGAAGAGCGAGCAAGCTGTCTCTTCGGTCACGCATGGGCACGAGAGGTCGATGATGGTGAGTTGACCTGCCTATATCACACGTTGTACTGTCAGTTCCACAGGCCGTAGACGCTGAGCAAGGCGAAAGATGACTGACCTTGGGCTTCCAATCTATTCCTTTTCCTATATTCTTCTTGACAGCTTTGCCAGCCACGTTGACTACCTGCTCTTTCACCATGAAACTTTCCAGCGTTTCGAGTCGTTGTTGGAGAGGCACCAGTTGACCAGTGGCCAGATCCTCCCTCATGAGACGGTTCTTGAATTCAAGATAGTTGAAAGAGGTGTTGTTTTGTTGCTGCTCGATCCGCAGGTCTCGTAGAATGCGCTGCACGACGTGCAAGTATAATGGCATGCTGCCTTGGACAGAGCTTACGGCCATCAAGTCCATCATGCGCTTTGTATTGAGGTCGGACTGGTTGATGCGCAATATTTCCACTTTGACATTTGGCAGTTTGGAGTAAATATCCTAGGCAAATATCAGCAATTCAGAAATAACGAGCTCATTTGCCTTCACAACGTGATCCTCTTGCGTACCTCGATTTGTCGAACGTTGGTGGGAGGGCATAAAACTCTCACGGAGACATCTTTGGCGGAGGCCAGGTAGGCTGCCTCACAAGGCGTGCCTCGAGTAGCCGACACCCAGGGATCGTAGTGAAATACTATGCCAGTCAGTGGGCGTGGCAGAACATTTGCTTCTGACTGCATGAGGCAGTTCTCCAGTAGACAGCTCAGAGTATGGCTCTTTCCAGAGCCTTGGCTGCCGCAGATGAAGACGCTTGATGGCGCCGTTGCGTTGAAATACAGCCGATGGTCTTTTGCAACATCATCGACGCTGCCATGGGCCACACCGTTGTTCTCGACCACTCCGCCAAGTAGGCCATATTGGGTAAAAGGGTTCTCTTCCAAAGAAGTTCCATACTTGAGGACACCATGGGTGAACAACGGGCATGCAGCAAGCTCTTCTCTGTCTTCATCGCCATCATCTAGATCAAAGAACTTCATGTGCGCATTAAGCGTAGAGTCAGTATCGCTTGTTGAATCCGAGCTGCTGCCCGAAGACGAGGATGCGGAACTCATTTTTTTCTCAAACTTTCGAGGGATTTTTTTTTTTTTGCTCAAGAAATGGATAATGGGATAAAGTACAATGATGTTGGAGAATAAATAGAATCTGAAGAGGACGAGGTAGCAAGAAGAGATGGAAGAAAAATTAATGGCAAGGGGCCTTTATACTACATGTAGAGGATGATGGTATTCACGCAAGGGCGAGCAAACGAGGTGTCTTAAATGCGGGAGGCCAGCGACTCGGCGCGACTCACTTCGGATAGAAGTCGAACTCTCAATCAAAAGTGAGAATGCGGCCCACAGTGCATGGGCCAATGGCATCAGAGTTTGAAGTTTTGGTGAATTGTGTCGGCCAAGTAACTTGATCGTCTCATCTTGTAAACAACAGGAGTAGACAGCTGCGGCAGCTGGTTGCCTAGAACTGTGCGGATGCAGCCTTTAGTACAATTCTAGATATCTACATTGGTGCTACGCATCAGTGAATGTCTTTGACGGCTGCGGAACGCTTTGAGAATAAAATAAGCTGCAAATTGCCGATGATGGGTGCAGTTTCTATTTTGCTTGCTTGATGAGCCATGCTTGGATCATGTGTGTGCTAGTAACGACAGCTCGCACCAGCCAGTTGCTTTTGACTAGCAGGAGAAATAACAAGTAAAGGTTGGCAAATCTTAAATCTTTTGTAGAAATTAACGGCAAAATAGCCAAATTTATAAAGTGCAAGGAATCTGCAAATAACTTCCATCCGTTTAAATCCATGTATGTAGCTCAAAGCAATGCCCCTCGGTTTGGCGGGGTGCAGTCAATAACGTCATTCGATTGCCCGATCTGGACTCATTGCTTCCAACCTCGTCTCATCTTGAAATCCCGCTCTTCTTCTGTCACCATCATATCAGCCTTCATCAGACACAAAGCCCAAGAATTGAAGATGCCCAGCGTAGACACTTCGATTCATTCCGCCCCCAGCGGTGCCGCCGCAAAGCTGGCGGCTCTCCACGCAGACGAGCAGCCCCTCAAATTATACGGAGGATGGTTCTGTCCTTTTGTGCAACGGGCTTGGATCACGCTGGAGGAGAAAAAGATTCCCCATCAGTACGTGGAAATCAACCCGTACAAGAAGGAGCCGGGATTTCTCAAGATGAATCCTCGCGGCCTGGTGCCTACTCTCGGTGTGCCCGTCAATACTACCGGATCGGAACAGAAGCCTCTTTATGAAAGCTCTGTCATTATGGAGTATCTTGAGGATGCATACGCAGATGAATCCAAACATGGCCCTCATCTACTGCCGTCAGATCCATACCAGAAAGCCAGGGCTCGGCTGTGGATGGACCACATCAGCACTAGAATCATTCCAGCCTTCTACAAGTTTCTGCAGCACACGCCCGACAAAAGCTTCACCATTGATCAAGCACGAGAAGAGCTTCACGGCCATATCAAGACGCTCGTGGCGCAGATGAATGCCGAGGGCCCATGGTTCTTGGGCAAGAATATCAGCTTGGTGGACATAAGCCTGGCGCCTTGGGCGAAACGGCTGTTCCTGTTGGACCACTACAAGCCGGGTGGGCTTCAAATACCACAAGAGGGAGGCGAAAATGATGCATGGACAAGATGGAATTCGTGGATCAAGGCTGTGGACAACCACCCGAGTGTGAAGAACACTTGGAGTGATGATGACAAGTACATTGAGGTCTATAAGAGATATGCGGAGGATACAACAAACTCGCAGGTGGGACAGGCAACGAGACAGGGTAGCAAGCTTCCATGATTTATGGTTATAAAGTCAAGTTGGTATCGTGAGAGGAAATCACTTTACAATTTGAATTGTGTCTAACTGTCTCTTTCTTCTCATTGTCAAATCATGTCTAGGGTATTCAAGATCACTACGTAATCCGAGCCAAAGCATACACACTGTGCTGCATTATCAGCAAAGCCAAGGAAATACAGTGTTAATAAATATTCTTATGCACTCAGCTGTGGATAGCGCATACTGGGGGCAGCTAAGCGTCATCCTTCAATCTTTCATCACGATACGGCTGCATCCCAGCGTCATCACTCGGCAGCATGTCGGACAACGCCTCGCGCTTCACAGCGCAAAACAAAACCACAAACGAGCGACTGTCAACACACACCGTCGGCCTCGTCGCCCTCTCAGACTTCCGCAAGCGGCGCGCCGCAGTTCTCGAGCAGCAAGAGCGCGAAGCCCGCGAGGCCGCGCTCTCAGGCACGTCTAAACCGGACCGCTCGCTGACAGGCACTCCTGACAACGCTGGCAGTGATTCCGCCGGCAGCGCTGGCCCCGGGCCGCTGAAGAAGAAGCTGAAGAAGAAGAGCAAGCAGAACCCTGGCAAGAAGAAGCTGCTCTCGTTCGGCGACGACGACGAAGGCGAAGACGACACCGAGAATGCGAGCGGCGCCGCCTCTGAAGCATCGAGCGACAAGGACCTGAGCGAGAACAAGGCCAAGGCCAAGCTCAAGGCGAATGCTGCCGTGGGGCTGGTTCCCAAAGCAGTGACCAAAGCGGCGCTTCTCAAGGAGGCTACGGAGCGAGACGCTCTGCGGCGCGAGTTTGTTGCCTTGCAGGAATCCATCAAGGACACCGAGATTGCGATCCCGTTTGTGTTTTACGATGGCGCCAACACGCCCGGCGGGACGGTCCGCATGAAGAAGGGCGACTTTATATGGGTGTTTCTGGACAAGAGCCGCAAGGTGGGCGCGGAGCTTGGCGTTGGAGAACAGGCAAATGCAACAAGAGCTTGGGCAAGAGTTGGAGTGGACGATTTGATGCTGGTGCGAGGGACGGTGATTATTCCTCATGTAAGTGTCTATATATTCGTCTATTCTTCTATTCTCTATGTACATGTGTATACGATGATGCTAATTCTGTTGCTAGCATTACGACTTTTATTATTTCGTCGTCAACAGGAGTACCGGTCCCCGAGGCCTTCGCATCTTTGACTACAGCGCCGAAGCACCGAATGCGAGAGCCTCGACTTCAACTTTGACTGATCCAGACTCGGATCCCTCGGCCGGCGTCTTGACGACTGCGGCGGCCAAGGCGGCAGCTGCTAGGGCGCGACAAGCAGACATTTCCACGCTGGAAGGTTTTGGTGAAGATCCGACGTTGACAAAGGTGGTGGATCGTAGGTGGTATGAGCGGCACAAGCACATATATCCGGCCAGCACGTGGCAAGAGTTTGACCCCGAGGTGGATTATTCGTCGCAGATCCGGAAGGATACTGGCGGTAACACATTCTTCTTCTCGAAATGAAGAGGGTGGCTGTGGGAGCTCAAAGTAAAGGCTTGGGCGAATCAAATTCAGCCTAATAACAGGCTTGTCGCTGGCTGGTTGCGGTAGAGAGCTGGCATCTTGTTTATCGATTATTGTTATTTTCGCGATTGGATATTCCAGACAGAAGCAAGAGTCAATCAATCAGCCAGCCAGCTGCCATGCGGCAAGACAGGCACCGCCGAGGAGCAGCCAGCCGGGCCAGAAGATGAGGAGAAACATGGCGTTGCCGCAGCCCAAGATGAAGACGGCAAACTCGTAAAAGATCCTGGCGCGGACTTTCTGGACACTGCTGGAGTCCCAGATGTCGAAAATGGCTTTGGTGGACATTGCGAATGCGTGTTTGAGAATAAATGCGGAGGCGATGAATGCATAGAAGAGCAGGTGCTTGCAGGCGTATGAGGTTCCGGCGAGAAGGGCGTAGGAGATTAAGTACGATTGCAGGCAGATGTATAGGGAAACGTCGAGAAACCGATGATGTAATTGAAGCGAAAGAGCAAACGCTTTGCCAAGGCCGACGATCAGAGTCGAGTGGGGCCGCAGAGCAACTGTGGGCTCGAGCCGGGATGCTGTGAGGAGCGTGACTTTGTCCATGGCAATTATGTCAGAGATACGAAAAGGGGCCAAAAAGGGATGCTGGAAAGATGGAAACTTAAGGAAATGGGAGAAGCAAGTTTGGTAGCATTACAGATGCGACGAGGACCCTTGGGTCGAGGGAAGAGATGCTGGTGGGTGTTGTTTATATGAATAGCCACCACCGCCATCAGACTATGCCGCGTTGCTATTGAGATTAATAAAGAGATGTCTCACAACTCAAAAGAATAATTCCGGGCGCTCGAGCCAACCAGCGCTCGTCGATCAAGCAGATGCTTGGCTGCCAAGCCCCGGATTCTCGCGACGCAGAGGCGTTTGCCTGCGGGAGCGAGACACGCCTAGCTTGCACGAGCCGGGGCACATTTTCTGATGCTTGCACATCACTCGTTGCTGTGCTGTGCTAGTCACTTACACGGGAAAGGACTGGGTATTACTGCATTGGCATGTTGGCGAGATGAATAAAACCCCTCATGCTCATGGGTGGATGGATTGGAATGGGTTGTCGGAGAGGCTCTGGGAGGACCACGTGGGGGCGGTGGTTCGGTGAATGGTGAATTGGTGGAGGGTTGCTTTTGGCTCAGCCTTATCTAGATTGCGTGATGAAGGGAGGGATGGAGGGTTGTTTATGATTGCTGAAAATTCATGTGAAGTGATGGAATAGGTATGTGTTGACATGTTGTTGTTCGACGAGGTTTTAATTGAGTACATGAGCGCAAAACGCATTGATTGAATATCGAGAGATGCGCAGCGATGGATTGAAGACCTGGCTCGCTAACGCACGGCATTAAGCGCCCGGGGAATGAGCTGCATTCCCCCCCCCCCCCCCCCCCCCCCATAGACCCTGCGTGCATGAATCAGATATCAGATTGATTTTACCCAGGCGATTTTTCCCCCCCAAAACAGGCGCGCCGTTGAAGATGGTGATTCTGGCGGTTGGCCTGTTGGAGACGGGGAGGACACCACGTGGTTGGCGGCTGGGACCGCCGTTTTTGCTGGGTTGGTGGAGGGACCTAGGTAGAGACGGAGGTTTTTGGGTAAGGGTAAACGGTTACAAAGTTTGAAAAAAGGTCATTTATTGATTGGTAGTTTATACGATTAGAGATGCTGGATTTAATATTTTGTCTTGACTGAACCTTTGGAGAGGTGAGTTGGGTACATGTAGGCTCACTTATGCCCCATTCGTTTTATGAGCTTGAGTTGACTTACACTCGATATACACGTACGTATTGGAATTCTTCACTTTCTTTCTATAATTTGCCTCAAATACACATCAAATACACATCAAAACACATGTCCTCCCCCATCCACAACCACATCCGCCCCATTCATATAACTCCCCGCCCTGCTCAGCATCATCACCACCACCCCAGCCAACTCCTCCGGCACGCCCATCCTCCCAGCCGGATTCCTCTCGCTCCAGACCTTCCTCGCCGCCGCCAACCCTTCCCCCTCGTTCAGCACCGTGTCCATGTACCCCGGGCTGATGCTGTTCACCGTGATGCCGTACTGCGCCCACTCCGCCGCCAGCGAGTTCTTGAGCATCAGCAGCGCCCCCTTGCTCACGTTGTACGCGACTTGTGGCTGCGGGAAGTTGACCCTGTGCGCTGATATCGATGCCGTGAAGATGATGCGCCCGCCGCGGCCCTGAGCGACCATTTGCCGTGCCGCGGCCTGCGCGCAGATAAAGGCCCCCGTGGTGTTGATGTCGAGGATCCTGCGCCACTGGCTGACGGGCATGTCCAACGCGTGCGCGCATCCCACGATGCCCGCAAGACACACCAGCATGTCCACCGAGCCCAACAGCTGGACGGCTTCGCTAATAGCTGCGGCAACGGCCCCCTCGTCAGTGACGTCCACCTCGACGGCCGTGATTTTGGCCGCGGGGAATTCGCGCCGCAGCGCCTGCACGGCGTCCCGCGACGCGGCCACGTTGAGGTCGATCAGCATCAGCCCGGCCAGGCCGTGCTGCAGCATCGCCCTCGCCACGACGGTGCCAATGGCGCCGGTGCCGCCCGTGACGATGGCGTTGCCGGCGATGCTGAAGCGGCCGGCGGCCGAGTCGCGGGCCGCGGGGTGGAGAGAGTCGATGCGGGCGTCGAGGGCGGCGTCGCGGCCTGGCGAGAGGCTCATTTCGGGGAGGATGCGGCTGGTGAGGTTGGTGCGGTCATTGGCGTGGTTGCTGCTGGCCATGATGGGCTGTCTTTCTATTTTTTTGCTTTTCATAGACTACGGAGGTGTATACATGTGTGTAGAGAAGGATTGTTATGGTCTTATAGAACGATTTGCGGGGGTTGCATGGAGATGGGGTATGCAGATCAGCCAAAATGGAGAGGGGGATTTCATGCAACGCCATACAGCTTTTAACTTTATCCAGCTACTCTAATCCTAGGACGGGTGGGTAAACAATTGTGCTTCTATTGGGCACAGCGAGTATTTCATTCACCACTTTTGTGGTCTTTGTATTGAAAGGGCATATATATGTGGTATAGATAAGGCATAGTGCATCATATCATGATTGTCATACAGTGTCTGATTCCACTGCTTTAGGGCTTCAGATCCAAGAAGCCCCCATTTCCCAAATTTCATAAACATAACAACAAGCAAAAAGCAAGATATACTAGAGTCATTTATCCAAGTAATAGGGTATCCACAGAACATTGTTCTTTCAAACCTCCTCAGCTTGCTTCTCGCCAGCAGTAGAGTCCCGCGCCTTGGTGTCAAACTCCTCGTGCTCAGCCTTTGCCTTGTCGTCCCAGCCAGCCACCACGGCAGCGTCGTGGTCGTAAGCGACGTCGAAGCTCTTGCGCAGCTGCTCAGGACCCAAAAAGGTCAGGACAATGACGTAGGCGTAGACGCAGCCCATGAAGATGCAGATGACCTTGCCGTAGTCGTAGCGGGGGACGCCCTTTGTGGTGGGCGGCAGGGGGAAGCGCTCGCCGATGCGGGCCTCGATGGTGGACGACGCCGAAGAGACGAGGTTGCCCAGCTGGTAGGCCGTGCCGACGACAAAGGTCCTAAAGGCACCGGGGGACAGCTCCATCAGGTGGATGGGGATGACGCCCCAGGCGCCCTGGACGCAGAACTGCTGGAAGAAGGCGGCGGCCATGATGGAGGTGTCGTGCACAAAGGTGTATGGGTAGAGCAGAGCGCCGCCGACAATGCAGCAGCAGATGATGCTGAATCGACGGCCGATGGACTGACTCAGGAAACCGACCACGGTTCCGCCAGTCATGGCGCCCAGGTTGGCTACAACCTGCGTGACGGTGACCTTGTTGGCGCTGAAGGCGAGCTGGTTGGTCAGCATGGTCGGGTACAGATCCTGGCTGCCGTGGCTCATGAAGTTGAAGCCGGCCATGAGCAGGACGAGGTAGGTCAGCAGCAGCCAGTGGCGCTTGATGGCGACCTTGCCTTCAGTGAGGAAGACGTTGCCGACCGACTTTTCGTCGCTGCGGTTGCGGCCGGCCTCGATGCGCATGCGCTCGCGCTCGCGGTAGGTCTGGGTCTCGGGCATCATCAGGCGGAAGGCGATGAAGATGACGGGCGGGCAGGCGCCGAACCAGTACAGCGGGCGCCATCCGTGGGAGGTGGTGTTGACGAGGCCGCGGGCGAAGGCGGCAGCGAGGAGGTATCCAAAGGCGTACTGTGAAGGAGTGAGTTAGATTTTGATAGAAAGTGGTGACTGGGAGGTGAGGATGGCTTACACCCTGCTGGAGGATTCCGGAAATGATGCCGCGGGCTTCCGACGGGCAGTCTTCCAGTGCCGTGGCCGCTGCGTTTCCGTACAGACCGCCCATGGCAACGCCGAAGAGCGCGCGGCAGGCGAGGAACTGCTTGTACGTGTTGCAGAATCCGGTTCCCTGTAATTGGAAACCAGTTAGTCTTTTGGCTCTGCAGATTTAGGCGGTAAAATCAATTCAATAGCTCCGGCAGTTGCTATACGCGGCTCAGATGCTGACGCCAGATTATAGCGCTGCTTGGCCAAGACGGGTGGCACCGCCGTGGCTCTCTTGGCTGCATCGCCGCCAAGAGCCAAGAAAAGGCACGAAACGTTGAATCAGATCGGACGGGATCATTCTCACCAGTTCAAGCGCAATAAACAGCAGGTTGTTGACGATAAACGGCCACTTGCGCCCGTAGCGATCGGCCGCCACGCCAAAGGCCACGGAGCCCACAGACCGGAACATGAGCACCAGCGTGATGCCCCAGGTGATGTCGGTGTTCGTCTTGCCAAACTGCTTGGCCAGGTCGGCCACGGTCAGCGACACGGTGAAGAAGTCAAAGGCGTCCCAGGTCCAGGCCCAGAAGGCAATGGCGAAAAAGGACCACTGCTGGCGGTTGAGCATGCGCAGCAGCTTCCACGGGTTCGGCACGTTGAGCATCGGCGGCTTGAGCGAGGACACGCGCGTGGCCAGGTAGCGGCCGGCGCTCATGCCCTCGTAGTCCTCGGGGACCCAGTACTCTTCGTTGTTGCCGACCATTCTGGTGGACTGTTGCTCTCTTGACAATGGGCTTGTGTGAGAGAAGACAAGGGGAGAAGAAGAGGGCCTTGGAGAAGGAAAAAGAGGGAGAGGGGAAGAGCGTAGATATAAGAAATGCGGAGCAGTGGGCGAACGCGGAGGAGGACGAGGGTCGACTGGGAACTTGGACGCATGTGCGGCCAAGTTGGGGAACCCCAGACCGATGAATGCACAAAAGTGGGATTCTCCAGGATGAGGCTTATGGGGAACCGCAAACAGCCAGACGCTCCCCGCGATGACTAGCCGGGCCAACCATCCCCAGGCACTAGGACCGTACGATTCCCTTCCCACTGTAGAGACGCTCGTATTGCCGCTGTGCTTACGGCGCTCGTGCCTGGATTGCGGCGTCTGGACTCGCAAGAACTGAGACCTGGCCAAGAGAACCTGGCCATTCTATTTACTCCATGTCTGGGCCTTTGTTTTTTGGTCTCACTCCCGTGATACAAAGCTCAATAATCGTCTGCCTTGCGAAATCGGCATCCTCGCTAGCTGAGATGGACCTGGCCCCAGCTTATGCCAAGCACCGCTTGTATCTCCCAACAAGACAATACGGGCGCCGTGCACGAAAAAGAGGTCGGTCTGAAGAGCACAAGGGAGGGCAAAAACACCACACAGAGCATGGCTGATCTGATCCACTCCGGGGCTGGAACCAACCAAGGATGGCGGCCGGTCACGCTGCATCCATCATCCATCCATCCATCCCATCGCCGGTGATTTTGCATGGATGGCTCGAACCAGCGGAGCGGCAATGCTCATGGGGAGGTCCGTGTTCAGAATGGCTTCCCATCTACGCTATTGCCCTTAGCACTCGGGGGCGGGTAAACCATTATCACATCGTTGTGCCTACAGTGCATTCTCTTCAATAAACTGCCTGGCCTGGCTGTCAAGTGGAACATCCATCAAGCGACATGGGAAAAAGGACGGCGGAGAGAAGAAGGGTGGGCTCCATTTTCGGAAAGGGTCGGCGGCCAGGCCGGAGAGAAGAAACAAGAGGGATGGAATTCAGCGAATGATGTTTGTTTCTGTATCGATAATTCCCACTGAAAAAGATTTAGCTACGAGGACAGGAGATAAGATGGAGGCGTTCAAGATGGGTGGCTTTTTCATGCGGAGGTTGGCTTTTGGAGACGGCAGCTAGAAAACCCACTCGGTGACGGCAGAGAAGGTCAAACAACTAGATATCATGGCTATTGTTTTTGAGGCTTGAGCCAAGACGGCTCTTGGTTTCAAGGACAAAATCCCCGGCAGCCTCGCCGTTATTTGACCTGATCACAGCGCCCACTTACGCTCTCGCTGTTGTAGCCACTTGTGTAATTGCCGAATAGCGCCAACTAGCAGAGCACAAGTATCCAACGGCTTCCAAACTCAATAGCCAGCCGCAGCTCAGGAACGAAACCCTATCCCCATTCGTCGCAAACGTGGCATTTTGAGCCATTTACATCACACGGCTTGCAGCTCCTCATCAGACGGTGGCGATATGCACACAATGGTCCTTACTCGTGCACGCATGCATGGAGTGCGATTCCCTGGCAACCTTAGATTCCGACCTGCTGCTCATCCTCTTGTCATTCTCCAACCGCGTACAGCGAGAACCCGCTTTTTCTCTTTCCCCGCCTAAAAGTCACTCCTCCAGAAAAAAAAAGAGACACTAAGCTACAAACAGAACACCCCCAGACTGTGAATGCCTGCCCGAGCGTATATATAAGCGGGGAAACAAGCTCGACATGCTCATTGGCCCTCGGGGAGAGTTTCTTCTTTTTCTTCCCTCGCCTTTGCCAAGAAGCGTCATGGCGAAGGGCCGGCATTTTTGCTGCCGAGCCCAGAGTTCGTCATTCAAGTTTGTCTAACGCTGTTTAGCCCTGCAGATCCCCATGAATATGTGACGAGGTTCGGCAACGCATGCTGTGCGGTTGACAGAGTAAGCGAAATACTGCAAACGGGCATGTTCGCATAATAGTTGTTCTGCCTAGGTATGCGCAGAGAAGACGCGCAGAAGCAAAATGTCGGTAAAAGGTGCCTGAAAGAAGGCAGAAGGCCTATATGGCTTCTAACCCCGGTTCACTAATCCGAAGTCGCAATCCCACTTATCCTGCCCACGCTTTACCATGGCTAGCAGCCAGGCACCGAAATTTCCAATATTCTCTTCTTCTCAACCATGGATTTTCTTCTAATCTCTAAATTGAAAAACATCAATAAGCGGTGTTACATAAGTAGCACGCCAAATGCCGCCGCCTCATAGGCTGGCACATTCGGCCAACTCGGCTATTATCTTTTAAGCGCCCCATCATTCGCATCTCGCATAAAAGGATGAAAAAGCTACCGCCTCCAAAGAAAAAAAAAGAACTACCGGCAAGGGAAAATAAGAAGCCACTTCACAGTTAGCTGACGCAAAGAAAGGTTTTTTTTTTTCGGAGAAGCAATAGAAGAAAGCCACAACGTTTCACCGGTTCCTACAAGTGCGACGCAGAATACTGCTAGCTGGTTGAACTAATGGGGACGGAAAAAGACCGAGAGGTCTCCAAAGATTAGCGGTTTCTCGCTAAAATTCCAGATCCAAAAAAATGCAGCTGGAGCTCGAAGTTCAATGGATGCCCCATAGTTTAGCCACGGAGCTCGGAGCTCAAAGCGAACAGAACACTGCCCGTGACTTTTAAAAAGAGAAAGAGACAAACGCTCGCGGTTTTACGCACTGACAATATAGACTTAACAATAGGAAACCCCGTAGTTAAAAAAAGAAAATCTCTAAGGGTTTCGAAACACAAGATGAAGCCTAGAATTGTTCGCCACCCTTTTCCACGAGGCTGATTGAACCAACCCCAAAAAAGCAGCAATCTACGGATCTGGGGCAGGAAATGCAACAGTTACCACGCGAGAAGCAAGCTAACAATAGTAGCAGCACCCCCAACATCAATATCGATAATTTGGAGATCCTGATCCTACTCCGTGCCTGGAAACAGTAACTTCAGCTACACAGTTACACCAACCATCCTTCAGCCGTCATGACACAATGGCCCGAGCAAGATCCAGTGCCACCCAACTCTTCAATAGTTCTTCCTTCTCCATTTCTCGCCCCCCCCTTTCAACCAACAATCAATCAAACCCCAATTCCCCATTTCTTTCCCCCAGACTCCAGTCCGTCAATCAATGCTACCCTCCTCCGCAAAAACCCTCATTTCCAAAATCTCAGATCCGGCTTTTTCTCGTCTATCACCATCCATAATGCTTATGTATGTACGTATGTAGTAAAACGGAGATAAGCTCCGCACGTCAAAAAATCATGCTTCTTTTACCCCAACTTTCATTCCCTCACTGCTCCGTAATTCTCCATTAGTCTATACGGAGGTCCCCATGGACTAAATCCTAAACAGTAACAAACCAACGATAAAGAATCGTAAAACAACAATACTAGAACCAGTTTTTTTTTTTCCTTCTCCAAAAAAACAAGTTCCATACAATAGAGAGAGAAAAAAAAGCTCGGCCGGTTTCCGTTATTAGCCCTCCCCTCAAATTCTCCACCATACAAAACTGCCGTTTCTTTTCCCCCCCAGCTTTTTACTTTACTCCACATGGCCAGTTCCCCCACAAAAAACAAACCCCCAAAATCTCATTCCCTCCTACATATGTACAAGTGCCTAGATTGTTGTTGCCTTGTTTCTCCAACATGACAAGGAACGAGGACTGACGAATACTGCGGAGAAAGAAAGGGGCATTCGGGACATTTCGGAGGCTATATGTCAGTTTCGTCTAGAAATCAGAGATACATACAGTATAAACAAACATGGTTGATAATTACTCAATTCCTACATGTCATCAATTCGTTTCAATACACTCGATACTGTAGCTGTTATTGCAACAGCTCTCACGCCCATGTTTCCGAGCCATTTCCGAAGACAATACGCCACCCGTGTCACAGCGAGTCATGCCCCTCGTACCATGGAAAGGTTGTAAGCTCATCATATTCATTTGGACTCGTTTCATTACTCGTGCTGCAATATCTCTACTTCAGTCCGACTAAGACCAAAGCTATCAATGATTTTGATTATACTCAAGTGGTGTTCTTCATATTGCCTATCACTACAAAGCCCTCAACGCCTCTTTGCCCCTCCGTCTTTCCTCCGGGTATCGGAAAACCAGAAACCAAAAAGAAATAAATGGAAAAAAGGAAATAAAAAAAAAGAGTAATAGCCTTACACGTACAAATGCCTCCTCCCATAATTAATGCCAAGTCTGTGATAATTCAGTCTTCCGTTTCACGTCATTAGTATGCATCGTAGCGCTGTTGCGGTTGTTGTATAACCCTTCTCTGTCTTGCAAATCTCATCTTATGAGCTCTTGTCAGAGAGAGAAGAAATAAGAAAAAATCCACAGGTAAAGCCGCCCACTGGGTATTATGTCGCTGCGCACCCGGCAAGAGTCATAAGCATCCTGGCCCCGTCCGCAATTGCCATTTGCGATGCATCATGATCGTGGGTGGCTTCAAGTCAAACCCCGCCACCCATAAACGCAGCGAGGTCGTCGAGATCCAAAAGCTGGCGCTCAAACGCTTCGCATAGCTCAGGCGCAGTCATGTCCTGGCTCGTAGCCTGTCCGTCTTGGACCGAAACCATGCCGTTGGTCATCATCTCAGGACTCGGTTGCTTAACATCGTGAACCTGCATGTTCGCCTGCGGAGCACCGCCAGCTGGGGGCGATGCGGTGCCCGATGCGGAGAGGTTGTTAGACCCCCCGTTAATGGTCGTAACGCCAGGTCGCCTAGGCAGGACAACAGGAGGCTCGCTGTCTCCACGAGCAGAGCCAGATACTGAGCGGGGTGCAGAGCCATGCTGCTGCCCGGGACCAGCTCCAGCGGCTGATTGCTGGTCATACTCCATAGCATCTTGATTTGTATCGCCATTGGATGAAATCTCATCCTTGATAGCCGGCACCGGGGCAAGGTGAGGATGAGAGCCGTGTCTGGAACCCATCATGTTAGCAGCGGCATCGTTGTGAAGCACACGTTGCATGACAGTCAGGTGCCTAAGCCAGCTGTTCATCAGCGGCCAGTTCTCATTGCCATCATGCATAAACCGCAAGCCATCCTTGACAATGTGCGCTGCTGTCTCAACGGCGTTGGGAGGTGTCAGGCCCTTGAGGGAGAGGAAGGCAATGGTTGCGCTGGCGGTGAATGCGGAGAAGAGCATGAAGATGGGCAAGCAAATGGCATGATCCTTCTCTGCGCCGGTCTCGACTGCGGCAAGGAGAGCCAAAGTGCCGTGGCACGAGCTGAAGAGGCGGTCCACGATCTCGTGACAGCGAGGGGTGTGGCGGTATGTCTCCAGGTTAAAGGAAGGGGATGTAGTATCCTCCAAAAGACGCCGACGGTGAACGAAGATGATGGCGCAGTGGATGAGGCAGTGAAGCATGGCAAAGGTATAGCCAGATCCCATCGTCATATGGAGGTTGATTTGTCCCGGCTTATCAACAAACTGCATGGGGAGGCTGCCCCGAAGTCGTTCAATCCTAACAATGAGGTCTGTGCAATCTTCTTCGCGAAAGCTCGCAACGCCAAGCATGCCAACAACATCGCGCCAAATGGTAGCGGCCATGACAATGTGGCCGAATTCGCCAATCTCGCCATTAGGTAGGTGCCGGTTGGGCGACTCGTGAGCGCCGTTGAGAAAACCGAGTTGCTGCGGGAGAGTCTTGACATAGACGGCATTGCCAAATGCAAAGTTGATGTCGGAGCAGGGCAGGGCTACGTCGGTGGTGTCCTGGATGGTCAGGGCAGGATACCGGCCGGGCGTAGAGGTGAGAATACAGTCGAGGATGTAAGTCAGCCACAAGGTGCGGCGGAAAGACTCATCGCGCAGGAACTGGTCGGCCGTGTCAGATGTGTGATGGCTGTTAAGGATCCGATACATCTGCAAGAGCCGGGTGGCTTGGCCGAGGTAGACGTAGGCGCGAACAGCATTACGGCTGCCCCATTCGTGAATGATGACCAGGCAGAGAGCCTGGATGTCGGCGAGGTTGGGCTGGTCCAGATTGGAGTTGATTAGGGAGATGGCCTTGCCCGCAAAGGTGTCCGCCGCAGCGGTAGGAGTGCCGCCATAGCGACGGATGAGCGTCGGGGAGCTCCTACAGAGGCAACAATCAGCACTCAGAAATCGCTTGGCAAAGGATGTGAAGAAGATCCATCTAGAAAACACAATTGCCAATATCCAATCCCATTGCGCGTTCCTCGAGACCAGCCATGCCAGCCCTGCGCACGGGGTCCGATCGGGGCCATGATCCACCAGAGCTCGGCGAAAGCGGCTGAAACGTAGCCTCGGTGATTAAGGCGGCGGCCAGAAGAGAAGAAGAGAGAAAAAAAAAGAGAGAAACTCACCGAGCAGCACAGGCCAATAGACCATAGACGAGACTGGATTCGAGCGAAGCATTCTTCAGTTGTTGCATAAACGTCGGCTTGTGAAAGGCCACGCAGGCTGGGAATGTCTTTGACACGACGCGCTCGCACTCGGCGACGAGTTCCGGTGTAAGCCTGGCAGCTTCGAGTTAGCGAATTGCGCTCGGTTTCCGGCGGCTTGAGCGACCGAGCTGCGGCAACGAGTGCGCATACGGCGGCGGCAAAGAGAAAAAAAAAAAAAAACAAGGGCAAAAAAGCAGAGGGAAAAAACGGGCCGCCTGGCATCCGGACGGAAATGGGCGAGTGGGGGAAATGGATGGGATTCGTGCAGATGGCAGCAGCATAAGCTCGGCGCACTGCAGCAGCGCGCTCGAGCTAGAAGGGCGGCCGGGCCATTCGGGGACAGAAATCGGGGGGAGGGTGGCTGTACCGAGGAAAGAGGAGGGACGTGGCGCCTCTGTGCCCAAACGGGATGTAGAGGTTCAGAGGGATGCTCCCGAGACTTGCATGGCTGCAAACACACGGAGCAGTCAGACAAGCAAGGCATTAATGAAAGGGAGAAGCAGTTGTGAGGGATGGCGGCAAACAAACAGGCAGCATGCATCCAGAAACGAGGGGGGTTGCGCGACAAAGGAAACAAAAGCACTCACTTTTCGGCCGTCGTCTGTACGTGTCTGGCTCCGCCTGAGCCCACAACGGGCTGCCTGGCGTCAGAGGCACCGGGCCCGGACGCCGGCAAAGCGTCGCGCGCTGGGCGATGCGCTGCGGTGTGGCGCGCTGGGCTCTGGCCGTGGTGATGGGCCATGCTCTCCGAGGGCAGATAGCATTCGTGCATGCCTTTTGCGCAGTTCTTGCAGGGCGCGCGCCCGTTTTCGTACACGCACTTGGTCTTGCCCTTGCGGCAGCGCACACAGGCGCCGCCGGCTCTGAGGGCGGTGGATCGAACCACGCCGGAGGACATGCTGGGCGATGCGACGGGTGTGGCAGGGAATTGGAGGGATGGGAGAGAAAAGGAGAGAAGAGAAGGGAAAAGAAAAGGGGAGGAATGCGCGTGGTTTGTCGCAGACGCTCGTTATTCTGCGGCCTTTGGCGGCGGGTTCTGCGTCGTGGTGGTGACGGAGAGGAGAGGGAAAACGACCGGAGGTCGCGACACCGTAGGCCCGGGGCGAGGGCGGGCACGCGCAATCGATCGAGCAGTGTCGCTGGCGCTTCTGGCGAGGGCAGCGAAAGACGCAGAGCGGCGGCAGCAGAGGAGATGCAGAGGCCGGTGGTGACGGAGGCTGATTGCGTTGGAGCGAGGGTTTTGCAAGAGGAAGAGGTTGAGTCGGGCGACGGGTGAAGGAGGAAAAGATGGAACAGGAGACGGGCGCGAGCGTCGTTGGGGGATCAAAGGCGGGGGGTGTCGCCAGAGCGCAAAGTGTGTGTCCCGGCCACAGCGTGGGAAGCCCCACGGGCGGATCGGCTTGAGGCCTTGTCCGGCCCCACCCACAGGGAGCTGGACAGCCGAGTTTTTCAGTGAGCCTTTAGTGGACGCGTCCAGAAGTTGACATTGGGGCTGCGAGTACATGCCTCGTGAAGGAGTCTTGTCGAGGCTATTGGACTCTTCTCTGAGCAGGCAGAAGACCTGAAGCGCAAAAGCCCATGGACGCCCATAGCATATGATGGATACTCGAAACGGGACGTCAAAGGCTCGCCCCGGAATGTGGCCTCCCGTCGCTCTCCTTTCACCACGACCTGCTTCCCTCACGGCGTTGGCCCCACAAACATGACCTGCGCTGCGCTCTTTTTCTCGGAGGTGTGGGAAAAGGCAACATGAACTGTCTCTCGGCGGCTGTCACCTGCGCAAAGCACAACGAGTGCCGGCGCCGTCGAAGCGCCTGGGAATTGCCTGTAGCAGTGCTGCAGAAATTCCACCTCGTACCTTTGGCATGCACCCCATCCCACTATGACGCAGCCTTGGACAGGGCCGACCAGATCGGGGTTTGGCCAGCCGTGGACGTCTCCCGATACAGCCAGTCTACTTGGCTCTACTCCAACTAGTGCTGCCCAGGTCGACCATGCCCGTATTCCGGGGCGATAGTCGTCTGGACCGGCTGGTGGCAAGCAGCGCAACTGGCTGGCCACTGGTATCCAACATGTATCTGGCTTGTATCTGTAAATTACATGCACCTGGCTACACGACACCGCATGTTGCCGCAGGCTGTCTCCTGAATCTTCTACAGCGATACCGATGCGGTTCGGCGAGGGCCAGCTCCTGTGCCTCGGGATGCATGGCAGATGAACGCCAAGCCGTCCAGCCAATACCGGTGCCTAGCAGCAGCACCAGCCAGTGGTATTTCCCCCAACCTTCATCAGCGAAATGGCTGCAGCATCCGCTCGCATCCAGCAGTGCGCCGCATCAAGGCCGGCGAGTGACAGGCAAGGCTTTCGCCCCCTTTCCCACCCATCTCACGGCCATCCAGAGCGCTTCATTTCACAAGCGCCGGCCTTCCCCTCTCCAAATCCAGGCCACGGCGGTAGCCCACTTGGATCCGGGGCGCAGCCTATCACAGAGGGCTGCTGCTGAGGAAGCGGCCAATCCCCTTGTTCTGTCGCAGCGACATGATGGGCTGACTGACGCGGCGCGTGGTGGCCAAGGTAGCACTCCGTACAGCCGCGCCGGCACCGAGAAAGCTCCATCGTCCGACTTACCCCAAGCGAAGTGGTCGACAGAGGCGGCTGTCTGCTGAAATTGCAACGCTAGATCTGGTGATTTTGCGACATTACACGTTCGATCATGTACGCACGCGGTCTCAGTGCCACGGCAATGGCAGTGCTAGCAGCATCGTTGTGCAAACGCGCTCAAGGGGCATTCTTGAGGCAACCGAGCATCCAGATGCTGAGCTGCCGCCGTTGGGGAGAGCATCCGGCGAGCGGCACACATCCAATGGCGCATTTTCTAGCCTTTGGATGAAGCAAGCAGCCAGCAGCGGCGCCTTGTGGGGCCGATGTTGTCCTCCTCTGGGAGCCTCATCCTGCGGCTACTACATACCTACTGTACTCACACAATAGATGCTGTTCCATGTACGGAGCAGCTCGCCTAGTCTAATGCAAGCAACTCACGGCCTCCAGAACAAGAGCTGTGCGCAGCCAATCTGAAAGCCCAACCCACTCTCTGCGGAGGTCATCGGAGCACGGCCTGTGCCGGCTAGTACGGAATGTGCAGGTGGATGACTGTGGTGGCGCTGCCGACCCGGCCTCTCAGCCAGATTGAGGCGTCCGGCACGGAAACCAGGAAAATAACTTGGTTTTGCCCTGTCCCTGCGTGTGCAAGTAAGTCCGTACCCGTATGTTTGTACAGCTACAGCAACACAGGGACGAAACAGGACGGCCAAGGCTTATATCTTCTGGCTTCTCACTGGCCGCGGATGGCCGCGATGAAAAAGGAGGCGGCCAGTCAGAGAGCGGGCGCAGAAGGACAGAGTCGCACGGTCGGTGGGGTGGGCCCTCATTATTCAGATCATGTCCGCAGCCGGACGGATGTTGCCAGTACAAGTAAATGTGAATCACCCTTGCCGCCCCTAACGAGTCCTGTAGCCAGATAGGCGCCGTAGGCAGAGGCATCGTCAGTCCCGCAGTCATCATTCGGGAGAGCAGCCTGCGCAGGCGACGCAGGGCTGATCAACACCGTCCGCGTGGCTCTCCTCGACCCGTTGTGTAGAGGCAAGAAATTCCAGCGTGCAGCGCCAACAGATGTGCTCCGCGTCGATGGCATGGAGAAAGGCGCAGAGCCGCCGATCGCTCTCCTGCGTCGCATTGGTTGGCCGTGGCTGTCTGTATATAGGTGCCTACCTCGTCGGCTTTGCCCTCTGCGCACTCTCTGTATCTCCGTCCGCATCAGACAAGATGTTCCGGCTCTCTGGGGTTGGCCTGGTCTGCCCCTGTCTGCCCTGCGAGCCCCAAGGCAAGGTTACATAGGTACATTTCGAAAGTAAAATCCGAAAAAAATGCACCCCTACGACACGCGCGGTGGGCCCTCCGTATGCTCCGACGTTTGTCCAATTTCTAGTCCGTGTTCGAGTCCCGCCGTCGACCAACGTGCATGGCGATGATTCGGCGTCTTTGATTCATGAACAAGAGTTCCGTTCCCATATTTATCTGGGCGCTAACGCATCCAATGACGCCGAGCTCGTGGCTGTTCGTGGAGTCCCTGGTTGATGCTACTCTACTCCGTACTGCCATCGTTGCATGTTGCGGCTCCTCACCGATGGAGTCGTTTGCGCCGGCTGGCTGACCCCCCCGAGGCATGGCCGCTCATGGTCTAGATAGCCTTGCACGCATTATTAATTATTACTTTATCTCGTTTGTTATGCTTTTCCTCGCGACCACTCGCAGCTCCGGGGCGGACCTTGTCGTATCGGAGAGCCACTGCGAGGCAGGTCAAATTTTACCAGCGGCGCTTGGTCTCCCCGCTACAGTTTGTGGTTAGCATCATGCAGCCAGCAAAATGATTTAATTTCATCTCTTCATTTTGGATTGATTAGCCACTTTCCTACTCGCACTTGAGCCCAGTCGATCCTCGCACCACGTCAGATCATTCTTGAGGAGATGGCAGGGGGATCGTACCACGCCAATGGTGGTTGAGATGCTGCTGACATGTGCCATTCAGACGTCCCTCGTCTGATCGCCGCTGCATTCTCTTTCACCACGCAGCTGGGACGCTCTATGGAGCCAAACTAGCTCCGACTCCTTGTTTTCCTTCTTGCAGCCAGAAGTACGGAGTAAAATCGAGAGAATTGCTGCGAGAAAGAGCATGGCAGCGCGCGATTCGGGCCGCGACGTGTCGAGCCCGCCATCAGCGGCTGGCAGATCTGAGATCCAGACGTTTGCAAGCGCGTCTCCTAGGTACAGTAAGCTCCGCATCTTCCGGTCCCTACCGGCGTGCTACCGTGCATGGAATGATCACCCCCTTTTTCTGCGAAGGAGGACTTGGGGTCATGTCACTAAGCTCTACAGAGTGGTCAGCGTAGGTACTGTACGACCAAGATCGAATGCACCCTCTGTCCCGACGTGGATCAAGCCTGCTGAGCCATTTTAAGCTGCTCCGCGACTGATGCCACCCCGGGACCACGCGCTGCGAACCGAGAAGACGAGCTCCATAAGCATTCACGATGTTCTCGGAGCCGCTCATACATGCCGTAGACTGCTATGAACAGCGCTGTCCAGATGCGTCTCCTGGTGACTCTAGAGCAGCAGCTTTGATCTCTACTGCCTCTGCCTCTTCTTCTGGCTCTGCTTCTTGCACGACTCGTCGGAACGGCCGATGCTCCTCGCTCAACGGCTAGCGGCATCAGACCAAGGCCCGAGGTGGAGACGATTTTTGGTGCTACGGGGAGAAAAGGATGTGATGCAAAATCCGAGGCGAGCCAAAAGGGCTTATTCTCGGCAGACGATGGGGACGAAATTTGGAGCTGCCCGGCTCCGGGGAAATGACAATCACGTGGTTTTTTAATTTATTCCGGCGCTCGGCATTCTCCACCTGGCAGTGAGATGATCCGTCTGTACCCAGGTACATGTACCTTGGCGCTTGTGTCTGCACTCTTCACGACGGGCACACGTTGCAGAACAGACTCTAGCTGGCAGATTTAAGCTTAAGCAGACGATGGATATTCCCGAAATCGGTCAGGACGAACAATATACTAATCATATTCGTAGGATGGTGAGAGCATGTGTACTATGAAATTGAATTGATGTTGCTACCTACAGAAACGGCTAACTAACTGTACTGCAGTGGGGTAGAATCATGGACGAGGACAGTATTCGAATATAACAAGTTGAATGATAGAATGATGTGAGTAACGACTGAATAGTGAGCTTATAGTTAATTTTTTTTTTTTTTTTTTTTTTTAGTTCTCCGCTTGTGTGCCTATAATGTCCAACTTGCTCATAAAGAATCCGAGATAAACCAGCTTCGTAAAGAGTCACTACCACCATCACCGCAAAACCTGTTATTCCCAATGCATATAACCTAGCCAAAAACATCCTTAATCCCTTGTATAATGGACCTGATAGGCAGAATGCCCGCCAGGCATAGAAACAGAATACTCCAGCGTAAGCTTAACCGCCTTTCCGGCATTCAAGCTCACATCCCAGCTCAGCTTGCCCTCCTTCTTGAGCTTCGCAGTAGCCTTACCCCAACTACCATCGTCCTTGCTCTGGCCCTCCTTCTCGGCCACACCAGTGGCAACCCCATTGTTGCTGTCGACGACCAAACCACGCGGGTACAAGAGCTCCACGCGTAACCGCTCATCTTCCGAGACGGGCACCTGATCTTGCACGAGCAAGTCGACAGCCCGGCCTCCCACGGCGCGGGTGTTGTGGAGCGTCACCGTGCGTACGTACACGGCGCTGTCTTCCTTGCTGAACAGGCCGGACGATGTGCGGTGCACCTCGGGCTTGGCATAGGTGACCTTGATGGCGGGATCGATGCCGAGGCTAAGACTAAAAGACTCTCCGGAGCTGCAGCGAGGGAGCAATGTTTTGCCCATAAAGGTGCCGTCGAGGGTGAGGCTCGCATCGCCCTTGAGGAGAGCGACCTTGCTGCTGTTCTTCAGCTTGGCGCTGAGATATGCGACGGCCTTGTACTTGGCAACAACGGTGTGGCTGAAGATGACGTTGGAGAAGGGGATGCGGGCCACGCGCTGCTTGGAGCCGTTGTACTTGGGAGCGAGGGTCTTGAGGCCGGGAAGGTCGTAGGTGGTGGTAAGCCCAGTCTCCTCCATGAGAGAGGCATCGTAGATGGCATCATCATCGTAAGGAGGCTTCTCAACTTGGGCGTCATTGGTCTGTTCTGGCTGTGCTTCCACTGCTTCCTCTCTGATTGCGGAAGAACGGAATGAACCTCCAGGTGGTGCGGGCGCACGACTACCAAACAAACCTCCAGTTGCCGATGTTGTAGCTGAGACAGAACCGAACAAGCCTCCGCCTGTGGCTGCTGGGCCGGCATTGTTGCCGAAGCCGGTGCTCTGAGATCCAAAGAGAGCTGAACCTCGTGGAGCTATCGCTGCTGGCGGAGGAGGAGGAACAGCTTCAGGGGCAAGCTTCATCTTGCGTGTTTTCATCCTCTTTCCCATTGATGAGCTGTTTTGAGCGGCATTTTCAGCTTGCTGCATGATAGCCTGGTGCTTGACTTGATTCATGGCTACCATTTCTTGGCTGCTCCAGGTGATTCTGTCTTCATCGCGACGACCAGCGTATCCCGAAGTGATGCCGATGCGCCACGGGTCGAGATTAGGAATCTTGTCGTCGAGGCCAGAAAAGGTGGCCTGGGAGGTGGAGAGCGTAACCTTGCAGTTCTTCCATGTTTCGCTGGTTCGGTTGGTGAGCATGGCATCGAAGAAGAGCGATGCAGATGCGTTGGTCGTCGAGAGCTGGAGGTCGTAGTTTGGCATCCAATACGCCGATGAGGTGACGTACGAGAAGACCAGGTCGCTCTCGACAGAGCCGGGCTTTTCAGCTTCATCCTGAGCTTCGGTAGCTGAAACCAGCGAGATGTCGACATCGCTAGCCGTAGAGCCTCGGCGTGAAGACGCGGGTGTGAAAGCCGCAACCTCCAGCGTGATGCACACGCTGTAGACGTTGAGGGGCCAGAATCTCTCCTGCTCTCTGCGCAGACGCGCTCTCTCTCGTTTAGCCTCACCCTTGATTCTGTCCTTTAGTGCCTTTTTCTTTTCCCTCTCCTTTTTGGCTTTGGCTTTGGCCTTGTCCCTTTTCTCATTCTTCTTGTCTTCTTCCTTCTGTAGCTTATTGAACTTTTTTCCGGCTTTTTCAACGTCCTTTGTGAGTTCAGTCACCAGCTGTCTGTTTTCAACCATGTCTCGACAGGCCTTTGCGCGCTGCTCTTTGTAGTGGTCGAGTGTAATCTGGATAAAATCGACGCCTTTGCTGTTACCGAGCTTGCTAATGTCTTCCAGAATCCCGAGTCGTCTCTCCGCGTTGCAGACACCATCGCGGGCAATGTCCAGTTTGTCATTGAGCTGAGAGAGCGCATGCCGGGCGGCTGTTAGATGGGAGCTTTCTGGCTTTGCATCGGCATCGGACGCTTCTTCGGCATCTGATTCGGACTCGGAGTCGGACTCGGCCTGGGGATAGACTTCGTCGAAGAGTTGGCGGTTGGGTACTTCTTCGACTTCCAGGTTACTGACGGTGGCGGTGCCATTGCTCTCAACTCTGATTGAGTCTGGGTCGAGTGTCTGGCTGAGCCCGACAATGGTGATTTGGTTTGTGCCGTGCTGTAAATTTGCTTCTGTTAGTTGATTGAGATTCTGAAGGTTAACATGTGGATTGCGGGGCTCACCTTGAGCTGGACGGCTTTGATCTCTCGGCGCACTTGAGCTCTGGAGGGAAAGAGAGTCACCGACGAAGTATTGATGTCGTTGGCAAGATACTCGATCTTGTGGACGGAGTCCTCTTCGCTAAAAGGAGTTGAGACTGCCATTGTTAAAATTGACTCTCGGCCAAGTGAGAATTGCTTTGATAAGCTGAGTCTTGAAATAAGCAATTTGGCAGCGAATTCTTCGACCAAGCCCGTCGATGTGCAGTGCGATTAGTATAGCGATTGTTATTTTCCCTCAATGAGTCAACTTGATGAAGAAGAAGCGTCCTACTTGTAACTGAATGAGGATGCCGGGTCCTTTTATCTGCCAGCAGACAACTCGCCAAGAAATCCTACGTGGACGATATAGAGGTAGTGCATTTTCACTGGCAACATGAACCAATAGAGTGACGCCAAACGGTCCAGGCAACGATAGGCTGCAGCTCCAGGCAAACGCGGGGCTGGTGCCTGTGCTAAAAACTGCTTGTTGTTACATCATCCAGGCTGCGTTGTGGTTCGACTCTACCATTATTACGTGTTTTTCTTGTCTGGAGGAGATGATGCGACGCATATATCCACTGTACTATAGCAGCCATGGCTTTTACAGGTGGCCTCACAGTTGAGACTTCAATGAGATGCATTTTTCTATGGGTTCTGCTAGAATAGCTGTATCCAGCTCCGGCCGAGCGGGGCAAGACCCGCACCGACTTAGCCTGGCATCTGGCCGAGCTGAAAACAGGGATCAGCGTCTTGACCAAGTACAAGTGGCACGAAAGCTCTGAAGCCTTTGCTGCGATGACATTCGTTCTGAATGACATGCTGCTTGAGCCGGGATCAAACAAATCTATTTAGAAGCGCTCATACGCCATATGTGCATGTATGCTGGGTGTAGTACATGTACGCTAAAAGAAACATGGATTCCCTCTTCGGGAAGAATACATGTAGTTCAAGAGCCAGCTGCAGCTTTCTCTCTCAGCAGACATGCCCAGCTAGACGCTTAGTTGATGCGAGTACTATCTTTGTGTACTATCTTTTCTTCTTTTCACTTCTTTCTTCACTTTTTCCGGGACTGATAACCCCGCAGGCCTCCCATTGCTGGGCTGTGCTACGTGCTACTTTGCGCTTTTGATTGCTGGCCGTCAGTTAGCATTGACGCTAGCCTGGTTATCATGGCTATGCTCAAAATTAGTATTTCAAGGAAAACTATGCCAACATTGGGTTTGATTCACAAAGGATAGAGTAAATTGTTAAGGGGCAGAATTACTACGGTCTTCTGCACGGACCATAAGGAGAGCCTTGGTAGACGTAAAGGAGACGGCTTATAAGATGTCGGTGAAGCCCCCAATGTGGGCCATGATAGAGCAATGGGTCTTGATCAGACAAAGTATTCATCTACCCAGGTCTTGTGGGCAGAGAAGGAATGCAGAATTCGAAAAGTCCATCCAAGGCTTGAAGGGAAAAAGCAACTACGTATTCACTCAAGTAGCTAAATATAAAGGATCGCAAACTACAGACGTCAACCAATGTTGACTGTCGATCAAACCCCGCCTAAGCAGAGCTGTATGCTCCAATCTGGGTCATACTCCGTCTATACGCATACGATGATCCCTGTGATTCCTCACTAACTGCTTCGATAGCTTCGATGCATTGCATATCGTCGGTCCAATATGCAGCATGAGGCCAATCCCCCACTTTTAACCGCCCTCAGCTTCTGGCTCCCATGCGTCGTGGGATAAATGATGCAAACGCGCAGGCTCCTTATGTGAACCTTACCAGCCACCTCCAATTTGGCAGCGCTCACAAAGACCGCGAGCACCCATCAACGAGTCCCCCAAATTCTCCCAAGCTGTGATAACCTCGCCTCTCATCCCATTTTCGCGTGACATAGAAGCTGCAGACATGGATCCGCATGCGCCGCCGTTGAAAGCGCTGTCTCCGCAGCCGATTGATTCGCCCAGCCCCAATAGAGCCTTTCCCGTCTCAACTGCGCCGTCGTCCTCAATACCGGCGCTGCCTCTGCGACCGGCGATGGACCAGCAGCTACCCGACCGCTCGATGCACATGGACGACATGCCTCGGACGACGTCGATTCCGCGCGGCGCCGACTTCCCCCAGGCTGGCGATTTCCCCCCAAAGCCCAGCGACTACTCCAAGGCCAGCGATTATCCCAGGGCCACAGACTTCCACCCGAGGCCGTATGAGTACCCGACCTCGAGGCCGATGCAGCAGCTCCAGTCGCCAATGCAGCAGCTCCAGTCTCCGTATAACCCCATGGTTCCTCAGCTCGATATGAAGGATGTCAAGTCCAGCTGCCAGCGCAATCTGAGACACCTCATGTACCTCCAGAACCAGCGGCGCGGCTATGATTACGCGTCGCAGGTCGACCTAGAGTGGCAGATTCGCAGCCAAACGGGCATCTTGATAGGTGAGGTGCGGACGCTCCAGAACGAGGTCCGACGCATGGTCAAGAATGCGAAGAACCACCGATGGCGGCGATGGCTGTTTGGAGGATTTCTGTAAGACTGGCTTCTGGTTTTTCCTTTTTGCGGGAATGGCTAAGCTGACATTGAGCAGGGCGACGTTTATCCCGATTGTGCGCAAGCTGTTTCGCCGAGGCTCGGATTCTGAGTCGCTGGCTTCATCCAACAACACCGAATACGCATTCCGCAAGTCAAAGGGTCTCCTCCAGCGCATCAAAGATACCGTCTTGGGCCATCACCGTCTCGCCAGCATCGCCTTCTTTGTCTTTTCGGTCATGTACGTGTTCCAGAATGAAGTCACATTGCGGGTGGCCAAGACAGTACAGAAGCGCCTCAAGAAACTGTCCCAGCGGCTCGAGTATAGCAACCAGGAGGTCGATGAGAAGGACCTGAAGGTTCTAGAAGGCTGGCGATGGAGAGTGCTTTTATGGTGAAGGAGTAGAGTTTGCCGCTTTTCTGTTAATGGGCATTTCTGGAATGCGCCAATGGGCTTTTGACAATTGATGATGACGAAGATATCCTACTAAAGGTGCATGATTGTAACGAAGCTTTTGCACTACTCGCAGCTCAGCTTTGAGCTGCTGTTTCCACGTTTCATCCTTTGCAACTTCCATGCTATTATACTTTAACCTAATATATAATTTACGTATATTTACACCACAATTGAGATAACAAATTCTAGCTGAATGCTGAATCCATCATTTCCCGTCCACGAAAATGGCTGAGAATGCTTCGAGTCGAGCTCAACAGCGCCCTCACGCGGGAGTCGGGACAGGATCTCACAGAGATCTAGCCAGAGGACCCAAAGATGCCTATTTTCGCAGCTTGTACACAAAAGCTCCCGACTTCCGAGCGATGGCGCTCAATGATCCCGAATTTGCAGCTTTGTTTGTCTTCCCCGTTCACGGTGTTCAAGCATGTCCGGATCATGGCAATGCTAACGGGAAACTTAGCATCAAAGGTCGAGGTCGTGACCTCAACTTCAGCGACCCCAACGCCGTCATGCAACTGACGAAGACGCTGCTCAAGGTTGATTTTGACCTTTCCATTGAATTACCAGAGGATCGATTGTGCCCTCCAGTGAGTGAGATGAGCTTCTTTAGGCTTCAATTTGTGGCACGGCCTAACGGAGATGAGTGAAAAGGTTACGAACAGACACAATTATATCCTGTGGCTCAAGGACTTGCTAGACACCACATCGTACGATGAGCCTGGCCGGAAAGCGGTTGGACTAGATATCGGCACGGGTGCGAGCTGCATATATCCGTTGCTTGGATGCGCTCAGCGCGACTGGTCATTTATTGCAACTGGTGAGTTTGGCTCTCGATTTCATCCCCTGACTGGATGAATGTTGTACAAATATTATAAACAGACATCGACGCGAAAAGCTTGGAATGCGCGGAGAATAATGTCAAGCTCAATGACCTCGAAAGTCGAGTTCGGGTTATCGGCCGAAAGCCCGACGATGCGCTCATTCCGCTAGACGATCTGAAGATGGACTGCATCGACTTTACAATGACGAATCCTCCCTTCTATGAGTCTACAGAGGCCATGTTGGAGAGCGCGGCAGGAAAGTCACGTCCACCATTCACTGCCTGCACCGGCGCTGAGGTAGAGATGGTAACTGAGGGCGGAGAAGTTGGTTTCATCAGCCGCATCTTCGAAGAGTCGCTCGTTCTACGCGAGCGCATCCAGTGGTATACAGCCATGGTGGGCTTTTTGTCTAGCCTCACCAAGATTGTCGATAAGCTATGGGAGCATAAAATAGACAACTATGCCGTCACAGAGTTCACTCAGGGCAACAAGACGAGACGGTGGGCGATTGCGTGGAGCTTTCAGCCTCTACGGCCAGCACAGAACGTTGCGAGGGGAACAAAGGCCGCGTTGTCGAGAAATATCTTGCCTCCCATGACGGAGACTACCGCGTTCAAGATGCCCCTGAGGGAAAATATCGGCGGCTTTGCAGAGAATTTGAGCAATGCTATTGCGGCATTGGAACTTGTATCCTGGAATTGGAATAAAGAGAAGCTCGAGGGCGTTGGCAGAGCCGTGGACAAAGTATGGAGCCGACCATGGCGACGTCAGAAAAAGAGAGAAGCGGAGATGCAAATGAATAAGGAGATGGACGGAGGAGGAAACACGGAGAAGCCATCGTCCGAGGCACAGGTTTGCCGATTTGGCTTCAAAGTTGCCGTGAGAGTGGCGAGAGATCATGTTTCGGTCGAAGCACGGTGGTTGGAAGGACACGATGAGGTGGCCTTGGAGAGCTTCCGGGGATTCTTGAAGACAGCCTCAGAGAAGGCTGTAGAAGACCTGAAGAAGGCGTGAAGCCGACAACGGGAGAGTAGACGAGCCAACTCATTCAGCCCAGTGATGCCATTTCATTTACGTGATACTCTCTATGGCAATTACTCTAGTATACTCTATAGGTAGTTGCATATTCACAAAGATCAAGGCTTCACGGCAGGTGCTTATCAAAGCCCGCCCTCACAAGCCTCTGCCCAGCCTCCCAAACCTCGACCGGAATCTCCTGCTCAATCTGAAACCCCCGCGTAGGATACTCCCGAATGCGAATCAAATCGCCCACCATGATGCTCGTGACGAGTTCCCTCGTATTGCTCGCATCAGGATACTCATCAAAGCTCAGCTTCGGACTCGAAACCGTAAACGCCGTCGCCTCATCCGGCCACTGCTTCCTAAACGTCGCATACGTCCTCCTCTCCATGTACGGCTTCTGCACCAGCACCAACTTGTTGAACTCCAACCCCCTTTCCTTTAAGAGGGCATATGTGAAGCGCACATTCTCGCCCGTGTTCCTGGCTCGCGGCTCCACGATGATTTTATCCTCGGGCACGCCCATCTCGCGGGCAATGGCGGCAAAGACCACCGCCTCGGGCTCGCTGAAGAGGCCCTTTGTCAGGGCGCCCGAGTCGCCCGAGTAGATGAGATACGGCGCCAGGCCGTCGAGGTAGAGCTGCGCGGCGTGGGCGGCGATGCGCGTGTCGAGGCTGCAGAGGCAGAAGATTGCGTCGGCGGGGTGGAGGGGCATGTTCATGCGGTGGAAGTTGTAGACGAGGGTGGCGTCTTGGTGGACTTGGTCGGTGGTTTCTACGGCCATGATGGAGTTGTTTTACTTGCGATGATGATGAATTTACACGTTTGATTCGGTATGAACCGTATATAGAGCTGAGGGAGAGCTGGATGAAGTGAGGCCGCAGCCGGTATACGGAAGTGGGGGTCATGAGCGGCCGCTGCGTTTTACGAGGAATCAGCGGAGTATCCTGAACAGGAAATGCTGTGTCGTATTATGAGATTGATGCTGCTATTCTCGTATTCTAATTCCTCTCTACCAAAATGTACAGACGTTTTCTTCCAGTATCCAGAAGTCCAGTGGTGATCACGGCTGAGAATCTGTGGTGGTGGAGCACACGGTAAAGAAGAGTTGCATTCGAATCGCAGTCAGCAATTGCACGTGCGATTTGCTTACAATGCCATTTCGACTTGATCTCAATAGAAATGGAGCTCAGCTGATGAGGCTTGAGATACATATTGTCGCATCAGATCTCTTTCCCATCTGAGCCAATCTGTATACCTACATGCCCCGTCTGTATGCTACGCTGCAAGGCCTTCCGCAACGAGCAATTACTGGGCATGTCTTTGTTATCATTGTGCCGCCCACGAGGCTGGGGGCAAATTTTGGTAAGAAGACGACATAGACAGGCTAGAATGCTACATGGAATATAAAATTGCCTCCGGTCATTGATACGAGAATAAACCTGCCTTGGCTTGGCAATGGTTATCAGAAGCGCCAGCCTGATTTCAGAGTCTAGACTGCACGACTAGAAACACCCCCTCTGAGTTCCTGTGGGTTCCACTTTTGGTTAATACATGCAACTAGAGGGTAGCTGCCTTTTGGGGTAATAAAATGGAAAAGCAATAATTTCGTAGTGCATGGGATTAACGGAAAAGCAAATGTTGCTCTTTAATTAGTCTGATGTTTTGTCAAATATTGAGAAAAAGAAATACACTAAGCTATTTATTTTTAGTAAATTATTAGACTTTTCTATACTCTTATAAAAACAGCTTCTTAAAATAGCCGCCCTTTTGTATAAGTTTATAGCACTCTTCAAAGTTCCTTGCAACAGCGCTTCTAAAGCCAACATGGTCATTGTAATTATCTCCTTCGTAAATGTGTGCTGTTTTATTCCTTCGAGGTGATTGAACTCGCAGAACCGATACTGTAAGCTGCCGATCAAGGACATCCTTTCTGAACAATATTTTTCTTGTCTGTGGAAAAGTAATCCTTTGGCTCCACCATTTCAGCTAGGACTTTGAGACCCTCCGAATGCACGGAACAAACTGACAAGGAGTGCTCCTCATACCCCCCCGTTGCCAGGGTCCTCTTCCTTCCACAGCCTGGCCCTCGATAAGGTTAGCCCACCGAATCTGACCTACCCTGTGAGATTCGGCGACTCACCCCTGCTGCGAATGTCAGCAACCCCTCGAAAACCCATGCCAAGTGGCGGCCGTATATCGATTGTTGGAACGCTTTACTCGAACAAGTGAAGGTTGGGAGACTAATCAATCAGTGACTGGGTATTTTTTTTCTGTGGCAGAATCTTACTCTGACCACTGGCTTGACTAATAGTCTCTAAGCAACATCGTTGAACCCTGAAAGGACTATAGCTGCTGACTGTTGGAGGGCAGGCTCGGAGGCTAGGAAATCAATAATGAGAGCTTCAGCAGTGTTTAGTGGCTGTGCTCTGCAGGTATGCGTAAGAAGCAATTTCATAAGGTCACTGGGCATCCAAGTACATATATCAATTCTGTATAAGCCGCTTGTTACGTGCTCTTGTGTAATCCCAAACATCCCTCCCCCTTTCTTCCCCCATTCACCTTTGTCATATACAAGTATTTTATTAGTCTTGTGGCTATTGTATTTCGTGTAAACACAACTTCAAAAATGGCTTCTATTGCCCCCGTCATTGACATCTCTGGCTACCTTGCCGGCGACAATAGCCAAATCCCCAAAATCACGGCAGAGATTGACCGTGCCTTTCGCACAACCGGCTTCTTCCAGCTCGTCGGCCATGGAATCCCTCAGTCTCAGATTGACGGCATGATCCAGGCAACTGCCGACTTCTTCGCCCTGCCTGATGAGACCAAGAGAAAGATTCATGGCAAGATGCGAGGCTACCAGTCTCCCGAGCTCCGCGAATCGCTCTCGTCATTAGCGAAGGAGGGATTTTTTATTGGAAGACATTTGCCTGGCAGAAACCGGCCTATCGTGGAGGGCAATCTCTGGCTAAAGGAGGAGGAGGCTCCTGGATTCAGAAAAACCATAGAAGAGTACTTTGCCGCCATGGAGAAGCTGGCCGTGATCTTGCTGCGACTCATTGCGCTGGGTCTAGGACTGGAAGAGACCTTTTTTGATAACTTTGCAAAACAACCCGAAGGTTTGCAGATATGACTATTGACTCTCCCTAAAACTTGGTAGACGCGGCTCACATGTATCTTCAAAATTCAGGTGCCGTACTCATGCGAGTCCATCGATACCACCCTACTCTGCCCGAAGAGGGCGACGACGTGGTAGGCTTGGAGGCCCACGCGGATACGTCTGGCGTTACCATTCTATACCAGGACGGCAGTAAGTAAAATCATTCTTGTTGCTGGAGTTGTTGAGCGTGTCATGGATAGTTTTGGCTAATCAGCCTGTTAGTTGGCGGACTGCAAGTCAAGAATGAACAGACTGGCGAATTTGAGACAATTGAGCCCGTCCGCGATGCGTTCGTCATCAATCTGGGCAACATGTTTGGTAAGAGTTTCGCCCTTGTTCCATCCGAGACACTGTCTGTTTGCAGCAACCATCTCCATGTGCTAACCACGGCCCTTGGCAGCCCGCTGGACCAACGACAACTACCTCGCCGCCGAGCACCGGGTTCTGCTGCCCACAGACAAGTTCCGCTACAGCGCCGCGTACTTTATGGCCGGCTGGCTGGATCAGGTGATTGAATGCCTACCACAGGTGCTCAAGGCCGGAGAGTCGCCCAAGTACGAGACGTGCACGGTGGAGGAGCTGGTGACGAACTTCAGGAAGGAGATTTACGACATCCACACGCCGGGCGCCACGGCATATGTTACCGTGGAGGAGTCGTAAGTCAGGGGTGATGATAGTTTCCTTGATGTATCCAGAAGCATTATCTACAATTTTTTTTTTAATTGTCGTGTCCTGTAAACGGCGTGTCTGCCAGTATTTGGGCCATGTTTCTGATCATCCATTCAGTGATTACTGTGTACCCCTTGGCATCGCTATAAACGAGGAACAAGGCCTGTAAGTCTCCATCCTGCGTACAACCCCCGCTATCTGGGCTGCGAGCGGCGGGGGTGGGGACCATAGATTGCCATCAAAATGCGTGCTGCGATGGTGACCTGTCACCTCCGAGCTGCGCCGGAGTTTCAAGGCACGCGCTGAAGCTGAACCCGTCCACTGGACTGGAATCCGCCCCGCCCACAGCGCCCAGCCCGCGCGTCCACAGGCCAGGCCGGACCCTTTGCAGGGCTGTGCTGTTTCACCCAGTCGCTATTGATGCCTATTGACTCAATGGATGCTCTGCAGTCAGCACCGCCTCCACGTGCGAGCCATGCGGCTTGCTGACACAGAATTTGCTCACATGTTGGGAGGGAGAAAGTATTTGGCCGGCCGTCCCTACTGCCCTCAGCTCGGGGCTTGCACGCCGGCACTTTTCTTTCTTCTCCTCGTGCTTCTTTCTACTGCTCCTCCATCTGAAGTGCCGTCAATGTCAATCAGCAAGTCGCTGGAGCTTGCTATACCGATCTAGTCACGTTTACTGTGGGCTGTGCTGTCTGCCACTGGCTGCTGGTTAGCCACCCACCATCGCCTCCCCAGAAGCTAAAGCTCGCCAGAGGCTAAAGCAACATAGCGAGAATGCGGGCCGCCACGGAGCGCGCCTCCAAAGGCCAGCCCGACATTGAGCTCGAGAGCAGCAGCATTCGCAAGCGGTCGCTGGATCGAGGCGGCCACCTCTCGGACAGTGATGGCGAGGCTGGCGATGACGAGGACCTGCCCCTATACGAGGGCGATCCATTGGCGTCGCCGGCGGTGCCCAAGGCGGCGTCGACGTCGCCGCGATACGTCGTCATCATGTGCTCGCTCTTCATCTTCATGGTCGAGCTGAGCATGTATGTCACGGATCCGGCGCTGCAGATGATCATGGAGGACGTGGCCTGCCACAACCACTTCCCGGACCACAAGATTGGCGATTTCAAGACGGAAGACGCTCGCTGCAAAGATGCCGCCGTCCAGGGGACCTTGGCCATGTCCCGGTCGTGGATGATGTGGGCGACCATGTTTGTCCGTGAGTCTTGGGTCCATTTGATATTCAAACGTTGCGGTTGCGTCGACTGACTTGCGTATAGCTCTCCTCGTGCAGATCCCCTACGGCATCGTTGCCGACAACTATGGCCGCCGCCTGGTCCTGTTTCTGGGCCTGCTGGGCAACCTGCTCGGGTCGTGCTGGACCGTCATTGTCTGTAAGTTTGCAAAGAATACAAGTGCTTGTTTGCTTTTGAGGTTGCAGTGGTTGATAATGACTCTGCAGTGCTCAACCCTACGGTATTTTCCATCTGGTACCTTGTCCTGAGCGCCGTTCCAAACTTGATTGGAGGGGGCGGCTCCGTCATCATCGCCATGGTCTGGACCATTCTCACAGACGCCATTGTGCCGGAGAAGAGAACCACCCTCTTCTATCAGATGCATGCCATGATGCTCATCTTGAGCACAATCTTCCGTCCCATCGCTGGCTGGATGCTGAGCATCAACCCCTGGCTGTCCATGTGGACGGGCCTAGGTTCTCTCGCTTTGAGCACTGCCCTAACCCTCCTCATCCCTGAAACCTTGCATCTCGCTCAGAGCTCCAATGGGCAGCAGGCACACGGCCATGCGTCGCATTTCCCTCCGCTCGGGCCAAAGAAGAGCGTCATTCGGACGGCGTGGGAGACGGCAAGCAAGGATGCTTTGCGCGTCTGGCAATTGCTTCAAAACTCCAAGAATCTCTACCCTCTTATTCTTGGCATGGCCTTCTACACCCCCATTCACACCGGATTTGAGATGAACATGCTCCAATATGTGACTGCGAGATTCGAATGGGACTGGTCCAAGGTGAGCCCCCCTTAACCTAGATAACTTCACAAGCAGAGTGTAAGACTCTAATCGTCGCTCGCAGGCAACGTACTTTATGACCATCCCCAAGATCACTTCGGTCATTGTGCTGCTAGTCATCTTGCCTGCCATTACCTGGATTATCAACAGACGCCTGCATCTTGACATTTTGACAAGGGACCTTTACTTTGCCCGTGGGTCCATCATCTGCATCGTAGTAGGCAACGCACTCACAGTAGTCTCGGCAACGCCCTGGATGCTGGCCATCTCTCTAATTGCTCTTGGCTTCGGTAACGGTCTGCTGCCGCAAGTCCGGGCTATACTCGCCTCGCAGGTAGAGGCACACGCCCTGGCAACGGTCAACACGGCAATTGCATCTGTAGAGACAATGGTTGGCCTGGTCGGTACACCCTCGTTAGGCTGGCTGCTAAGCAAGGGAATCGCCCTCGGCGGATTTTGGATGGGATTGCCCTATTTGGCGACCACGGGTTGTGCTATCGCCAGCGCCGTGGCCATTTTCATGTTTAGGTACCTCCCACAGAGTGCCAAGTCTGATGAAGAGGCACTTTACGATGCATTGAGAACCGAGGAGGACATTTAGACTTTGTCTCTTATAGAGGCAAATTGCAATGTGGCAGCCAATTTTGAATCGGCATTTTACATGTAACTACTCGATAAACGCTACAATATGTGATGTAAGACGTAAATGTATATGTCTATTCTGATTACGAGAAGCACTCTATCTAATACTAAAATCACAAGTCAATACCATCAACACCATTTTCCATAAATTCTTACAACGCCCACTGCTTCAACCACAACTTCATCCACTGCGGTCCTACCGGATCCAGCGCCGCCAAAGTCTCGCTCTTGCGCTTCGTCAGCTCCGTTGCCAGAGTTGGCATCACACCCTGGCCGTCCTCTACGCCGCCAAGCGACTCGAAATAATCGAGCAGCTTGAGGCCGGTGTTTGCCTCTGGATCCTCATTGCCCTCGGCCGAAGAGCGCAGCGCGCTGACCCATTCTGCCCACGGCACGATCTTGTCCGAGGGAATGTGCAGCGCTTCTGCGACTGTGGGGACGAGTTCCGCCCAGCGGATGGAGTGAGGGTTGGTGGCGTGGTAGACGGTGGCATGGCTCTTGTACTCTGGCTTGTTGTTTGCGCCGTTGACTGACTTGCCGCGTGGCAGTTCCTCTGGCTTCTGGATGATGCCTGCGAGTTCCAGGATGACATCGGCGAGGATGTCGACTGGGATCCAGGAGAGGTTATCCAGGGCTCCAAGGTCAGACGGGAGGAAACCAATGCGCTTTGAAGAGGCAATCATCTACAGACACACAAAAAATGTTAGTTTTTCTTTTCAAGAGCATGTAGATGTAAAAACCGTACCGTTGGAACCCATTCCTGTCTATTCCACTCGCCGCCCTCCTTCTCTACCGGCCCTGCAACCTGTCCCACGCGGCAGATGGCGGCGTTGCCCTCGCCAGTTGACCGGACCTCGTCCTCGATAATAAGCTCGCTGATGAGCTTTGAGGCGTTGTAGCCGTTGAGATCTGGCGAGAGGACGTCACAGGGGCGCTCGGGAACGGGCTTGGAGGACGAGAGGTGGCTGACACTTCCGGTGGTGGAAAGGAAAAGCAGTTGTGCTTTCTTGGTGCTGGTGTAGGAAAAGTCTAGAAGACGCCGGACGCCTTGGATGTGAGGTTCAAAGGTTGAAAAGTCCCAGTTGAAGTTGACTGGCCATTGAGAGTCTGTTAAACACACACAAGTTTATTAGTTGTCAACTGCAAACACTTGTTTTCATGACAGCATATTGAAACTCACGAATGACATGTGTCGCCCTCTCAAGCATCTCATCGTACTTGATCGGGTTCAGCCCCAGGTCCGGCTGCGACAGGTCGGCGCGCAGAAACTCGATTCTGGGCTCGATCCAGTCCGTGTCCAGGCCGCGCGAGCCGCTGGCCTTGTTCTGCGCCGCCTCACCGTCCTGGGCGCGGTTGAGGCAGTAGATCTTGCGAACGTGCCACTGGTCCAGGAGGGCGTCGAGGAGGTATGAGCCAATGGAGCCTGTGCTGCCGGTGAGGACGACGGTTGCGTATTCGCCGCCGAGGGGGTCTCTGAAGTCTTCCATTGTGAGATGTGTTGAGTGTGTGAAAGGCTTTGATGGTTTGTTTCACCAGTTTTCTTTGATAAGAAACAGTGAATTGTATGATACAATTAAGAAGGACTAGTAGTTCTAGGAGAGTAATGGCAGAGAAAACCTGCGTTGATGCAGGGACACTTTTTGAAAAAACCGACTTCTAGTGAGTATTCTAAACTAAGACCCTGCACGCATGAAATGTCGAATCGGTCCTAGATAATTACGCAAAAGTTCTTCACAGTTCCAGGCTGAGCCGGCTGTGCCTGCGCCACTAGTGCCTATCATCAAGACAAAGAAGCAATGACTCCAATCAGATATCACGCCCACATTTTCTTTCTACCAGCGTCAGACGTAAGACTCGCCTATAACCCCCCCCCCCCCCCCCCCCTTGTGAGAGTCGGTCTTATTCTTGATCTATAATCACTACATAATCAGATTATAGAGTGGTTTGATAGTAGTGGTAGGGGGGGGAGTTTAGGATGAGGCCTTGCACGGGGCCGGGGCTGACATGTTTATCTGGGTCTGACGTTATGCAGGAGGGCGAAATAGTTCAAAGTGCTAGTATATTGCCAAGCTATAGGGTGAGTCTTCTGCTTATAGCGATGTCAATCGGGAAATTTTGTATTGTATTTGCCGGAGTAATTACACAGCCGAAGAGGCGTGGTAGTTTGCCAATCTAATGCCACGCGGGTTGGAGCCGAGCCGCACCAACCAGCCAACAACTTGAACACACGGCTGCGGCGTCTTGCGTCAGCCGCACAGGATCTAGTCAAGTCCCCGAAGAAGAAAGGCTAGCTAGTGCAGACGATGGCTTTAGTTGGGTCTGGGCAACTTCCAGAGAGGGAAAAGTGGCTGGCTGGGACAATGGGACCCGAGAAAAACAAACAGAAGCGTGAGCCCCCTCGCAGCCAGTAGTTGCCATCATGTGGGATGAAAGGATCGAGTTGCCGTCATGTGGGAAAAAAAGGATCGAGTTGCCGGGTGCGGAGTCCTCGGTAAGTGGGCGTGTTTGGAAATGATCAATACTACTTGTAAGGGCGTGGTGGTTGGGCTACTATATTGCAAGTAATACCACGTTCTATTAATAACAGCAGCATGTATGCCTATTGCTTCAATAGGATCAGAAGGGGCTGACATGAATGCGTCCTAGATTACATAAAAAGTGGATGTCACGGGCGAATTGGCATTTTCCTGTTTGCAACTTGGGTCCTGTGTTACTAACGAGACTGTAATAGGATTGAGGAGATTCAGGCTGACAGGTATGTTACTATATACGAGAGGGGTTAGGGAATATTAATCACTAGCAACAAAAAAATGAGCAGGTTAATAATACGAATATTGAGGCAGGATTCTGACTTCTGACATGTAGGGATGCAATGGATCTAAGATTATGCAGGAGGTGAAGTAGTGCCAGAACTATAGTCGAATAGAGTCTAATGATTATTCGCAATTGCAGCCTATTACTTGGTATAAGGCGGAAGTGGCTGTTGCAGGGGTCGGCGTATTCTTCAAACAGGGGATGACAGCCGTAGCTCCGAATCAAGTTTGACTACTCCACCCCCACACCAGGGCTGGCGTTGAGGTAACCTTCGGCTATTTGCCAGTGCGACGCTGTGGACCCGGTTTCAGTGGCTGGCGATCGCCGTCCAGTTGGGCTGGCGCTGCATGTAACGTCTGAAGAGCAGGGCTGTGATTGTACAAGTAGTTTGCTCTTTGGTTTGCTGAAGAAGTTTGCGTCAGATTTGCATTTTTGTGGCGCAAATGATGTGAGTTTTCAGTTGTTTACATGTGTTTCTATTTATATATTTACTTGTCATTGTAGCAATTGCTTCCTTCAGTCTCGAAACGTCAATACAGTTACTAACAGTTGCATAAGGAAATGTTAGCGTAGGAACGCAAGTCTATCTTGCCATAATGCTACTATATTACGTGTTTCTGCCGATCAATCCATTTCCACCCTCATTCCTTTCCATACTGCAAACTCTGCCTCGTCCTTCCGAATCCAACTTTTCACGCAGCAGCAACCTCCCCTGTTGATACCTTTTATCGGTCACGGTTTGCCTTAACGCCACCCTCAGCTGGCCAGGGTGACGCCTCGTTTGCTGCAATAAAGACCCATTCTAGCGGGTTTAATGTAAGCAAAAACAAAAAAGAAAAGAAAAAAAGAAAAAAAAAGAAAAAAGAAAAAAAAAAAGAAATAGGAAAAAAAAAAAAATATGGTTCGCCGATCTGACGCACGGAAAACGTGAATCCCGCCGGTTTGGACTCGGAGCCAAGTGGGCTGGCTGGGATAGAGTTGAGTTTGAGGGCTGCTCCATTGCACAAGCGAAAGCGACGGCGCTCATGCTTGTTCCTGGCACAGGCGCCGATTGGCCGATGCGACCGCTAGGAGGCGCCGGCTAGAGGCGGTGAGCGGCTTTGGCCGCCTGTGCAGGGAGGTCTGGATCTCTGATGGGGCACTTACTGTAGCCTCGTGGCAGGGCCCCTTGCTTGGTTCGTCTTGTCAGATGAAAGTCAGATGAAGCAGTGACAGAATAGACGGGCTTCTTTATATAGGTACTACTAAGAGCAGTTGTTACTAAATAAAGGGCATTTTAACTACAACTTTAATTTTAATAGGCTGAATAATATTTCTTTTTTTACAAGAATAAAAATAAGGGTTTATAGCAGAGTAGTATATAATGATATTATATTCCCTTTTATAGAATTGCATATCCGGCTACTCCATGCAGGCCCCTTGCCCGGTCAGCAAGCTAGCAATCTGCCTCAAGGGCGTGTGCCTATGCACATATGCAATAGGCAGCATCAGCACATGCAAATTCACCCTTGACAGGGAGTTGACAAAGAACCATTCACCTCATTCGCAGCTGAAAACCCTTCTCGTGGCACATCAGCCGCTTGGGGGCGATTCCTCTGCCGCCGATGCTGCCTATCAGATTTCCAAGTTGCTGCACACGTCTATTGTCTAGACTCTGTCTGCATGTGTCTCGATTTGGGTCTGCTTACGGCCGAAGCCTGGGGGAGCGTCACTAGCAACAAGCAGATACTTAACCTCTTTTGATGCCGTTGCAAGTTCCTTTTTTTTTTTTTCTCTACAGCAACCCCGTACACGAAATAGTTAGTTGCGCGTGAAACCCAGATTCCTAGCCCATTTATCCTCCCGCTTTTTTTCGTTTGCATCATGTCGCACCACTCTTTTCTCATTACCGGCGCTTCATCCGGCCTTGGGCTAGAGATTGCTCTCGAGGCCCTCAAGCAGGGCCACGTGGTCGCTGCCGGCGCTCGCAACCCCAGCGAGGCGGCAAAGCAGCATCCAGAGGTGCAGCAGTTAGGGGGCAAATGGGTCGAGTTGGACGTGACCCGCGCCGATACCAAGGAGTCGGTAGCCAGGATTGTCAAGGACGCTGGGGTTGATGTCCTGATCAACTGTGCCGGCTACGGTATTCTCGGCAGTCTTGAAAACACCGAGTACGTTGTTTGCCTCGTATTCTTCCATCCATCCTAGTGTCATGTCCCGTCTTACTGATCGTCTATGCCACGCTCCTTTTAGTGAGGACGAGTTCATTGCCCAGGTAGACACAAACGCCTTTGGCACCATGCGCACCATCAAGGGAGCATTGCCACACTTCCGCTCCCTTGCGGAAAGCGGCGGGGCCACCATTGTCAATATTGGCAGCCTCGTCACCTACGGGCACTTTCCCGCCTGCTCTGCTTACGGCGCCTCCAAGGCAGCTGTCGAGGGCCTGAGCGAGACCTTGGCCCTCGAGGTCGGGCCCGCAAAGGTGCGCGTGGTCTTGATTGATCTCGGCATCTTCAGGACCCGGTTCCTGCATGCGGCCGTCAAGCCAAAGAGCGGCCTGGACGAGGCCTATGTCGGCGGCTCCGTCGATAACACCGTCTCGTTCCTGGACGGCATTGCTGGCAAGCAGCCTGGCGACCCAGCCCTTGCCGGTAAGAGAATCGTTGAAATTGTCGACGGCACTGGCTTGGCCAAGGATCTTGCCACCCAGGGCTATGGCAAGCTCTTGAGGGTTCCTTTGGGAAGCGATGCTTTTGACGCTCTCAAGGGTAAGGAGGCTAGCCTAGCTGAGATTCGTGCGGTAGAGACACTGGCACGCAGCACAGATTTTGCCAACTAGAGTATGTATACGTCTACATGGAAACAATTCAGTTACTAGTGTTACCTTTTTCATTGTAAATCGCAGTCGTAGCATCTTGGTCTACCATGTACGGAACTGTGTCCCCGCCGTGAATGTCTATGTTTCATCAAAAAAAGACATACTGATGAACATCCGCCATGTTACAGTTGCACTGAGAGCACGCATCTCTTCGTATACAGATAGTTCTTCCCAATTCCTCGGTCCCGAACCTCTGATTAGATCAAAGCAACGTATGCACTCGACTTGATACAGTAGAGCCACCCTCCTCAATGAAACGCTGCAGTGAAACGCTGCAGGCCATCTCCATATTTTGTTTCATAAACATTTCAGTGCTCTGCATCACGCCATTCTATCATAAGGCCAAATGAGATTAACCATTCTTCCATCTTGAGAAAGAAAAAAATGACAATGCAGCCATTCTCAATATGTTGTCATCAGACCATGCAAGATGCCCATGAACCAGGCTATAATATCAGGAAGCTCACGACTGCGAATGAATACAGCCAAGCGGATATAAAAAAAAAAACAGGGACCGCAAAATTAATACTCACATACAAAGCAGTAGCAAGAACACTATTAATATAGACCCTTTGCAATCTTTGTATGCACTCATTTAGGTCTTTGTGTGTGTGAGATGCTCGGATTCCCGGTTTTCTTCATCTCCGCTTAACAGCATACATGAACCTTTGTCATCAGTAAGCGGAGGAATGGGTCTCGCTGGCGTCACCATCATTAAAAAAATGTAACATTAGATAAGACTCGGTGATAAGCTACTAGATCCTTCCTGAAGGAGTAGTGTATCTAAGATCTGCGTCTGAGCGCAACTTTGAGCTGACAAGTTCATTTAAACAAGTTCATGTACTTGGAGGTCATGTGATGTTACATTTGTGACAATATTTTCAACTTAACCTGCATATGCAAATCTCACAAGAGTGTTTCGCAAAGATGGAACGTGTAATTGAAATGTCAAAAAAATTCAGTAAATTGAATTACAGCAATCTATGTACTCCGTGTGCCTATGCCTTGTCGCAAGCGCATCTAGTCTAAACGACATCGCTTTTTCGTAAAAAGAAAAAAAAATAAAGATCAAAAATTTAGTTGCTAGCCTCCTCCTTCACCTCGGTCTTCTGCCTGAAATAACTGGGACGACCATCCTCCTCGACAACCTCCATGGTGGGATCGTTCTTGTAGTAACCCATAGGCGCGCTCTCCCACTCGCCGTCGGCCATCAGCGCGACTGTGCAGTGCCAAGGGGTTGTGAAGCCGGTCTTGGAGTTGAGGAGGGCCATGGACAGCTTGTGCTCACCAGTGGACTGGTGGATGGAGAGACGCAGGTGGTCGGGGAAGGCGTTCTTGACGGCTCCAGCAAAGGCCTGTGAAAGAGTTCTCAGTCAGTATTCATCAAAAAGCTTGTAGTCTTCAGAAGGAGCATTGGAAGAAACATACGTATCCGCGCAGCAACATCTCCTTGGCAAGGAACTTGACGCTCCTCTTGTATCCGTTGCTGGTACGTCCAGCTTGAAGAGGGAAAATGTACTGCAAATCAGACTCGAGGAATCTGCAGTAGCCGCGGTATGTCATGAGAGTGTCGGGCTTCTCTGCAATCTCGCTGTCAATGTCGTGGTCCTCCTTGCCATATTTGTTCAAAAGGACACGGCGGAAGTTGGTGGCGTTGGCAACGTATTTGATCTCGTCCAGCTGTTCTGGGAGAGGGAAGTCGACGAGATCCTTGATACGGGAGAAGTCGATCTGAGTGAAGCCCTTCTGGAGGACCATGGCGCGCAGAGCCTCGCCGTAAGCCCAGGTGTGGCGATCAGGAATGCTCAAGAGATCATTGTATACAAGACCATCGGAGATGATGGTCAGCTTGGCACCAGGAGCATAGATCTTGCCAATGCGCACACACATGGTGTTGAGGCGCTCGACAGCAATCTCCTCTGCCTTGTCGGGCAAGACGCCCAGGACCTTGTACTGCTTGTTGGCAGACTTGAAGGGGAAGGCAGGCAGGCACATCAGGACCTGCTTCTTGGCCATGACGAAGGCATCAATGACAGAAAGGAACTTGGGGATACCAGCTCCGAGCCTGTCCATGCTGTCGTCGAATTTGTTAAGAGCATACTCGAAGATGATGGCCAAGATCTGTCTGGAGATCTCGGTGGCTTCCTGAGTAGCCAGGGCGAGCTCAGTGCTCTCCAGGGAGGTGAAGGCGGGAACTGAGGTAAGAGTCTCCATTGTGAAAAAAAAAAAAAAAAAAAAAAGTTGTTATCAAAAGGGTATCTAGGAAGGAGAAAGAAATGAAAGTGCTTGAGAAGGCTCTGGATTAGAGACGAGTTGTTGTTGTGAGGAGGAGTTGGTGTTGGAATTTCGAGAGATTTGGAAGGAACTTTATAGACAGATGTTCACTGCTCCTGATCAATGTATACGAAGTACCTGTCGCCATCGCCATACAGGCAACTGCCAGGGTCTTGATGAAGGCTTAGACAGAGAAGTTGCATGTCTTGAAGCTCCATCCCAAACTAGTTTCTCACAATACCAGAAAAACACTAGTATCGTGTATGGTATATTCCGTGTGCTCAGTCAACGTTTGATATTTATTGCTTCAATTGGATTAGAGCAGACTTATTTTTATACCCATTTACAACTATTTCGCCTTGTGGATTTTGATATATTCTTTTCTGAAAAACTCATCGCCTCTGTTAAAACCACCCTGGTGTAAGTGGCGTGTCTATAATATCCATCCATTCTTTTACCTCCCGTCTTTGCGCGCGCACTAGTTGTGAATGGCGCTAGGCCCGATCCTACGGACCGCTACCCCATCCAAGTAACTGCGCTAGAAGACGCTAAGCCCTTTGCCTAGCCTCACCTTTTTCCGTCAGCTCAGCTTCCGTGGAAGGGAGCCATTTTCTCATCGCTGTAACAGGTTATAGCCTAGCGGAGTTGCTTGCAAAGAGTCCTATGCACTAATTGACAAAACAAGAAGAAAAAAAAAAAAATCCAATCAAGAAGGACAGAATCACATGTGTGCATGTGTGCTCGTGCCGCTTCCCTTGATGAAACAACCATTTCGAGACTTCCTTGTGCCACTACTACTGTAATACTATTTCGCAACTTCAAGTGCTGTACATGGCGACCACAACGCCGTTCCCTGCAGTTGCTCCAAAATTCAATAGAGAGCACGTATAAAAAAAAAGCTTCTTACAAAGACTTTGCGTCCTTTACAAAGCCTTACTAACGCAATACGGTTCACAAGGGCAAGAACAAGCGTGCAAACAAGCCAAGGCGCGAAGTAAGAGAAAAGTGGAACCAACAGGGGCAACTCGGAGCAGATTATCGGTAAATGTAAGGATCCGATAATATTGTATTATGAAATAAAAGGGGCGGAAGGGGGTTAAGTGAATTGCAAGTTTTTCATAGTCACATGTAATCCAGCTGGCTTTGTGTTTCCCCAAGTCATCCTGCAGGGAGCAGCTAGTGGACAGTAGGATCATGGGTATTGCGAAGAGAATGGGAAAGGCAACTCCAGGAATGCGGTATGTATACTATGCAAGCCACTGAGTTTCATTATAATTTATTTATTTTTAGTTATATAATAGAACATATGCAATGTTTTCTTTACTTGATGGAATAATGTAGAAATAAAAAAAGTAAATACTGCCGTAGAAGAGTTACATACTTGCCATTTAAACACTATAAAAAAGAAATAATTACTAAATTTAATATTCTAATAGTAATAAGTAATATTTTGAACACATTTATAAACATCAAGGGGCTGCTTTATTACAGGTGGAAGATAGCTTACACCCCTTCCCTCCAAGCTAGGACAACCACACGTGGTAATATCGCGTCAATAAATACACACCTAGGGTTGCAGTATAATTCTGTACTACTGCAGTAATATTCAACGACACTCATCTTCTAAGAACTACGGAACAAAAAATTAGCCAAACAGCTACGGAACAATTGAGATTAGTATTCGTTGCCACTAGGACTAGTGTTTGACTATCTATTCGCCCGCTTCATCCGCCTCTCTGATGTAAGACGGTGACTCCCAGGATGCTTCTAGGCTTCACAAGATCCTACAAGGCTGGCTGAGTATCCCACATCCCATATCGTGTTGTGCATGGGGGTGCTGGATCTCAAACCATTCTGCCTAGCTCGTTCACTAAGCACAGCCATGGGACTAGAGCTGACAAGTTCAGAGCTCAATTCACAGCACACACCCCCCACAGCTCCAGGATCAACTTCATGATGCTGGTCCCGCTGTTTCTGGTGACAAAAGTCCATACTTAATAGATGCATATGTTGACTTGATATTTTGACGACGACTGTAACTTTTTTTTCCCTTTGTCTTTTTTTTTGAGATTGAGCCCCATTGCACTTTGCAGTTTTGTTTGTCAAAGACTGTCAACATGGCTTCCGCAGAAAACTACGGGAAGCGGCTCATTCCGCAGATTTTGGACAATGTAGCTGCTACTGATCCGGATCGCATTGTATACTCTATAGCAAAGTCTGCAGACATCTCTCAGGGTCTGCAGCACATCACTGCGAAGCAGTTTGCTGAAGCCGTGGACAAGACAGCTTGGTGGATGCAGTCCAAAGTTGGCAAAAGCACAACACTCGAGGCCCTGGGCTATATCGGACCTCGTAAGTTTTTCTTGTCTCAAAAATTTTGCTAGATACGGTGAAATTATAAACTCTACTGAATTCAAACTAACTGTGCGTTTAGATGATATTCGACATGTCCTGTTGATGTATGCCAGCGCCAAGGCTGGCTACAAGGCAAGTTTCACTCTCTGGTCCCAAAAGTTGAAAGCACAAAAGTTGAAAGCACATCACTGCTAACACGAGTTTCAATTTTTCAACAGTCTCTCTTCCTCTCTGCAAAGAACAGCACAGAAGGCGCTCTGGCTGTTCTCAAAGCCACAGACTGCAACATATGGGTCCAGCCCACAGAGCAGCCGTTTGGCCCCCTCGTAAAAGAGTTTCTCAGCCAGCGTGCCATGAGAATCCTGCATCTCCCCGGAATCACTGAGCTCCTGGATGCAGCAGGCACAGAACACTATGCCTATACCAAGACTTTCGAGGAGGCCGCGTACGACCCATTCTGTGTCCTTCACACGTCTGGCTCAACGGGCTTGCCTAAGCCCATCGCCTGGACCCATGCTCTCATCGGCACAATGGACGCTGTGCGGTTGTTGCCGCCTGTTGAGGGCGATCAGGGAATGGCTCCTTGGACGAATGACTGGAAGAAGGGAGATCGAATCTACTCGTCGTTTCCCATGAGCCATGTAAGTTTAAAACAGAGAAACTTTGTATCCGTGAGCAATTCACTAATCAAAAATCTTTACATATAGGGAGCAGGTATTATTATGGATATCTTGATGCCATCGCTTTTTGATTTGCAGGTCGTTATGGGACCTCCTGGAGTTATCCCCAACATGAATCTTCTAGAATCTCTAGCAGACCATGCTAAAATCGACATCTGGAGTCTTGTCCCGTCTCTTACAGATGAGCTTGGTGAGACTTCAGACGTCCTGGCCAAGTTTGCCTCTTCGAAATTCATCTGCGCATCCGGAGGACCTGTCAGCCCGACCAGCGCCGCCAAGGTCAACAAGGTGATTCGCGTGCTCAACCTGACGGGCACAACAGAAGGCCTCTTCATCGGCAACCTTGTCACGGACCGGGAAGACTGGTATCACTTCTCCTTCCACCCATACTCTGGCTTCGAGTTCAAGGAGATTGAGCCCGGCGTTTACGAGCACTGGGTGCGCCGCAACGAGCACTGGGATCTGTTCCAGGGCATATTCCACACTTTCCCTGACGTGGACGAAATCAATCTGAAGGACTTGTACGTCAAGCATCCTACAAAGCCCGACCATTGGGCCTACAAGGGAAGGAGTGATGATATTGTCGTATTGAGCAATGGGTACAAAATCTCACCGCTCGACACGGAAGCCTTTGTCACCACGCACACCGCAATCGAAGGCGCACTCGTCGTAAGTTTGCCCCCTGAACCACTGTTTTGATATGATTCAAACCAATACTAACCATCTCCCAGGTCGGAACAGGTAAGAGCCAGGCTGCTTTGCTCATTGAGTTGAAAGACCGCTCGGCAGCAGGCGACGAGCTGTATGACAGCATCTGGGAGACTGTGAAAAAGGCAAATGCCCTGTCTCTGCACAAGGATCAGCTTCACAGAGAGTACATCATGTTTGCAGAGGCAGACAAGCCCTTTATCCGCACCGACAAGGGGACAATCAAGCGACGGGCAACGCTGGAACTGTACGCCCAGTACATTGACCGCTTTTACGAATCGCGGTCAGAGGAGGTGGATGCCGAAGCTTCCAGCATGGAGGTCGACACCACTTCGATTGAGTCCATCACAGCAGCGGTGCGAGAAATCTTTGTCACGCTGTCATCGGCTTTCAAGGACATCCCAGACGACGCAGATTTCTTCCACCTGGGGCTGGACTCTCTTCTTGCTTACCGGGCTGTGCGCTCCGTCCAGGCTGCCATGGGCTTGAAAGATCGACTTGCTCCTCGGCATCTGTACGCTTATCCCACCATTGCTCAGTTCTCTGCCTGTCTGAAAGACCTCGCCAGCCAGACACTGGCCAATGGCGCAAACTCCAAGTCTGCTGAGAAGTTGAGCAAGATGAAGGAGCTTTTGAGCAGGTACAAATCGCCGCAGACGCTCAAGATGAACGCCCTTGATCATGGAATGCCCAGTCTGTACACAAAGATTGGCATGTACATTCCCCTTCGTCCCGGAGCGAGCTTTGACCAAGCCTTTTCAAGACTGCAGCAGGGTTTCGCTCGTTTGATTACTCTTATGCCGGCGCTTGATGCCAAGATGGTAAAGGCTTCAGAGAAAGAACCTGGCTACATTAAGGGGCAGCTTAGATTGGAGCTTCCGGAACACCCGCTCACCAATGGCCACTCTAATGGCCACACGAACGGCTACACAAATGGTCATACTAATGGCCATACCAATGGCCATACAAATGGTCACACAAATGGTCATACCAACGGTTATACCAACGGCCATACCTCATCTCCAAGACAGCTCAAGTACAAAGACTTGTCAAAAGTGCTTCCCTCTTTCCAAAATCTAAAAAAGGACGGCTTCCTCCCCTCCGCATACAAGGGTCACGAAATCTTGGATGCTCCATGGTTTCCCACGTTCCCCGCGGACATTGTGGTTGCCCAGGCCAATTTCGTCGAGGGCGGCTGTCTTTTCGCCATGGGCACGCTGCATCCAGCAATTGACGGAGTAGGCTTGGTGACTCTTCTCTTGGCCTGGGCAGAATGTTGCAGATATGTCGAGGGAGACAAGTCGGCAAACTGTAGCTGGCTAGATGCCGACAGCATGAACTACAGTCTTCCACGGGCCCTGTGGGAACAGGATCACCGTGGCCAGCCTGCTCGAGAGATCAACCCCGTCGTATGGGACCATCTCGGGTTCGCCCCAGTTGGAGAGATGGCCGAGGGAGTGGACAATTTGTATATCCAGAGTTTCAAGCCTGTGCCTGCGTACTCTCCCGGCCCTGGAAAGCAGCCGCGTGATTTGACCAGCAGCATCTTCTCCATTTCGCCCGAGAATCTAAAACAGCTCAGGCAAGAGGTTACTGCCGATCCAGAGATGAAGGGCATCAACCTCACCGATAGTGACATCCTACACGCGCTTTACTGGCGGGCCATGATCAGGGCACGACACCGCGTGGCGAAGGAGGTCAATGGCCAAACCATTGGGCCCGAAGATAGATCCGTCTTGGAGCTGACCGTAGATGGCCGGCCTTATTTCAATGCCCAGCTGCCATCATCGTACATGGGCAACATGCTCCTGGTCACGCGGTCTTCCCTGCCGGTGGAGGAGCTCTGCTCGCCCAAGACGAGCATCGGCCGCATCTCGCTGCTCATCCGCGAAGCAGCCTCGCAAGTGACGCCGCAAGTCGCCAACGACGCCTTTGGCCTGCTGCAGACGGTGCAAGACTACAGCGAGCTGCGGTACGCATTCATGCGCCTCGACGGCCTCGACGCCATGATCACCAACATGATGCTGTTCCCGGCCAACGACGTGGCTTTCGGCGGCGAGTTCTTTGAGGATGGCGGAAAGGCGGATGCTGTGCGGATTGTCCACGAGGGCTTCAACTCGGGATTCCGAATGTGCATCATTCTTCCGTATCGAAAGGATGGTGGCATTGAGTTTTTGTTTGGTACGTTCCCTGAGGAGCTGGAGAGATTGAGGGAGGATGAGGAGTTTATGAAGTATGCCCAGTACATGGGGTAAGGATGCAGAATGTATTTAAATCAAGGGAATTAGCGAATTGGATCGGGACATAGAATAGAAATGTAATTGCTTCGAGCCTTGTTTGTTTGCAGAATGCTTCGTGATATAACCACTGAATGAATGTCAGTAGATACGTTAGCCCAATTCGGCAGAATCATCTCCAATCTCTCTCATCAAGCTATCAAAAAAGGCCACATCAACACTCTGATAAGCCCAATCATCAAGCCCAGCGGTAAATAGAGAATCTTCCTGTTGCAAGAAGCTCTCAGGCATTGTGTCTGTCAACGTGTCATTGCTGCTATATCCTCCTGCATCAGCCATTGTGCTACCCCAAGTTTTTGCAGTTCCAGCCGTATCATCTGCGATACCGGCTTCGGGAACTTGTATCCAGCTTGGATTGGCTGTCTCTGCAAGCATTTCCTTGGATATTATGCCTCCTCGAGCAATCTTGATTGTGCCAAAATACGGTATGTACACACGCACGGCGCCGCTTCTCTCTTCATCAACTGGGTCATTAGCCGCCGCAACCTGCACGCTCACCCTATTCACATTTTCCGCATGACCACCAGTAGCCTCGTCTTCAATGAGTAGCAGCCTCCGTAGCAAATCTACACTGCGCGCTCCCAGAGCATCTCCGTTTCGTTGACTGACTTCCTCCATGCTTTCATGCACCTGCTCTATCATCGCACGGTCTCCGGGTCGTTGGTGCGTCAGCCAGTTCTCTGATCTTGCAGACTCGGAACCTCGGCGGTGCCCGTCAAGATGTGCTATTAGCAGCGTCATGGCTGCCATCAAGGAGAACCAGTCCATTGTTCGGCACCAAAAGGCTATGCGGTCGGCGCTGCGGAACGTTATGAATCGTGAAAGCACTTCACGGGAGGCGGTGACGCATGTTAGCCTGGAGTATTGGCTTTCGCATCCGTTTAGAGATGAGCGAAGCATGTAAGGAAGATGGAGTTGGTTGAGAAGAGTGTAGTGAAACAGTTGATGAAACAGCCGCCGCATATCCCAAAAGAGTCTTTCCGGGTCGTCCAAGACCGTAGCTAGATTTGAGTGAAGCCACCACTTTTTGGGCAACTCTTCGGCAGCCTTTTGCAGCTCTTTATCCAATTCATGCGTCAAAGCAAAATCATCAGGGCTTGGCTCGGACTGGTTGCGTTGTAGAATACGAGATGCGATGACGCAGTGTTTGCGTTCAAGACGTCCCATGGGCGTGTCGCTCTCAAGAACCTCCTTGGAAGCCATACTCTGATCGATGGAGCTTTGAGGGAGTCCTAGCATGAGACAAATGTGTCGTTCTGCAAACACGATGCGGAACCATATGAACTTTGGCTGGACTTGTCTTTCAGAGTCCAGCAGCTTGCACTGCGCTGAACTCCTGGAGCGATGGAAGCCCATGAGCTGCGCGATTGTCATGGCTTTCCGGATGGCGGTCAGGCCTTTGCGCAAATCTCCGCCATTTGCATGCCACAGACTCTCCATCATCACGCACTCTATGCCTTCAATGTTGCTGATGAGGCTTTCGTTTGAATTCACGAGGTCGACGGCAGTGTTGAAAAGGCGGCTCATGATCTGACGTGGCGGCTCTGACAATCCTTGTAGGTTTTTATGAAGATTAGGATGAAGGTGTTGTAAAAAGGTGGCAATCCTGAGCATGTAAAGACCTATTGAAACGGGATGGGCATTTGGTCCTGACGGCTCAAACAGGCTGTCTAATGACTGAGGGTCGCTTTTGTCGAGGTCATTGTAGGAAGCGGTGAGCATCTGGTAGAAGCGCGCAGACAAGTCGCCGCGTGCTCTGGAGATGATTTCAATGTCTTTTGGCGTAGGTAAGGCTTCGTAGAGAGCGCGGGACAAGTCTTTGTATTTTCCCAATCGGATGAAACGACTCTTGCCATCTATCAGTTGTGGAGGCCTGATACTACCCTCGCAGTCTAGGATTTCGTATTGAGGAGTGTCGTCATGCTAAGAAGTAAGTCAACGGATATCCCAAGATACATTTTGGACGCTGATGACGTACATTTAAAGATTCGGGCTCACACGAACTATTACTTGGTTCCCCAAGAACAGGGCTGTTGACCTTGTTAGACTTTTCATCCTTTTGCGTCGCTGTGCATCCGCAGCAAGATTCCGAGCCACTGGACATCTTCTTGAGTAACTGCTCGACTAACGCCTCTACTCTCCCAACTCGATCTCCCATCTGAAGACTGCGGTCCAAAGGCGTTGAAATCTGCTCCGGAAACTGCTGGTCCACGCATTTGGCTCCGCGTCGCTTGCAGCTGACGCAGATGGTGTCTGCGGGCGAGCCAAAGATGCACTTCATCTTGCGTCGCCGGCATTCCCAGCAGCTCCTCGTGCCTTTGCGGACTTTTCTTCTCTTGGTCTGAGGGCCATCAGTTTCATGCTCCTGTTCTGGTGGCGTATGAGAGGGCTCATGGCGCCTAGTTGACGCTGCATCCATGCGAAAAGTCTGTCTAATAGCTGTGGCTAAATGATAGTCTGAAGACTAAATGGATCACGTCGGTATAGGAACAAAAAACAATACAGTGTAGAGTGTCTGATGTATGTGTCGTACGAAAAGTACGTGTATAGGAGAAGTTGCGTTTCGACCGGAATCTCGGTGGACGAGCTGAAGCCATTGACGTTGGGCGGCCCCACTTATTCCATTCCTTGTGCGAGTTGGATTACACCAACGCCAGCCTTTGTCCGTGGCATCGGAGATCCTTCTATGGCAAGAGCATTATAAAAGGTCGATTTGTTCTCTCATAAGGCCCCAAGGAAAAGAGCTCTTTTAAGTATTACAGCCCACACCCGAAGTTTAGTACCAATATCTTCCACCCCATCTCGCAATGGATTTCAACACTCTGCCCACTTACATGCCAGGCAAGCCCGAGCCTTTCACTCTGCATGTACCCGATAAGAAATTATCTGAATTCCACGAGCTTCTAAAACTATCCAAGATTGCACCAGCGACATGGTGGAATCAGCACAATGATGGCCGCTTCGGAGTATCCCGCGAGTGGCTGACCCAAGCCAAAGAAACCTGGCTTACAGCATTCGACTGGCGCCAGCACGAGAACCGCATCAACAAGTTCCCCAACTTCAGGATCGCCATCGACGACCCGGAAGCTGGGAAAATCGATATTCATTTTCTGGCCTTGTTCTCTTCAAAAAAGGACGCTATACCATTCATCTTTCTGCACGGCTTCCCAAGTTCATTCCTCGAGATCCTGCCCACGATGGAGCTCCTTTCGCAGAAATACACGCCTGAGACTCTTCCATATCACATTATTGTGCCGTCACTGCCCAATTATGGACTCTCAGGTAGCCCAAGCGAGAATGTTGAAATGACGCTGGACCGAGCTGCACGAATTATGCACCAGCTGATGATGGGCCTTGGGTTCAGCGACGGATATGTTGCCCAGGGCGGCGATCTGGGCAGTGTGCTGGCCAGGATCATGTCAGTCAAATACAACGAGTGCAAAGCTTTCCACCGTAGGTTTTACTTTGATCATGTAAACCAATTTGGAAGATAAATATCTAACAGAATCTAGTCAATATGCTAACCCTCAACACGGGAGAAACACCGCCTCCTTCCGACGCGTTATCCGTCCAAGAGGCACAGGAGTTGAAACGAAGCGAGACCTGGGCCCAAACCGGCCTGGCCTTTGCGCTTGAGCACGGCACTCGCCCTTCCACCGCTGGACTGGCCATTTCCTCTAACCCTCTCGCGTTGCTAGCTTGGTAAGTCAAGTCTTATCGACCGGATTCTGCATGCACGTTACTAATAGAAGGCTAGGATTGGGGAGAAGCTCCTTGAGTGGCCTGACCAGCGAGAGCCACTGCCTCTTGATACTATTCTGGCCATGGTCAGCCTCTACTGGTTCACAGATACGTTCCCTCGCAGCCTGTACCATGCGCAGGTCATCCAAACAATACTCAAAGGAGATGCGTTGCCAATATCGAAGGAAAAGCCGCTTGGGTATTCAATGTTTCCGCGTGATCTTGTTTTGCTTCCCGAGGCTTGGGTTCGCCACCTCTACCCCAATCTAGTCTTCTTTAAAGCACATGACATTGTGAGTTGTTGACCTCCCCTTTGCTTAGGTGGAAATTCGCTAACTGAAGTAAATAGGGAGGACATTTCGCGAGGCTGGAGCAGCCAAAGTTATTCTTGCAAGATATCGAGGAGTTTGCTCAACAAGTCGGCGGGCTCTTCACACACGCATAAATATATGTCTAGATGAATGTAGAGAAGGGGTCTCGTATTAGTCAAGGGGTCTCCCAGACCCAAGTTTGGAATCCAACTGGAATAATATTAAGCGTAGTGATACTTTAAGCTTAATACATCTACTAGGTTTATATGCGATGCTCTCTTTTATAATGTTATTTATTATATGTATTTTATAGCGTAGGTAGTATAAGTAAAAGATCCAACGCCCCTCATATATCATAATGCTTCTCTAGCAGAAAAAAGAGAACCAAGTCAAGTTCCCATGCCCAAACGTTTCATAATATGTATATCGAAGTCATAACGTGTAAATACCCCTCTCTCGCATCACCTTTCCTTAATATTTCTGGTGGTGGTGGTGGTGGTGGTGGCCATCGTTGTTACCGCCATAGGCCAGGTTCTGCATCTCCTTTTCCTCCTTGTGCTTCTTGAAAGCGTGCTCAATCAGGTTCGCACCGATGGCACCGACAGCAGCAGCTCCCACCGCGGCCAGCTTGCCACCACCAGCCTTGTGAGCGGCGAAACCAGCAGCACCGCCTCCAATCAAGGTGGCACCGAGACCACGCTCGCCGTCGGGGCCCTCAGCGCCAGGAGGGCCGCCGCCGTACTGCTGCTGGTCGTAGCCGGGCTGGCCGCCGTACTGCTGCTGCTGGCCGTATTGCTGCTGGTGCTGGGCATATTGGGGCTGCTGGTCATAGGGAGAGGCGCTACGGTTGTCGTACTGCTGCTGGTGCTGGCCGTACTGCTGCTGAGGGGGGTAGCCCTGGTTGTACTGCTGCTGCTGGCCGCCGTACTGAGGCTGCTTTCAGTGGGTTAGCTGCGAGTCTGATCAGTAGACTGAAAGGCATCATTCAATTTACCTGTTGAGGGTAGCCCTGCTGCTGGTTGTAGCCGCCGTACTGCTGCTGCTGGCCGTACTGCTGCTGGGGCGGGTAACCGCTGCCGCTGCCGCTGCCGGAGCTGTAGTAATCGTTGGCGGACATGTTGATGGCGGGGTTGTCTAGGAGATGTCGCTGCAAAAAACGGGACAAAAGTCACGCAGAGATGAGAAGCTGATGGAAAATAGACGGAAGCTTGATGCGTGAAGGAACAAAGAATAATCAGCTCAAGAGGCTCCGGGCAGGCTTATTTATTCGGTTTCTTACACGCGAAATATTATCGATGGGTGGGGGAAAGAGCGGACATGCACTGGCACTGTCTAGCGGCTTCGACAAATCAGCAGTGGCTGGGCCGTGCTCCCGGAGTCAGCTGTAAGGTACATGCACGTCCGCTGGAGTGGCGCAGTCACTGCGGTCCATCACTCCCCCTTTTGGGGTGAACCCTTTTTTTCTTCTCTTTGTGTCGAATGGAATCTAGTGACGGTGACATCAACGTCTGGCGCGGCATGGCGATGGGATGTAATTAATACCGGTCAATTTGAGTTCATTTCCCAGTTGACGCAAACACGCAGCATCGCCGTACTTGTCGATGCAGGCAGCAGAGACAAGTAGAAGCTGTAACAGGGACCACCGGGCTACGGCATTTCCGGCTCAGTCTGGAGCTTATGGTACATAGGCTCGACTTTTAGCTTTGAGCAGGTGAAGTCTGGACGTGGAAGCGCTGGGGGGATTGCTTGCACTGCAGGAGGATTATTGATACTGCCTGTACCTGTACACAGGTGCATGTCCCCGTACACGTATCGAAGCATTTCCACGCCTATAGACGCCAGGCATATTAATAGACGACTTGGACAACATCTCGGCTCATCTGCCCGAGAATCTGCAGCGTCGAACTCCCCAGCCTCGGCAGGGCGACTCAAACAGACGAGCGCCAGCAAAGCGGGGGGCGCACTTTGGCAGCCCGAAACAGCGGCGGCGGCCAAAGATTCCAGCCATCGCTCAGCCTCCGGCCAGGAGGGCCAGATCGTCTGTCCGTGTGCGGCTGGCGTTGACACCAGCCACCCGGGCCAAATCAGCCGACTCGACGCGGAGGGCGCCAAGGCTGATTCGAGACTTTCGATTCTTTTCTTTAATTCTTTTGATAGTGCTTGCTACATACTGCTATTTCGTTTACTATTTGGTCAACCGAGTGGCATTATTGCATACTTGTACGTGTACTTGCCCTACCTGGTATTATAGTGGTCACTGTTAGTGCGGGCAGCGGCTCCTTCGCACGTTTGATCCTCATCTGCTGGAACAGGCAACTTCTTTCGACGGGACCGTGGAATAGCCCGTCGCTATCGTTTAATCCCTAGAGTTTCCCAATGAGGCATAGAGTACGGAAATATGTTGAAATAGGTGTCAGATGCCAATCTTCTCCATGTAGGTCGGGCAGAGAGGCTTGGCTCTGGATACTTTTGCTTGGCTCTTACTGTGGCGGTATGTTTTGGCATCACAGCCAAGAACCGTCACAGCCAAGAACTCTTGGCTATACCACTTGTCCCTTTCCTCATTCTTCCTTTTCAAATTCACCCCATGTACCCTTACGTAGAGCTGCACATGTTTGTCCAAACTGAGCGCTAGCACCATGTGATACTGCAAACAAGGCGGGCCATGGGCTCATGATTGCTGTCTAATACTATTCCATTGCAGGCCAGAAAGCCTCTTCTGCGGCCAACACCTCACGCCACTTCACCAATGCTCTATCCAGAAGCTCTCCCTTGATTGCCTCCTCCTCGCCTTCATTCTGCCGCAGCTTAATCTCTCGCTGCACCGCAGAGTCGATAATCTCGCCCAGCTCGTCCACAAACCGCGCAAACTCCACGGAACTCCAGTTCGGTATGAATTCCCGCCTCAGGGCCCCACCATCCTCATCCCCATCGGCCTCAGACGGAGCGGAAAGCCGGGCTGATGCGCCGGACCAGGCGTCGAGGTAGCACTTCTCCGTCGCCCAGAAGACGATTGCCGCTTCGAGCCAGGGTATCACGGCCTTGTCCTTGTCGCCACCGCCGGGACGGGTGCTGTCGAATAGAGCCTCGAAGCGATGGAGCCCTTCCAGCTTGTGGCTGAGATCTAGACTGATGCCGTAATCTGCCGCAGTGCGGACAAAGAACTCTTCCTCTCGGCGAATGTTGACCAATGCGTCAATCATCCAGCGAAGCAGCTTGGTGCTCTCGGAGACTTCTGCCTCTTCCTCCACTGTCTCGGGGAGCTGTAGAAAGCTGAGTAGACGACCCACGCCTCGGATATACCCATGGATATAAAGCCGATCATTTGAAAGCCATTGTCCGAGATGATGTTTGGAAACGCGGCCTTTGGCAGCGCGAGTCAGGAAAGACGATTGCGTGGCTGATTTATAGGCCAGAGGGTCGGAAGCGAGGACGGTTCGCGTGAGAGAAAAGGGAGCAGCCATGGTCCTCTTCTTTTTTTCTTTTTTGTTATGGTGAGTTTGGTGACTATTTTATTGGTTCTGATGATACAAGCCGTCATGAGCCAGAATTATGATGGGAGGTTGAAAGCGTTGAAACGTAAATTAAATGCGAGTCGATATCATATTACGTCACGTCATGGCGTATAAAAATGTCTCAGCAATCTTTCATGCAGACCGCCCATCACATCTTCATGATAAATATGACACGCTGAAGCATGTCTCTTGTTAATGGCAGCGCCCGGTCAATTTTCCATACAAGACTTACTGGGATCGCAGCCATACTTTGTAGCCCGCTTAATTCAGGTTACCCGATACTTTTGCATTACAAAAGATGATGGATCTGTAAAAGCAAACAGCGAAAGAAAGGTCTCTCTCTGTTATATCCTTGATCTAGCACGGCAAACATTCTAAAATCTAGCTTTACATATTGCTTTTTCCTACGCAATTTTGTATCGTCCTTCCAATGTATATGTGCTCGCGGTAAATTCGATACGAAAGGAGCACCTGTATATTCATTCCAGCCATAAATCAGTCATCTCTCATTTTATATCCTCAGTAAGAAAAAAAGTCTTTAAATTGTGTCAGTCGTTTTTAGATTCGGGAAAGATATCCATCTTACTCACCATCTATGCCTTGGGTGGCGGGATAACCATGCCGTACTTTTCGTACGGAAAGTTCTCCAGAGAAGCAAGGTACTCGGCCCAGCCATCGCCCAGCTCACCAACCTGATGCAGGTCGACATCTCCAGCCTTACCAGTTCGTCCAGCAAGGACTTCCTCCTCAAGGCCGGCGTACTCCTCCTTGAGCATAGGGTGAGGGCACCACACCACACGCATGCCGGCGCGGCGACCAGCCTCAACGCCCGGAACTGAGTCCTCAAACACGAGGCACTCCTCAGGCTTGATTGGCGCCTCTCCCTCGGGCAGCGAATCGTTGATGGTCTGCAGAGCGAGGAGGAAGATATCCGGGAGCGGCTTTCCACGGCCAGGCTTGAGTCGGCTATCGTCGCCCACGACTTGTCGATGAGGGGGGAAGACGGAGAAGACATCGGCAAGATGGCTCGTCTTTAGCTTAAAGTTGCCCATGTGAGAGCTCGTGGCGAGAGCAATGTGCACGGTAGGAGAATCCACACCAGGCTCCGCTGTCCGAGAGAGGCTGGTCAACAGCTCAGGGACGCCGGGCAGAGGCTTGGTGCCGGGGAACAGCTTCTGATGGAGGGCCGCGGTTTCAACGGCATACTCTTGGGATGAGATGGGCAGTTGGGCCCAGTCCAGGAGGATCTTGTTGGCATCGGGACCCGGACGGCCCTGCAGCTGGGCCTTGATGGACCATGGCATGGAAGGACGAGAGTACTTGTCCAGGATGAGGTTGACGCAGAGCGTGTAGATGTCCTCGGTATCGAGAAGGAGGCCGTCCATGTCAAAGAGACAGGCCCTCACGGGAGGGAAGCTGGCAGCGGTTTAGCTCGAGTGATTTCATGTTTATGAACGAAGAGGACATACTCAGTTCGGGGAGCCATTTTCACAAGAAGAGTGCGGAGAAGGCTACTTTGGTCCGAAAAGGCTGTAGAAAAGATACCAACAGCTCAATTTACGAAAGGAGCTGAGAACAAAAATTGCCTTGTCTAGTAAAAGTGAGGAATCGTTGGATTCTCGCAATCTTTATCGGCTTTTCCGTTGGAGATCGGGAGTTTCAAGTATCGAAAACCTTCCAATGGCCGAAGTGGGGGCGGGGCGGTTCGCGCTGGGGTTCGGCGAGTGACTCGCAACGAGATGCCGCGTATCGGCTGCTTCCGATGAATGGATGCTAAAAGACAGAAGAAGATGAAAGTTGCCTGATATAGACGATATTTATCTATATGCTGTATCTTTGACCGCCAGAATACCACCTTTGTCTTTTTTTCGATTCAATGTTGGCAGAAATTGTTATGGAGCTGCACATGGAGATATCCCCACTAAATTCCGCTATGCTGACATAATCGCCTCACATGCCACATTTCCGAGCTTCGTAGCTCAGTAGACGATGCTTCATCACCATTGACGCCCGGGATTTCACTTTGCTCCGCTCACTAATTGCCGTTGCATAATACATAGCGATACGCATCTTAAAACATGAGTGATAAGGAAAAGGCTTCGGAAAACGCAAAAGAAGCACCTCAAGATGAGAAGCCGAATGATGAACCGGAAGTTTTGAGATTCCCTCCAGAGGAAGAAGCAGTAAGTATTGACTGCTGGAACATCACATCTCGCTTTCATTTTACTCCATCTTCCTACACGTACCTTCTTGTCATATAAAATGGGCTATATCTCATGAGTTAGCTCCTTTGTTTGACCTGTTCAAGCTTGTGACCCGTCTCACATCAGTTAACCTTGCTACACATATCATCATTCACTTATACGAACGCCACTCATTTCAAGATCAAATTCTCTCAATGTCTTACAATTCCTAAAAACATACTCATCCAATGCTTCTTATCCTAGGCCCTCCTCAAGGAATCCGCCGCCATAAAGGCCGATGCCAACTCTCTCTTCGCCTCCAAAGACTACCACAACGCCCTCTCTAGATACGACGACGCCATCGCCTCGTGCCCCAACTACCTTCACTACGAACGTGCAGTGATACAGAGCAACATTTCTGCGTGTCATTTACAGGTCGAACAATGGACGGAAGCAATAAAGGCCGCAACAGATGCCATTGACAGCTTGACAAAAGCCGAGAGCGAGGAGCAACTTGTGCCAAAAGACGAGCTCAAAGACACCAAACCAGATCATAAAGACAACACGACGAATGACAACAAGAATGGGGATGATGATGTCGAGGGAGAAATCATCAGCTCCGGAGCAGAGCGAGCTGCACCTATGGCTCCCCCTGAACCAACCCCCGAGCAGGCAGCACTAGAGAACCGCAAAGCTGACATTCTGCGTATCCGCACAAAAGCCTTACTTCGACGTGCACGCGCCCGTTCTGAAGCCGGTGGCTGGTCCAACCTCGCCGGCGCTGAAGATGACTATCGCTCTCTCTCGCAAATGCCTGGTCTGACGCCCGCGGACCAGCGCACCGTCCGATCACAGCTCAAGGCCTTGCCGCCGCGAACAAAGGCTGCTCAGGAGGCCGAAATGTCTGAAATGTGGGGGAAACTGCGTGGTCTCGGCGATAGCCTTCTCAAACCTTTTGGCCTGAGCACCAATAATTTCCAAATGGTCAAGGATGAAAATACGGGAGGATATAGTATGAATTTCTCACAAGGCGGGCCGTCATCATGATAAGAAATTACCCTCAATTAAAAGAGTACCGCCTATCAATCCATTGACCAGCAAGCGTGAGCACCTTTGAGAATCTTCAACGATTGGGGGGATAGAAGGATTGCGTGTATGGGTTATTATCTCGCCAGGTGTCATAGCCATATTGTTGGGTTTGGTCAAATGGGGCCGCTGAAGGACCATGTTGCTGTAACAGATTATCTGTTCGTGGCATCGAGATCGGGGTATACGGGCCACTTACTGGTGGCGATGAGTGCTGAGGCGAAATAACCGCTGAAATATCCGACGTACGTATAGGAGCAGGGCTCATATGAGCATCCGGCCACTGATCAAATCTCAGCGGCATGGCTGGTCCTGTAGTCTCCCATCCCCAAACCGCCTTGAGGTGCTCCTCGGCATCTGATCGCGAATACACCATCTGACTCTGCATCCTCTGTAAAATCTCAAAGACTTCCATCTGCTCTTTGTGATCCGTTAAAACGACTGACGCAAGCAAGAATGCCTGTGTGTACATCGGCCCGAGGTACTTGTCGTCTGTATGCGCGACAATCCCACATACTTCACGGGCATGGTGTAGTTGAAGCCAGCTTATTTCGTCCGATACCATTGTTTGCTCCATGGGATGTGTCTGAGTCAGTATGCTTTGTGCAGTGTGATATAAAAGACGACAGAATATAGCTTCTTGTTTGGGTGCCCATGCCTTCGGAAACACGGTATCGCTCTCCATTTGATTGGGCTGCATATATCCCAATGGGCGCAAGTTCCTCGGACACGCGTCGCTCCACTCAACACAGAGCTGCTTCAGTTGCTTCCATTCCGGTATATAATTCTCCAGAGTTCTGTTTTCCCTCTGATCCTTCTCTGTAAATGACAGCACATGCCGTCTGTAGCTTGCCACCTTGGCCAGTATAAATAGCATTTTCTGCGCCCATAGCTCCTCGTCTCCTTGAGCCATGACTTCGTTTCCGTCGCTGGGAAAGCCTAGCTCGATATTCCATCCGCTAAAAGACAAATCACAGCCCGTTTCTAGGCTCCCCATAACGTCCAAGTAGGCGTTTAGCCAGAAACATGCCGATCCAACGCCGTCGCTCTCCGCAGTCCACTGGCTTTCGCCAATGATAGAGTTGAGCACCGCAAGACTGTGGCCGCCGGTCTCCGGCTTCTCTCTAAACATGATGTTATAGAGTTTTAAAATAGTTGCTGCAACAGAACATTCTTCGATGTTACGCTCTGGATTCTCGCGATAGCGGAATAGCTGCATATTCGCCGTGCTGTAATATACTGTAGCTATGCTACTCAGATCTGGCTGGCGATTTGATAGACGTCTAACTCCACAGGCCAGCAGGGAATGAAGCAACAGGGGAGAATCCAGCGCTCGGTATGGCAGGCACTCTCCAAAATGCTTGCCTTTGTTGAATGAATCCATCCATATAGCAATCTCGTGAACGTAAATTTGCATATACTCAACGTGCTCGGGAGAGTTGAGGAACTCCCGCTCGAAAGCAGAAGAACCCGTAGCATCTGCATTAGTAGCACTGTCGTCTTCGATGCTTACACTGATATTTGATCGGTCTTCAACTTCAGACAGGCTCATTGGCCCTGAGTCGACTGTAGCTCCTTTGCGCCACTCGGTAGCTTGGAGAATTAAGCTATCGCTGTATATGCTCCTCGCCTTATTCGAGCTCTCGGGTGATATGTAGATGTGCCAGACATGTCCCTGAAGGATAGAGCTGGACGATCCATGATCTGAAATTGGTGTTTGCGTCCTGGCCATCGCGCCGCACTCTATATACCGGCTACTATCAGCGTCTGCATATCCGGTTAACCCGTTTTGATACTCCGAGGCGATTTGGCGAGACTCGTCTCTGATTGTAACTATATCTAGAGTAACAATTAGCGTGAAATATCTCAGGATTAAAAGAACCAAGTCATACTATTGTGGAAAACAACTGGAATAAAATTAGACGAATCGTGAATGGTAGTATTTGTAAAATTGAGTCTGATTCCGCGTAAACATGTTCGTCTTCCCCGTTGACAGTTTTGGCAGGACGGTGTCGATTCGTCGCATTTGAGATGGCGGTCTCTGCAGGTGAGGCAGCCGGTGCGCACCCGCTTTGACTTTCTGGAGTACTTGGAGCTCTGCAACGACTCTTGATACGGTTTGATCATTGTGGAAAATGTATTGTATCGGCCTATATCGGAGGATTCCGCGTACATGCTCAATCTCGTAAAGCCTGAGCAGCTTATTGGCCATCAACTCGACATTAGAATGTTAGACAGATTTGGAAAAAAAATTCCTTTGTTGGCTTATTGGTCTTTGATGGCCTATCGGTAGAATAGGATTCGGGTTATTTTGTAAGAAATAATCGCCATGCCTGCTGGTTATTTCGGATCCAGATGTATCGGTAGCGGAGATGCCAATAGAATGCGCTGCTATATGAAGGGTACATATATTTGTCTCTCAATTTTCGAGGAAAAGGGCCAGAATGGTGACAGGTATGTATCTCGCATAGAGCTTACTTATTGCTATCTAGAGAGCATTCGTATAATACCATTCAAATGGTAGACTCGAGTAGGTAGTTAATAGCGTGAGAAGCATCATGTTAAGAAAGGATGCGGTGAGTGAATGATGGGGAAGTAGTATTTAGAGCTGCGAAATGCTCCCACTACTAAATCCAGTTAGATGACAGTAGTGTCTCTAACGGTGATACAAGATTTTCGGTACCTGTTTTGCTTATGCGATGCAGAACGAGAGTGTAATAAGCCGGCAGGCATAAGTCTGTCCCAAAGTCTTGTAATACTGAGCACAGATGTGGCATGCCTCCTAAATTACAGGAACCCTGAGCAACCTGGAGCCAAATATGCCTACCTCAGCTCATATGCTCTGAACTTGCCCCTAATAGTCCCAAGTGATGTGGCAAATTGGTGTGGGATACCCATGACCTCCAGCAAGGCTCCAGCTTAGCATGTCAGGCACATAATATTGGTCTGCATAGCGCTGCAGGCTGAGAGGGCTTGACAAGCATTGCAAACATGGGTCAGCTTCTTCCTTCCCACATAGATCAGCCCATCGGCTCAAACTATGCATATTGTGGCAGGAAATATTGTAGTATTGGAGACTTGACACATGCTTCAGTTGCTCCAACGGAGTAGAGCCATCGACTGCGGTACTATTGAGATCATTGACCGACGATCCACGAGCTCATAGGATGCGCTGACAATAATAGAGTGCCTGTCACACATCCTACGGCTTCTTCCGAAACATCACAAAGCTCGAGCAACAACGCGATATCTGTGGCTCGTCCGCTCCCCCACCCGTTAAGCTCCCCGTTAGTGCCCGTCTTTATTTAGGCCTATATTTGTAGGAGTTCGAATCGAGGTATTAAGAGGCGAGGGTGGAATTGCGTCATCTGGTCAAACCAAGCATACATCTTATACGCATGAATTCTGTCCACTAGCCGGGCCTGCTGAAACCGCGTGGCGGTGGCTTACTGCAAACAGTCAGCCATCAGCACATGAGGTGTTCAGAGCCAACAAGAGTAAAGGCAGAAATAGTCCAGCATACGCAAGGGAGTTCCTATACTGAGGAATGAGCGGTGTCCATGTGAAGGCCTGGAAGCAAGGAGAGTCTCTAGGTTGTCTAGGGCCACCTTGAGGGCCAATCTGGTAGCACGAAAACCGATAATCAGCCCAAATTCACATGCATGTCTCAGGTGAAACAGGCAGTAATGAGACAGCACTATGCAACACTTCGTGACAGTGGTACCTCATTAGATAAAGATAATCGCTTGTTGTGACCAAAGAAAGGAGAGGTGCTTCACCGAGGTAGTAGAAACCTGAGACTTTGATGGTAGCACGACGTAAGAGCAGGCGGAAATTGCCTGTCACAAGCTTATGATGATGTCCAAGTATGGCACATGTCGAACAGGTCTCGTTTCCTCCACGTGCGGTAGCATCTCGGCTACCATCTCTCTTATTTCAATTTCAGTGATTTGAAAGAGCACGTCGGGTTATTTCATGCGGAAGAAGCCTTGAAGTTGCCGTGTCAAAGAGCTTGCTGCACCAAGGTTGTAGGTACTACGGGAATGCACGTGACTCTAGTACCATTCTTGGACGTTACTGCTACTACGCATCATCTTCTGACACTTATCATACTTCCAGCAGGGCGATCTCTTTTCCTTCTAATGATGCATCCCGTCTTGCTTGGATAGCAATGTCTCAGCTGACAAGTGTTGGCTGAAAGGCGGGGAAACAATATGGCTGAATCAACGCCATCGCCAAAAGCGATATTACGAGGGCACAAGGCCCAGGTACACGCCGCCACGTTCGTGAGACAGAATGAGCGCCTTGCGACTGGCGACGCCGAGGGCTGGGTCGTGCTCTGGGACCTCACCATCATGCGGCCACGAGCTGTTTGGAGAGCCCATGAAAATGCGATTCTTGGCATAAGAGGGTGGGGCAACGACAAAATTATCACGTACGTTCCCAGTACGCAGTGCAGCATGAGGTGGACAATTGTTACTGACCAAAGACCCCAGCCATGGCCGTGATCACAAGCTTATTGTGTGGAGGGTCAAAGAGGAGGATGAGGAGCGTCTCAGCGTCTCATTGCCGCTGGAGGACACCCCCGCGCCACGCCCACAGCCCTGGGTCCTTCATTTGTTGGAGGTGAACACAATGAACTTTTGCTCATTTGCTGCTTGTCTCGGTGACCCCAAGCAGGGAAGTTCTATTGAAGCCAGCTCGTCTGTAGCAGAAGTCGTTCTCGCTGTGCCCAATACCCTCGCCTCTGAGGCCGTAAGTAGCCGCACCATCAGCGATGATGACGATGGCGAGCCTTGCCGTACTCAGCTGACGATTCTCAGATCGATATCTACACACTACCAAGCCAGAGCAGGATTCACACTATCAAACCCGGCCAACAGAATGGCATGGCCATGAGCCTATCTTTGTTACACCACAATGAAAGATTGACACTGGCTGCAGCGTTTGAAAACGGATTTGTCTCTGTGCATCGTCTAGAAGTTGACGGGTCTTGGACGATAACATACCGATGCCAAGCCCATACGCAGCCTGTTCTATCTATAGACATCCATCCCAATCGGGAATGCCTTTTTACTTCGGCGGCAGATGCCCTGATAGCGAAGCATCCGATTCCGGTTTCTCAGCAAGAGGTAGACATTGGGCTTGAGCCTAACCAGAGGGTAGTAGAGGTGGTTGACACTCCGTCTGCCTCTTCAGCGACGGGTTCAGGCCGCAAGATCTTGAAAGAATGGGAGCACGCACTCAAAGTCGTCAATACAAAGCATTCTGGCCAGCAAAATCTCAAAGTCAGGTCCGACGGAAAAATATTTGCCACTGCTGGGTGGGATTCGAAGATTAGGGTATACTCGACCAAAACACTAAAGGAGCTCGCTGTGTTGAGCTGGCACAAAGTCGGGGCTTATGCTGTGGCCTTTTCTACTATTGAGGACTCAGCTGCTCCCGCAAGCACTAAAGCTCCATTATCTGGGCAGTTGGAAGAGAACGCCGCCAAGGAATTCGATGGCGCAACACTTCAAAAGGCTGAGGCCGAGGCTGAGGCGCAGGAAACAAAGAGCTTGGCAAGAGGAGTTGGAATGAGCGTCAAAGATCGCAGACTTCACCTTGCAAAGACGGCACACTGGATTGCGGCAGGGGCAAAAGATGGAAAAGTAAGTCTCTGGGACATATATTAAAAATCGCTATTTACACCAATATTCATGTCGTTACATCATTATCATTCTTATCGGTCAGTTCGTATCATCATCGCTCGCTGGCATCGAGCATACCAAGAGAAAAAGTCTACTTGGTCTGCATGCTCGCACGAGTCTTCCACACTGGTTGGTATAACTCCTGGATCGACTCTCTCGCGCAACATATTTACTGCTTGTTTGCAAGCTCAGCCCATATCCTTGACATCCACGCTGAGACCAGCGCATCTCTCTCGCCAGTACTCATCATAGCACTGATTACTAGTGTCATCAGATCGCTCATGTCCACTTCGCGTGCTACCAGCTGGCCTTCTCCATCGCTCCACTCATATCGAACAGCTTTGTCTCTGGCAGGAACAGCTGAAAACAGAACATTTCGGCGTACCAACTGGTGATTAAGCGAGTGTGTTGCGCGTCGAATGCGATAGCCCCTGGTAGACGACAATTTCCTTGGCCGAAAGCTCTCCAGTCCAAAAGTACAGAGACTCCGCCGCGACGTAGGCTCTGCATGATATGGAAATGTCGGGCAGGTGACTCGTACGGGATGCTTCAAGTCATAAATGTGCCTCCTCCGCGCCGCGATCTGGGCCTCGCCTTCTCGCCGTTTCACCGAGTAGTCCAGTCTCTCTATGCGCACATTGCGATCTGTGTCTTTGAGAAAGCCCACTGAGTGAGAGAGCTCATATAGTGGCGGCGCTGGGGGACCAGCGGAGTGAATGAAGCGACCAGCTACATAGAGAGTTGTCGGTGAGAGAAATTCCTCCTGCTCGCTGGGCGTGGGGCTGCTGACAAAGTTGCTGCAGTAGTATGAAGGAGGGTCGTCCATGAGTGCGTATGTTGTTTTGATGGTGATGAAGGCAAACTTCAGTTCTTGGTGGACGTAACCGGTGTACGTATGGCGGACGGCGCAACGCAAGGCCCGACTTATATGAGATTTGAGGACACGATGCTGTCGGTGGCTACAGTGTACGCAGAGGAAAGGATCGTGGCTGAACGGTGTGAATTTGCCTTTGAGCGTTACGATTACAGCGAGTGACGTGATGCTGGCTTCTTATTCGCAGCCACGGTCTTCACAGGTCCGAGCCACATGATATGCCCAATGAATATGGACATGCTCTGTCCCTATCAGCACTTTAATGCTCAACCATGTAACCCGAATTGGCTTTGGCGATGCAAAAGTACAGCGAGGAATGACATCAACATTCATGCTAGCTGCTAGCCCTGGCCTGGACCCATCCCGCACACGGGATTTATATGGAGATGTGCTAAAAGCTGCTGTCACCGAATGGCGTATCCGCTAATACCAAACAGCTCTCTCAAACTCTACCACACACACATTCGGACAGATGTTCCAGCGTCGAAACCGATGGCCCGATTTAACGATCTACATGCGTTTGGCCATCTGAGATGACGCCCTTTCGGCAGTTTATTGACCCATCACGCTGCACAGGCCAGCCAGAACCAAGGAACGGCTGGTGGATATATGCATCATAAGTGTTTATTTTTAGATGAACCACGTCTTCTCTCGTGGCTACATCATACGTCAAAACGAGCGTCGTTGCGCCTCCTGACATGGCGAGCCAAGTGTGCAGCTTCAAGATGGAGATTGCGATTATTGGGTAGCATCCAGCTCCTCGATCCAGAGGAGAAAACTACCTAGTACGAAAGCATGAGAATATGGCAGTAGCGCGCAGTGAATATGCCACCTTGGAGCGTCAAACTTCTTAGTTGCGTCTCTAGGCTCTTGGCAGCGTGGCTGTGATCTTGGGGGCGGAAAAGGATATTGTGGATGATGGTTGGCTTTTGCCTCTGATAAATACCACGCAGAGTACCATTGATGAAATCGACAGCCACTGATACTCGAATCTGAAGGTATTGGATCAATATTGCGATGAGTGCAGCAGTGCTGGGTATGACGTGCTAATCGTAGCGGCTTGGCCCACAAGCCAGGGAGGTCCCATGGATACATGTGATACTCTTTAGATTTGTAAGTCATTGTTCCTTGTTGACGTGGGTACCGCTACGTATTGCCTCGCAAAGCTCGACTTTCATTTTGGGATAATATGCCTTGTTTGATTCGATATACGATTCATTTAATGCTTTTCCATAGTAGGAAAAGCGAGTTCAAATACCTAGAAGCTACCGAGTAGGCTGTGTAAATGCGGTGTATTGGAGTCGCGTCTTCAAGGAGCCCACAGTCAAAGTCGAGTTGTGGGGTCAAGCCACAGTAAAATGCCATGTATTTTTAATGTTTTGATATGTGATAATACGTATATGCCTACAGGTAAAGTCGAGTTTACGAGGTTGTACATTATGCGTACTTCCAACAAGATGCATGATTGCTTACTAAGATCCATAGCTAAAGTCGAGTTAGCGAGAGTCTGCTGGACAATCTCCGGGCTTGTAGAATCCTACTGGGTATGCATTTTTCTTCTTTAATAGGCGCTTACGTGTGTGATCCAAATAACAACATAGAGTTGCTTACGGTGGTCTGCAGTTCAAGCCTAACTAGCGGGAGGTCTACAAGCAGAGTCGAGTCTGCGAGTCTGCGAAGAAAAAACCCGATCTGGTAGGAAACCGGGTAGTACCAGGATTTGCTTTTCTACTATAGAACAGGATATGAAACTAAACCAGATGCCTCGACCCGTACCCAAAGTTAGGCTTTGTGAGATACGGCAGTCTAGATACATGTATCATGGACAGATTCCTTATAAGGATAAGCCACACAAGGAGCTACTTTGTTCGAGAACTGTGAGTAAAAATAGTAGCGGCAGCTTATGATAGTAATAATATTTGCAATACCTGTAATCTATTTTCGCAATTTACTTATCTCCTTGATCGTTGGTACGAGGATGCCCCTCTTTGCAGTATCACATAGACCAGGGGCTGGTGCGGTAGCTACCCGGCGAATAGTCCTACGCATATAACAGACGGAACTGTAAATGAATGTGCGTAATTACGACGGCATGAACTGGTCCTGTCGTGCGATGGACGGCTCTTGGCTTCGTATTGATACACTACTAAAATTAACTGTAAGGTTTTCATGCATTTGTTGTAAAATGAAGGGGAAGATCACCAGTTAGTTGGCGGGCTACATGTTGCACAAATCGCTCCCCTGCTCGTGAATGTTGTACTATTCTTATTGCCTTGCTCCGACGTAGTTTACTTTGTGGAATTACTTGGACATCTTCCTATTCTCCCTCTTATCAAAAGTTACGGGTCAAGCTCCCATAATCCGGCGCAAGGAAAAGCACTCCCGTGCATCTTTAGGATACCAGTCTCTTCAGTTTGACGGATGCTAATGGCTCTATTCCGTAGAATCTATGGAGAGCCTTCAAGTCATTTACATGCAACATCTGGCTATACGATGTTGGTTGGGAGATTGTGCTACTTTCATGTGTGCCACCGGCATCAACGCGGGGCGGATCATTTGGTCGATGCTCACGAGATCCCCTCACTTTTGCCTTGTTACTCATTAGGTATTACGAAGCGATATACCAATTATAGTGACATGTAGAGGATAGGAAAGCTTAATATGGGAATACTCCGTACCACTTGGGTAATAATACACTGCATATTCTCGCAAAGCAGTTAGGTGTATGTTGTAAGTGAGATGAGTTAGTTGCTCCCCTCCCCCCTACCAACGCCTTCTGCCTTCAGCCACTGCATGTAGATAGAGCCAATTGATTTGGAGAGAGCCTGTTATCCTTATACAATTGCAACCATACTTCTTATCTGCCTCACTGAAGCAATGAGGTAGACCAATGAGGCAGTCAGGATTGAATAATATCCTCTATAATTAGAACTCGACTCTGGATCTCGCGATGTATACCCAAAAGAGCATTCTATCTCTTTAAATACCCCTCTTTCTTCACATTTTCCTCTCCATTGTCGACGCATAAATCTATATCGTACCAAATTCCAATCATAGTGTATACAGCAATCATCTTCTCATCGTTAAGAATCCTTATTCTCACAAATGGCGTTATCACGATGGCCAACTCAACTCATCATCATCTGTCTATTTTCACTTGTTCAAGCCTACACGGTATTTGAAACAAAGTGTTCTGCCCCTGACACTACATCGAGCTTTGTGTCATCGCCCAATACCCGCGGAACTCTCGACATACTATGGAGCTCCCTCTTCACGATCTTCGCTTGCACCTGGAGCGTCCAGCATCCTAACCTTCCCGAACAACAACAAGGAGAAGTCGATGACTATTCCTCGACACTAAAGGGATGGCGTGCATGGGCATACCCTGCATGGAGAAACGCTAAATGGGGAATGAAGGGATTTTACAGAAGCACACTGCGGATGCTGTGGACTAGCATTGCTCCCGAATTGCTAATTGTCGCAGCCTGCAATGAACTGATTGCCGCACGGAGCATTTGCAAAAGAATGAAGGAGTTGGACTTGGGAGAAGAAGAAACTTGGAGTTTAACTCACAGCTATTATGCAAACATGGGAGGCTTCGTCGTACGAAACCCATCGGCAGACAGAACCCTGTATCACGACCCATATCATCTTACCGGCGAGGAACTCCTCGAACTTCGAAGAAGAAGGCACATCACAAAGCTGCCCAACATGGCAGAAGCAGAAATCAGGGACAAGTCCAAAGGCGATATACTTGGAAAATCGGTTGCACTCGGCCAGATTGCGTGGTCTATAATTCAAATCATTGCACTGGTCATGAGAAGGCTCCCCGTCTCGCCTCTCGAGGTGGCCGTTGTAGCCTTTGCTGCTTGCGCAATTCTCACGTACATTCTGTACTGGGAAAAGCCGCAGCGCGTCAGCGTCACTCAAACCATCTCGCTACACGACTGTGGTCAGCTATATAATAAAACAGATTTGAAAAAGAGTCCCAGGTTTTTCAAATATCTGTTCACATATTTTCTTACGCATTTGGGCATCTCTACCAAACAAGGGCAATTGCATGGTGCGCCGATTAGCGTGGACAATACATTGGATGATAGAAAGGGTAGGGACAAGGAAACCAGAGTTGTCTTCCTCGCTGTGTCTGTCAGTGCGGTTCTGTTTGGTGGAATTCATGTCGTTGCGTGGAACTTTCCTTTCCCCTCGACAATCGAATTGATCTTTTGGAGATGTGCAAGCGTCTATACAACTGCAGCTCCAGTTTGCAGCATCCTGCTCCTCTTCCTTGTCAAACGGGATGATCATAGTCCACAGGGATTGACTTATCACCTAATCACACTTTGTCTCACCCTCGCTGCTGCTCCCTTTGTCCTTTACCCCATTGCAAGACTTTTTATAATTGTCGAGATGTTTCGCACGCTTTACTTTCTCCCTCCTGCTTCATTTGTTTCCACCTGGGCACCCAGTGTCCCACATGTTGCTTAGGTAGCTAGTGAAAATAAAGAGGCGTCAGATACCTGTATATACATATATCCTTGGTGGCAATTTGACGGACTTATCGACAAAAGTAAAATTGGTAGAGTCGGCAGTCTCATGCTTATATGTTTACAGAGGGAAGGCCATAAAACAGTAGCACGAGGTGGGCTTACGCCAATGTAAATTAGGCCAAGGCAATTCAATATGTAACTGCTGAGACCTGCAATCGTCAATTCGCAAGAACTAGCCCTGTTGACAAACGAGATGTAATACAGAGACATGGTTAATTAAATGTTTCTCGCGGCATAGGGAGACAACTTATCCAAGGAAACTTGAAACTCTCTCTGTAGTTTTCCTGTTTGATGATAATCAGTTGTTGAGGATCTGGAATATATGAACAGATATTTGCCTTGAGCTCTTTAGTGCAAGATGCGATCATTGATGCTACGATGGGTTAGAACTCCTAAAGTGTAGTCTAGCTATGTAAATGAGGAGTGAAGACGATATGCTGATTTCTTTTCTTGTTTCTGTATAATTCTCATGATGATTCAGAACATCTTTTTTAGATCAAAAACACTCGTTATTTTCCAAATACCCCTTGAAGACGACTAGCTTCATATTTGTAAGTGATCTTGAAATCGAAATTCTAATGACTTTGCTATCGCGTTGCTTGTTCAACTAATGTGGATTATACCACACTAAAACCTCCTGGACTACTATGAATGTCTTGCCGGGCATATGAGATAGCTCCTTGGGAGAAGGGAGATACGGAGATAAGATACTTATAGCCACCACGAACAGCGGCAGTTGCTTTTACGCTATAGGGAAGAATCTAATTTCAGTTGTTTCTGTAAGAGTTATGGTTGCTTTGGAATAATATACACGCTAATTGCTGTAAACAAGCGTGACTCTTTCTGGTCATGAGCATCAGCTGCTGTTGGTAGTGGCTCAAACCGATTCATTGTGTGAAGATTATGAGACACCCAAGGCGTCTACACAACGGCTGAAATGCAAACAAGGGCACCATCAAGAAGATTAAATGCTATTCACTGCCTCGCCGGGATCTCTATAATAACCGTGCCCACCCCTTTTCCGTGAGGGTTGGTCCTAGCGGGAGAGCTAATGACTGTCCGAGCCCGAGAAGCTGCGTGCTCACTACAAATCCAGCAGCAGTAATTCTACAAAAGTCCGTCTTTGGCTTACGTCTCAGGTCACATATTGCCATGTGCGGCGAGTTGATATGAGCTGATTACGACACGGAATGCGGAGGGGGGCGCTCGTTGCTGGGGATGTTGCAGTAGCTTCATGTTGTTAGTTGTTTGCATGTAGTTGTCGATTGTTGGTTTCTTGTTTCGACGGGGTCCGTATACGCAGATTGGATCATCTGCTCTGATGGTGACCAAAATCACTACGTATTCGTAACCATCTCATCCTTGGATGCTTTGAAATCTGCAACAACATACCATGCAATGAAGGGCATATCACTTGTTGACGATTTGTTGAAATCCGCTGCTTCATCGTCACCAATACGGATGTTTTCCGCAGACATGTCATTATTAATTTCCCGATACCTTGCGGAACTCCTCACTCTACGGAATTAGGGTTCGCATCTCGAACGTAGATGATGGCGTTTTGAAACTCCAAGCCCACGCCAATATCGGAGTTGAAGCTCAAACACCCGCATCTTCTTTAGCAAGCAGCCTCTTCCTCCATCTAATAGGGCGATCAAGTTGTCGCAATGGCGGACATTTGAAAAGTCCGCCAGCTAGCAGCGGCAGAGGCTGACAAACCTTCTCGCACTACGGCAGCACTATGTGCCATAGCGCATGAAAAAGCAGAGGTCACCACAAAAAAAAGGGACCGCTAAAGCGCCACCAAAGGGCGGTTCTCGTCTTGCTCGTGGCATGGCCCGGAAATAAAAGAGTTTAATTTAGCTGGGAGGAGAAAACGTGCCGGCCACCTTGTGTGGATGTGTGTAGATTGACGAGATAACGCTACTGGAATGATTTTGATAGACTGGCGCACTCGGCATAACATTTCATCCGCAAACGTTCCGGTTGGTTGAGACAGTTGCTGAGTTGATAAAGCCCAATACGTATTCCTGAAGCTTCGCCATCTTGGATGCGGTGAGATGATCAAACAATGAGGACTTTTACCGAGCGAAGGATGAGGCAGGATCAATTCTTCCAAAGTCGATGACGGGCGTGAAAAATACTCGTCACCCGTTGCGCAGTTACGGCAAACCTTGTTGTACTCGTTGAAAAACTGCAGAGATTTTTCTTGTTTGATTCGGCTAAGTGACTCATTAGCGGCTGCCAGCGATGCCTGATGGGGGCAAAGCCAGGATCCTGCTAGCGGCTTAGCGCCTGTCCGTGATCTTGGTAGCGGGATAAGCCTTTTCCAGCGATATCCTCTCCCCTGTTGCCTCAAATGGACGTTGCTTTTGTTGGCCGGGCTCTTGACTCGCGGTTAGACGCTGCTTTCATCTCCCTGCGATTATAGGCCTAGTATCTGTTTTTTCTTCCTTGCCAAGCGCGTGTAGATCTTCTTTGTATACGTATACAGCATGTACCTATGCTGCAGCGAATACGTGTCCGATGTAGGTAGGGATGGGATGAGAGCAGTGATGCTTCACACATGTACATGTTTATTGCATCCTGCACGTAATCGCCACCTGGACACGATCCATTCGGCTCTGAATAGCTGCATATTCCTTCGGGCTCTTGCTCCTCTCCGGAAGCCCAAAAGCACAAGCAAGCGGGCGTTTTGTCTCGAATCATAAAAGTCAACAAAGCAGAGCCGCCATTCAGAAACGCTAAACCCTCGTACGAAAGCAACATATTGGCCCAGTCCAGTTCCACTCGGTCGTTCCGCCCTGCGCGCCAAACTAGGGCGGCCAACCAGATCCAGCAATCTGGCTCATACGCCGTGAGCTTAAATTCCCATTGTGTCAGCAATCAAATCTTGGCTTTCCTTAGGCTGGGCGGACTTTGGAGATTAAGTGTCCGAGACATTGGTGAGAGAGGAGAGAGTGTGAGAGATGGGCTCCAACGCACTTACACCCAAGGGAAGCGGGTCGATTGAGGCTCGTTCACGTACATTATACAGAGAGTACTTCCAAAGGGGGGTGGACGGACTACGTGGACGTGAACGGGGGCCCATGTACGACGAAGGAAGAGGGCTTAGCGGACCCCAAGTCCGCTTTGATAGAAATTTCACTTTGCGGTAGTGTAGTGACTCGTTTGCCGTGCCGTACCCCAGAAAAGAAGCTTGTGCAAGAGCAGGCATGTATATATAGAATGGGCATGGGCTCCAAGAGCTGGGGACCTGGTTTGGAAACAAAAGGCTCTCCAACCATCCACGCGTTGTCACTCTGCTGGCAACCCTTTTCCAACCCCCTTGTCCTTGACATTTTATTCTCCGAAAAAGAGAACAGTGAGGACGCAAGTTCATCATGGCAGATTCACACCAGGACCCTGCCAAGCTGCACGCTGCAGTGGCATCGACGGGCACGACACTCAATGGCGAGGATTTCGACAGCAAGACTCCTGTGCCTAGCTTGGGAGGAGAAAAGGACGACCTGGACCTCGGAATTGACGAGAAGCAGCAAGAGTCTGTTATCGAATCTCCAGCTGAAGATGGCGAGCTGCGAGAGGACGAGTACCCTTCGGGAATCAAGATGTTCTTCATCGTGCTCGCCTTGGTGCTGAGTGTTTTCCTCTTGAGTCTTGATATGGTGAGTCTATATCCAGCTTTGGCGGTGAAGGAAAAAAAAAGAGTGATTACATGTACTGACAGCCGTCTCTTCCCAGACCATTGTTGCAACAGCCATCCCCAAAATCACAGACGAGTTCCAAGGTCTCGACAAGGCCGGTTGGTACGGTGCCGCCTTCTTCATGACCGTCGGCGCATTCCAATCCACATGTAAGCACCCTTACAATCACATCTCAGATCCAGCCGCTAACAGAAGAAACTCACCAGGGGGCAAGGCATACAAGTATTTCCCTCTCAAGACCACCTTCATCCTCTCCATCCTCATCTTCGAGCTCGGCTCCGTCATCTGCGGCGCCGCCCCCAACGCCGAGGCCCTCATCACCGGCCGCGCCATTGCCGGTCTGGGAGCCGCTGGCCTCGGTGCCGGCGCGTACACAATCATCGCCTTCTCCGCGCCGCCCAAGAAGCGTCCCGCCTTCACCGGCATCATTGGCGCTTCGTACGGCTTTGCCAGTGTCATCGGCCCGCTGCTGGGAGGCGCCTTCACCGACCACGTCACCTGGAGATGGTGCTTCTACATCAACCTGCCGATTGGAGGTGTCTCGGCGGCCATCATCTTCATCTTCTTCCAGACGCCTCGCAATGCGGTGCCGGTCAAGGCGCCTCTCGTCGAGAAGATCCGGCAGATGGACCCTCTCGGCGTCATCTTGATGATGGGCGCCACCGTTACCTTCATCCTGGCGGTCCAGTACGGAGGCATTGCCCACCCCTGGAACTCGTCCGTTGTCATCGGCCTCCTGGTCGGCTTCGGCCTCATCATCGGCGCCTGGGCCTTCAGCCAATGGTTCCAGGGCGAATACTCCATGGTGCCGCCAAAGCTGTTTTCCAAGCGCACCAACTGGGTCATGTGTCTGGTTGCCTTTATCCAGGCCGGCGGCTTCTTCGCCGCCATCTACTACATCCCCGTCTACTTCCAGTCCGTCGACGGCACCAACCCGACCATGAGCGGCGTCCGCAACCTGCCCTTCATCATCGCCGTGTCCTTCTCGACCGTCGCCAGCGGCGCCCTGGTCAGCGCAACCGGATACTACCAGCCTCTGCTGCTCGGCGGCACATCCATCGCCACCATCGGCGCTGGTCTCCTGTACACGCTGAGCACCACCACGTCCACCGGCAAATGGATCGGATACCAGATCATCGCCGGCGCCGGCTGGGGCACGTCCTTCCAGATCCCCATGATTGCCGTCCAGGCGCTGTCCGACCCGGCAGACCTGGGCCCGACCACCGGCATGCTGCTCTTCTTCCAGGGCCTCGGCGGCGCGTTCCTTGTCTCGGGCGCCCAGTCGGCCTTTATCAACACCATGATCCGCCACGTCCTCCATCACGCTCCGCAGGTCAGCGAGGCCATGCTCGTCCTGACGGGCGCCACCGAGATCCGCAACCGGTTCCCCGCCGACCAGCAGCCATTTGTCATTGACGGCTACATGGCCGGCATCAAGGTCGTCTTCGCCATGTGCGTTGCCTGCACGGGCATTGCGACGCTCATTGGCCTGGGCATGCGGTGGAAGAAGCTCAACCAGGACGCTCTCAAGAACGCCGGAGGAGCGGCATAGAGAGTGTGTTGGCTGAATCAGGAAAGATGACTGAATCTTGTGTTAGATTTTTTTTTTTTTTTTTTTTTTTTTGCATTTGCAGGCGTCAATTGTTTTAATTGAGAAGCGGGATCCATATAATAGGTTACATGGAGGTAATATCGGGTAATATAGATAGGGCAGAAGTGGGATTTCTGACACCCTCCTTTAGAATTTTCTTTTTGTTTTAAACGCATGTAACGCTATATACCTAGATGATGCATATATTCAACATACCTAGAGGGAAAGGAATCAATCACTACTCACGTTCTATTTTTAAATCCTTCACTTGTCTTTTTAAATCCATGAAAACGACTCCTCGTCTATACGAGATGCCAGTTTGAAAAAAATGACAATGTATTGCATGTAGTAAGCTTACCTATTAGGGGTTTAGTCAAGGCGATGAGAAAAGATGATTGATGTGAGTTACAGCGTGATCATGGGGTTTATACGAAGGAACACGCGTGACGAGAAATAAGGCTGCGCTGGGCCGAGTAGTGGACTGATGAGTTCAGGCAGCCTTTTGATAAGACGATGCAATATAATGTACGTTTCTCCAAGTCAGCACATAACAATGGCTCTTTTCTATGCATATACTGTTTGTCAAGTAAAATAAACAAGTACATGTATCTGGCAATCAAGCTCTGAACAAGTCAAATCAACTCAAATCAAATCAATGGCATGTACCAGCGATAATGCAACACTGAACATGACGTCTTACACAGCCCTACCACTTACTCGACTCGGCAAAAGGCTCACACTCATTGCAACTCTGCATCTCAATCTCACGTGGGATCCCACCAACGCAGCCGCACATTGACCCCAATTCAAGCCTCCATCCACGGCTCCTTCAGGCACGGCCAAGTCCGGAATCTCCATCCCAAGAAAGCGGTCGTGACAACCGCCGTGAGATTTTTGGGGGAGGGGCCGCTCCCGAAGCTCCGTCATACCGCAAGGCAGAACCGGAGAGAAAAAAAAAAGCCACCAAAAGTGACTCCAACAAAGAGCAGCCAGAAGCTTCAGACCCAAAACTCCGCCGCAGAAACCATCACGAAAAAACAACCTACTTTTTTTTCTTTCTTGACTCGGCCAATTGCGCGCGTCCCGGCAATGGCGGCCGAGGCTTCGACTCCAACCTGAACGCTTTGGCTTTGGCCCCCCTCCTTCGAGCCATTTTATTTAATTCCTTGACGTGCCCGCCGCAATCTTGCCCGAATCCAAACTTGAACCATCAAGGTCACACGACCATTCTGCGAGCGCGCCTCTGCGACAACGAACCACTGCCACCAACACCAAAACACCAGGATACCAGGATTCACAGTTGCAATGCTGCCTCAAGCGTCCTTCTCGCGGCTCGTCTCCCGCGCCGCCGGCCTGCCGCGCGCCATTGGCCGTCCAGACCTCACCACCACCACCACCATCCGGACGCTTCGCACCGTCGCCGAGACCGTCCCCAAGTCGTCCATCAAGATCCTGCGCCTCGTCGACGCCGTGCGGCAATGGCGCAGGCCGCACATGGCCAACTACCGCTCCGTCGGCCTCGTGCCCACCATGGGCGCCCTGCACGAGGGCCACTTCTCGCTGATCCGCGCCGCCGCGCGCGAGAACCACCACGTCGTCGTGAGCATCTACGTCAACCCGGCCCAGTTCGGCATCAAGGAGGACCTGGCGTCGTACCCCGTCACCTGGGAGACCGACGTGGCCGCCCTGGCCAGGCTGGACCGCGAGTTCGCCGACGACGGCGCAAACCTCGGCCGCATCTCCGCCGTCTTTGCGCCCACCACCACCGAGATGTACCCTTCTGGCTTCCCCGGCCAGGAGGTTGACAGCAAGGGCAGCTTCGTCACCATCACGCCCGTGGCAGAGGTCCTCGAGGGCGCCAGCCGGCCGACCTTTTTCCGCGGCGTCGCCACCGTCTGCATGAAGCTCTTCAACATTGTCCAGCCGGACCGCGTCTACTTTGGCCAAAAGGACGTCCAGCAGACCGTCATCATCAAGCGCATGGTCAAGGACTTTATGATGCCCACCGAGGTTGTCATCTGCCCCACCACGCGGGAAGCCGACGGCCTTGCGCTGAGCTCGCGCAACGTCTACCTGGGGCCTCGCCGACGCAGTGTCGCCGTTGTGTTGAGCAAAGCGTTGCGTGCTGCCGAGCATGTGTACAAGAATGGCCAACTGAACCGTAGTGACGTCCTCGGAGCGGCGAACAACGTTGCCAAGACTGTGCTGGAGGCTCAGAAGGAGCTTCCTGCGGACCAGCGGGTTGCATTCGAGGTCGACTACATATCCTTGGCTGATCCCGACACGCTGCAAGAAGTCGACGCTGTAGACGCCGCCAAGGGAGCCATCCTCAGCGGAGCCATCAAGATGCAGCCTGTGGAGCAGGCGCAGAGCGGCGAAGATCTGGGCCATTCTGGGGGCCCGGCAGTGCGATTGATTGACAACATTATACTTGCGCCCAAAGCCGAGTAGATGCAAACGGGTTTATGATTGACGAGAAATTATTAAAAGGAGAGAATACTAAACAATAAGCAGGAGTCTGCGAGGGAAGAAACGCGATTTAGAAAAAAAGATGTATATTACATATGGCGGGCGATTTGATTTACAACGTATGCTCTTATTAAATTTTCTTTTTTTGTGTACATGTATACATAGCATCATATATAGGGGGGGTATAATACAAGACAAGCTCTGAAAAGAACGAGAAAGAAATTTAACAATAATGGCAAACAAAATGGTCTTACAAATGTGCCCTTCCCTCCAACTTTCTCTTCCTCCGCGCATTCTTCACATTGTGATCCAGCGCCTCCTGCTCTTCCTTGCTCAACCGGCTGGGCACTCCCTTTCCGCCCTTCTTCTCAGCCTCTTCAGCTTCGGCAAACAGCCTGCTGCCAAGCTCGTCCGTCAAACGAAGCACGCGGATGCTAACCGTCGCTCCGTCTCGACGATTCTTGCCCTCTCGGCGCGAGCTTGCAATCTTTTCTGTGAAATCCCACAGCTTCCCATCGGCCAAGAGAGCTCCTGTTTCGGGGTCGCGAGAAGGGCGCCATGATGGATCGAGCTGGAGGCGGGGAGGGATCTTTGCGTCTTTGGACTTGACGACGTTGATAATCTGCTCTTGCTGGAAGCGCATGTATGAGTTCTTGAGCGTTTCCTTGTTTACGGCTTCAAAGTACGAAAGGTCTCCTTGGTGGTACAGAGTTTTACCCAGCTACGATATCAAAAAAATGTTAGCTTAGTTAGTCCCTTACTAATCATGAGAGAAATATTGTTTCTTACCAGTTGTGCGTTGTTCTGAGCTTTTGCTTCTCCAATCCAAATATCGCCGTTTTTGCCCTCTGGAGGAGTAAGTCCCATCAAGGACACCGCCGCCAGCCAACTAGCCTCGATAAAAGGCCAGATGAGGAAACAGTAGAAATCATAGTTCTCTCGCCCGGCCTTGCGCTCTTCGTCCGACAAACCGATAGTTGTGAGGTGCCCACTGTCGTCTCTATCCAAGCGGACAACGTGGTCGGCTTCCAAGCCACGTAGGGTATTATCCAAGTTTACGTCGAGACCAGCGCCAGAGAAGATAAACTCCCCACGGAAGAGCGAAGACAGAAACAGAACTTGGTCCCTCAGTTCTGCGTAGGGGATATCCTGGTTGGATGGGCCGCCACCACGCTTGATGCGCGTATACATGGCTGCGCTGACGAGAGCCTCGTAAATAAAGAGATGGATCGTCATGTTGCGATAAAACGACAGCTGGAACCGGTCGACGGCATAATATGTTGGTTCTGCTAGTCCTTCCACTACTCCGACCAAATCTTTGCCCAAGACTTCCAACCCTCGGTCAACGATTTCCGATATGGCCGCGTTTCCAAAGTGCGCAACTCGTCCGCCTTTAGCTCGGATACGGCACGTCAGCCACTCTACGCGGCGAATCAGTTCCTCTTTGCCAACGCCTCGACCACGTAGAGTAAGGAGGACGGTGCCAATGAGAGCGGTAGGCATCACGACCGATACTGCGTTGATATCGCCAAGGACCTTGTAACCTAAAGCACGTAGAATCTTTTCTCGAATCGTCCTCACTTCGGGGTTTTGATGATCGGTATCCAATCCATGGGGAATGCTAGATAGTTTTGCAAGATGACTGTCAATAAACTTTCTCAGACTCCACGGCTCATGGAACCGAACGTCGACTCTACCCAGCTTCAAAGAGAGAACAGAAGGCCCATTGGAGAGAAGATCCGCCAGATTTTCCTTCTTCTTTGGCATACCAAGCAGTTCAGTGACATAACCCTCCGTCTCAATGACTTTGTCGTATTGCGTACTGACAGGGCAAATAATGCAGTCCTTGACTCGGCCAGAGAGAATGCTATCAAGCACAAAGCTCAAGATGCCAAATTTGGGCGGGAGCAGTTTTCCTGTACGTGACCTGCCTCCCTCAATGAAGCACTCGAAATTGTAGCCGCCTTGGAGGAGTGTATCGACATATGACTGTACCAGCGTAGTATACAAGGCATCATCTCCAAACGACCTTCTAATCCACATAGCACCCGCATGCTGCAAGAAAGCTCCCACCAACGGAAAGTTGAGATTGTCGCCAGCGACGACCACCGGCAATGTCAAGCCAAGGCGGTAGCATATCAGCTGCAGAGAGACATAATCAACGTGTGACCTATGGCTGGGCAGGAACACAATGCTCTGCTTCTTCTTGGCGGCCAGGTCTGCCACCTTTCGTAATCGCAAAACCTCTTCGCTAGAAACATGGATTCCTTGGTGGTAGGCTCGCGTTACCAGCTGCATACACAGGTAGTATGCGCCGCGGATGAAAGTATTGCTCTCCATCTTGCAAATCATATTGTCCGTTAGCTTCTCTGCAACTTCCAGGAGCGAGCTTTCTATAATGTTTCGTCGCTGTGCACGCTTCAACTGGTAATCTTTGCCATCTTTGTTCAGCAATCCTTCCTTTTCCTCGACGGCCAGGCGATCGTCGGCGAGCTGCGCAATCCGTTTCTGTAGCAAAGGCGCCGACAAGACATTGGAAATCATGTTCTCCGAGAACCCGGAATAGAAGACCGGCTGCCCGATGACGCGGTCGCGATCGTAGGCTCGCCATCCTTGACCAGAAACGTAGAGGGAGACCTCGCGAAGAAACCTGGTTGGCAGCGGGTTAGCAGAACGAATCCAACGGCGAACCTCGGTAAACCATACTGGAGCGGTTCGCTACGGAACGAATGGGTTTGGTTCATCAATGCCTCCTCTTTGTCGTCCTGCGACACGCTTCTGGGCTCTACAAAGCCGCTGGGCTGCAGAGTGATTTCATCGCCCAGGATCTGGAGATCGGGAGCCGAGCTGCTGGCGCCGTCGACGGAATCGCCATCTCGAGCCATGGTTGGATGTCGCGGAGTCGAAATAGCCGGGAGCTGGAGCGGGAGCGATGCGCAGTTGATTCTCAGGGATGATTGAAGGAGCTGAGGGGCCGCAGCAACATTGCCATGCTATGCTCTGCACAAGAGAAAATCAAGCTCGCTGATGCAATGGCAAATGGTCAGCCATGGAGGCCGAGACTGATTATCCGGGGTAAATAGAGGTGTGGGGCCGAACCAGACGAGAACGCGAGCAGTGTCATATAAAGCCCGAGGGCATGTGAAGAGCAGCGATGGTGGTTGCATCCAGCAGCTGAGCCGCTATAAGCCTGTGCTAAGCACGCAGCCGGCGTACCGAGTACAAGACATGGCACGCTGTACACGCCCCGTTACTTTGTACTAGGGACGTGGAGGTTCAATGGAGCTTGGACCATCTGCAAGGCTTCGAAGCCGCAACTAGAAAAAAAAGTTATCTATTGACCTATCAGCTGCATCTTCTGTCAGGCCGCAGCTCACATTCAACTGCAAAGGATCACCGTAATCTGCAAAAGCTCTTGAGCTTCGACATTGCAGATCGCCGCCATGGCATCCTCAGAGCAGATCAAAGTGACGCAGGACCTGTTGGCGCGAGCGCACTCTCCCGACAGCGCAAACCGCATCTACAGCGAAAAGATCCAGTATCGAACTCTCCAGCTAAAGCCTACATCTCCTCCGCCTGCTGCTCTCAACGCCAGGGCAGCGCGTCACAAAGCTCGCCAGCAGGAAAAGTTACGCGGAAAGCAGAGGCCAAAGCCGCTGTCAGCTCGGGAGCGTCGCAATTTTGGGCTCTACGACATTCCAAAGCAAGGTCAAAAATATGAAGTCTATGAACCGCTGAAGAAGATGTGGATGGGCTACGCCTTGGAGATTTTAGGCAACGACATCTACACCGGCGGCTCACTGGCTGCTGCCAAACTGGCCAGTGCTGAATTTCACGGGGCAGAGGCCGAAGTGGTGAGGAGCCGGTGTCCAGGACGAGTGGGAACCAAGGGCATCATCGTCAGAGACCGCAAGTTTGTCGTTGAGCTGATTACAAAGAAGAGAGGACTCAAAGTCATACCCAAGGAAGGAACCACGTTTCGCGTGGAAGTCTGCGTCCCTCAACAACCCAACAATGATACGGAGAAGAAGACGTTTGCCTTTGAGGTGCTTGGCGACCAGATGATGCTCCGATCTGCGGACCGAGCCAACAGAAAGTTCAAGTCACACTTTCTGAAGAATGTATAGTGGCGGGACGCGCCATCTTTTGGTTCCGGTGGCTTCGAAAAGACAGCCCATTCTATGGGATACGAACCCATTCCCGGCGATATTATGGATTCACCGCGAAGATCCTCCAGCCTTTTTATTTAAGGTTCCGGTACTGCGTTGTTTGCACATCACATGCTACGTGTCGCCAAAGATCGCTTGCTGAGATGGCGGAGGCTACATTTCACTAATATAAGAAATCTATGGCTACTGGCTGGAGGGGGATAAGTCTGTTCTTGATTTAGTGAAATTACCATCTCGAGCAATCGTTTGCTATACAAACGCCCATCTCCCACGCTCATCCCGAGGAACCAGCTCGAGCAATCTACCTCCCGACTGCTACGGCAGAGACAGTCCCGGAAAATGAACATTCTCAACCCTAGTCCATGGAAACTCCCCTCGCCCTTTGTGGGCATAACGTTCAGAGCGTTCTGTGGCCTGATAATGTTGGCCAACGCGAGTGCCGTCTATGGACGGTTGGAAATCTTGAGCATTTCCGCCAACTTTGTTCTTACGACCAATATTTCCTTTGTAAGTCAATTTGTCATTAGAGGTAGATTCCTTCCAAGATTACGCGGCTAACTCTCGCTACAACGCATAGACGTGCCTAATACTTGTAATGATTGCCATGTTTTGCGAGCAGCGTTGGCGCAACAATTATTTCAGCCGCGACGTCAAGATCTTTTGCCTCAGTTTCGCTTCACTTTGGGCCATGGTGTTTACTTCAAATTTCGGTTTCATCGTGAGCGGTTTTGTAGTTTGCCATGTTCCAAGCTATCAACATGAAGCCGAGGCGAAGTATTGCCACTTCTTTGGCAATCATAAAATAGCTGAGATCCCCGACCGAGCGGGCTGGCTTATATATTTTTGGATCGTCATGGCCGTCACTTTGAGTATAGCTTGCTGGCAGACGTTTGTAACATCCTCTCCCTTGTACATACTTACAATAGCTGACTTGAGTTTTCAGGATCAGCTGGCTTCATTGGTACTTCAGGATCAGCGATTTACTAAGAAGGAGGGCTACAACTGCGACTGCAGCGTAATTAGAATGGTGCTGGATATTGGATATATCAAACAGGCGAAAGGCAACTAATACCGGAAAGGCAATGTGCGGTTACAGCTGCAAATGCTATGTTGATGATAATGCTGATGATAATGTTGATACCGTTGAATGTTGACGGTTACACCTAATTAGACCAATGATACTATTTTCAGGAACTGCTGCTGATCATTTACACGTCCACTTCCGGTGCATGCATCCATCACGTAATAATTGCCTGCCCAATGGGTGCCCAACCGACTTACACTCTGCATACAGGCCATCTGACTAATCCTCCGCCATAATATGTGCGACTTCGCAGCCAAAGAGCGTCCATCTCATTCAGCCCAAACATCTGCGTATAATATCCCGCTCCTCGACATTTTCCGTCGTATACACGTAATTGATTTGAGGACCCAAGGCCGCAAAAAGACCGCCATATTATCCGATAGCTCTCGGTGGCTGATGGCGCTTACCATAAGTCGTCGACGCACATATTACTCCGTGCAGATACCGTCTGCCGTCAGTCAGAGTGCACGCCTGCATGAGAGCCACCGAATCCACCGTTTTCTCGCCAGAGACCGCATTGCCCCGTAGCATTAGGGCAAGAATCACGCCGTCAGTGCCAGGGCTCCCGCGACCCGATGCGCGGCATGCCGAATCGCGACCCCGTCATGCCATCAAGGCTCCCTGCATGCGTTATTACAGCACTTATCGTAGCATGTCGTAATACGGCTCTGGGCGGTCGCGCCCCAATGATTCCTCGATTAGGATTTAGCCCTCGCACAGTAGGCTCGGTTAAGGTTCGGGGCTACCCCGATGCGGCCTAGCGGCGTCCAGCCTCGCTGTTCATCCAGCCTGGGGGAGCAGAATCGAACTCCAATTTTATCTTTCCCAAATCTCAGGTTTTTAACCCCAGCAAAAGCACTGGTAGCATTAGTTTCTCATTCAAGCATTCTGTCATCTCGCGACCCAGCGTCTGCCATAACCACGACCCCGACGACCTCTTGCCCGCGCAATTGATTACTCTCATCATCTCGCTAGCCGTAGCATACTTTTGAGATTTTCCGTTTGCTAGACATCCACCCGCTGGTGTCTGCATCCTGCCACTTTTTTTTTTCAGTCGCCCGACCCACGGCTGAACCTCGACCTCACGACGAACACCCCGCGCCTCGGTACACGATCACGACCCGTGGGATTAAAAAAAAAAAAGTCCAACTATGCCATCCAATCTCCCGTCAAGCTTTGCTTCGGCCGCCGCTGGCCAGAACGCAGCCCGCGATGCGAGGGGTGGAAGAACTGATGGAAGGGGACCTGCTGGAGGTGAATGGTGAGTCGTTGCCCCTCGCCAGCACCCGTGTTGGCCGCAAACCCTGGAGGCGAACGGAGAATTTGGTGTCATGCATGCAGTCTGCCGCTGTTGCTTTGCACTAACGAGCGCTGCGTGAATCATCTTTTTTTTGGGGGGCGGGGACAGCCGCTCAAACGAGGCAGCCCCTCTACTTTCTCCCGAATGCGGCCGTGTCCTTGGTCCATAATACATTGTCTTCGTGGCTAACTTTAATCTTCAGGTCTCGGAGAGATGGGCGCTCAGCCAACGGCACTCTGACCTTTCGTCGTTCCTCCACCACGCCCCTGAGCCAGTCCTCCAACCTCCCTCCTGCGAATGATAACGCTGTCCAGCCGCCAAGCTCCGAGGTGCCCATGGCGCAACCCACAACCTACGAAGTTGGCCCTTCACGTTATACAAAGGACGATCTGCTCGAGATGTATAACTCCCAGCTCCCCAGCGGTAACCCTTCTCACCTGTTCATCTCTGGCTGGGACCCGAGCAATGGTGCCAGTGCTGGCGTAAGGGGCTGGGGGAAAAGCAACGATAACCACGTACCGCAGGATCCCGGCACCTGTTGGGATGCCAGTGGCGAGACAGCACCGATAGGACTACAAGGATTCTCCCCAGAAGAGAGAGAGGTTAGAGATATTACTTGATTTAATTTTTGGCAGTCAATCGCGCTGCGGGGATGTGAACTCGCTAACGATGACGTTTAGGCCTTTTCTACTGACATCAACTCGCCACTGAAACCTCCCACCCAGACAAAGGAAGTTCACCAGACTGCTGTTAACGGCCGTAAGCCTTCTCTTTCTCAAGGTCCAGGAGCTACCTTTGGAGTGAGCTCACCGTCATCCGCTGTTCGACCCGCCACTCGTCGACGAGAAACTGTCGATTCCAATCCATTCAGCCCCTCCGCTCTTGCGTCCCCGACTGCCAGCCGATTTTCGCGGGAGGATCCGCTTTGGTTCTCGCGAAAAGGTGGCGATCTGAGAGAGTCGGAAAATGACGAGCCTGATACTGAGCAAGCTTCGCGTGATGTCCCAAAGTTGCCAATTGGAGGCCTAATGCGAGCCAATACATCGACTGGCGTGAGCATGGGGTCGATGTGGCCATCTAGCGCATCCGGTGCTGGCGGGTTTGGCAATTTTGCCCTGCCCACGTCTCCAGCAGCCGTTGGTGACAAACGACCTGGTGGCGCTACCGGCGGAAGTCGACTGGCGCATTTGATTCCCAAGGACAATGCCGAGGCCACCAGCACCACCAAATCTTCTGAAGCTCAGAGCCCTCTGGCGCAATCGTCGTGGCGAACTAGGCCACGAACTGACACCGACCCCTTCGGTGGCGATGAAGAATTGTCTGGCAGTGCTGTTCTTGGGGGCGCGCAGGATACCGGTTCGGGGGGGCAGCAACCGCCTAGCCGAGCCGGAGTCTTGGGCACTCCAGTTAAGGGGTCCGCTGGTGACTTTGGGATGGCTGGTCTGAACTTGGGTGGGCAATCCTCCGGTGACAATGGCCCTCTTAGCCCATCGGAGACAAATCCTTACCGAAGCCCTCCAGCTGAACGCCATGACCACGACGGACAAGATTCAAGCGCTGGTGAAAAAATCCACAGCACCGGGCATGAACAGCAGCCCCACTCCAACTATAGCACTCTCTCGCGCGGATTTGCTGCGGCTTTTGATGGGAGCGACCGTAGTCAGACCTCGAGTGTAGGTGCCAAAGCCTTTTTGTCTGGCGGTTGGCCGGCTCCAGCTGGCCCGTCCACCGGCACCCCTGACCGTGAGCGGTCGAATTTTGGAGGTGCTTTTGGTAGCTCTCTCTTCAGCCCTATCGGCGATATTCAATCTCCAGGCCTTGGTAATCTCGGAGGTGTGTTTGGGCCCTCCAACACCGGTAGTATCGGTCGCGCAAGCAAGCTGGGATCTCTCTTTCCCCCTGCTATGCAAGCCCAGATGCAAGCACACGAGCAAGAAAGCAGCCTCTCAGACTCTCTGGGTGACCTTCGACAGAGCAACCCGCTCGGCGCTATCGGTCGGGGTAACTTTGGTGTCCCAACTCGAGACACGGACAGCCCTTTGAGGTCTAACCGCGGTGTCTTCGAGGAGCTTTTCCCCTCTAGCGACAGCTCTAGAAATCTCGCTGCCTTTGGGTCGTCAGATGCTGGACAACCCAACATCGCTGCCACGGTACCTCAATCATTCACGCCAGTTAGCGGCGGTCTACCATTCGGTAATGTTCAGGGTGGCGTAGAGCATCCGTCTGCCCAGGTCCGCCAAATGGTAATGCCCGATCGCATGCGATGGGTGTACCTTGATCCTCAGGGACAGATTCAAGGTCCATTCACGGGACTGGAGATGAATGACTGGTATAAGGCCAATTTCTTCACTCCTGATCTTCGAGTGAAAAAGGTTGAAGATCCTGAGTTTGAGCCACTTGGTCAGCTCATCAGGCGCATTGGAAATTCTCGAGAGCCATTCTTGGTGCCCCAGATTGGAATCGCTCATGGACCTCCTATGCAGAGCGGTCCATTTGGACCTGGAACTGGAAGCGGCATCATTCCTCCTCTCAGCGGCGTTTTCCCAACATTTGGTCGAACCCTTACGGCGGAAGAACAGAACAATCTTGAGCGCCGTAAACAAGAGGAGCAGTTTCTTATGGCTCAACAGCGCGATTTCATGATGCGGCAGCAAGCCATGGCTAAGTTCCAAATGCAGCCAAGCCTCCAGCATCATTCCAGTGCTCATAGCCTCCAAAGCCAACCGAGTTTTGGCAGCATGACATCCCCTTTGGGGGTTCCTCAGCAGCAACATCACCAGCTGCCGCATCAACAGCCCATCGGGGCCATGGGAGGCCCGGGAGGCGTATTCGATAGTCACCCTGGCGCCAATCCCGCTGCTATCCGCGCTGCGATGGGAAACGGCGAGCTTTTCAGGCCAGAAGACCTGGCTAACCTCTCGACTAACGAACGACAAATGCTCGCATCCTTGCAGGGTGAACCTACTGGTACTGAATCTGGTGCGCCTCAGCCCATTGGGACTCCGGGCGACGCAAGTCGACGATACGGTCTACCAGAAGCTAACGAGCTCAAGGAGGACGATGAGGGTTTCAAAGATCGACTCCAAGAATTTGAAGAACTCCGTGCCGAGCATGACGCTGAGCAAGCTGCCGGGATTCCCGCCGATGAATCCCAAGAGACCTCCGTAAAGGTAGAAGAGACGACCGTCACGACCGTCACCGTCGAACCGAAAAGCGACCCCGCTCCGTCTGCCGGCAAAGCTAGCAAGGCATCCAAGAAGAAGACCACAGTTGTTGAAGAGAGCTCGCTTTCTCTAACTCAGCAGGTGCAGAAGACTCAAGCTTCCGCAGCTGCGGCTGCCTCTGTCCCCTCTCCTCCCCAGCCTACGGAGCTTGGAATGCCAATGCCATTCCCTCCCCCGGCTTCGACAACTCCTCTCCCGGCGCCAACTGCTCAAAGAGCCAGGTCTAATTTGCCTGAACAGTTCAGCCGATCGCAAACTGCAACCCCCGATGTTGTCGCCCAGCCTCCCCCTCTGGCCCCTTGGGCTAAAGAGCCCGGCCAGGAAGGGCAGAAGGGCCCGAGCCTGAAGGAAATTCAAGAAGCCGAAGCGCGCAAGGCTGCTAAAGCTGAAGAGGCCGCAGCCGCACTCCGAAAAGCTGCGATGGAACAAGAAGCTGCCTTGTTGAGAGAGAAGGAGAAGTCGGCTGCTGCCGCGGCCGCCAACGCTGGCCTCCCAGCGACAAGCACTTGGGGCCAGGGCTCGCCTGTATCATCTGTCAGCCCGTGGGCCAAGCCAGGCGCTGCCAAAGCCAAGGGAGCCACTCCCGTAGCAACAACTGGAGCAGCCGGAGCCAAGAAAACTTTGGCAGAAATTCAGCGTGAAGAGGAAGCACGAAAGCAGAAGGCCAAAGAAGTTGCCATCCAGGCTGGAAGCGGTGCTCCTATCAGCATCGGTAAAAGCTATGCTAACCTTGCCGGCAAGCCGAACCACGGTCCCTCTCCGACAATTCCATCTCCGATCATTACTGCTGGAAGTGGCTGGGCCACTGTTGGGGCTGGGGGCAAAGTGAAGAGCCCATCTACAATCCCATCTCAGCTCCAAAGCCGCTCAGGAAGTGCCAGCAGCGCTAAGCCTGTTGTAGCCGCCCCTGTGAAATTGGTACCCAAATCAATCATTAGCAACACCAGTTCTCAGCCAGCCAACGCGGCTATGGATGAGTTCAACAAGTGGGCCAATAGGGAGCTCTCTAGAGGAATCACGGGTGTCAGTGATAGTAAGTCATTTCCAGATCTCCCTACAATCAAATTCATAGAGTCTAACATGCATGAAATAGTTACGAGTTTCCAGGCAGACCTCGCCGTCTTACCTCTTGATACGGGACTGATTGCGGACGCTGTATATGCCAACTCAACCACAATGGACGGACGACACTTTGCTGAAGAGTACGTCCGCCGAAAGAAGCTGGCCGAAAAGGGCGTTGTCGAAAAGCAGACGCAGGCTGAAAGCAAGGCGTCGAGCTCCGCTGGCGGATGGAATGAAGTAGCTAAGAAGAGCGGTGTCACTCAGGCCAGAGAGAGCGACGCAATGCAGAGCGCTGATTTCAAGGTTGTGCCTGGAAGAAAGAAGAGCAAGAAATAAGGCACTTTGTGAAAAAGGTATATTGCTATGGAATATTGTTGGGCTCTTGCTTTGTCGGATGGGATGTTTTCGAGCGTTGCTGGTGGTGTTAGGAACCCAAGCGGAACATGACTATATGTAGTAAGCTGTAGTATGCATCTATACGGCGATAAATTTTAAGAGCAGGGTTGTGGTATGCAAAGTATCTGTTTTATCGTAAACCAGGACTGTTTAGCCCTAGACTTGTGATTCAGCGTGATAACAGCATGAGCTATGTCCCTGGAATTGAAATGTTATTTTTTAGAGACCTATATACACATGTCTGGAGTATAGAAAATCCAGGACTGCGTTTTTATGTATTTTCATTCACAGTAGCATATTTTATCCAAGTGTTGGGTCCTTTTCACGGATTCTCCCAATTTGTCCCCAGGCGTAGTATATCGGTGTGTTTGGATGTCTTCTGTATGGATTAAGCAATGACGTACATGTAGTGACAAATCAAAGAATTTATTATTTATTCATTTACTCTACATCATGTACTTTATCGTAAACATTGTTCCTCGGGGGGTCTTTGCTTGTTTCGTTACCGCCGAGTCTGACTTGGTCACTGTAAATGTTTGCTATAATCAATATCAAGATTTCTTGAGATCTATCTATAGAAGCATCAAGACACTGAAAATCCTTTCTACAAACCGGCAATGCCTTGTATTTCTTCCTTAATTACATTTCTCTGCTCAATTTTTCTCCTTACCCAATGTCAGACCCATGCTAATCTTGTTAAAAAAAAAAAAAAAAAAAAAAAGGTCCATCTCCAGGGTACGCCTCTACGAAACCAAATCCAAAGAAACCAAAAATCTCTTTCTTGCCTCAATCTCCTCTCTCAAATCTTCATCAACGCATTCTGCTCGCCGCATCTCCAACAAAAACACTAAAGCGTGAATGGTTTAGTGGTAAAATTCTCCGTTGCCATCCGCAACGTCGGGGAGCCCTGGGTTCGATTCCCAGTTCACGCAGTTGAGGACAAGCTTTGTTCTGTTCCTCTTCTCTCTTTCAAAGCGTAATTGGTTTAGTGGTAAAATTCTCCGTTGCCATCCGAGCAACGTCGGGGAGCCCTGGGTTCGATTCCCAGATTACGCATTGAGATTTCTTTTTGCTGATGTATGTTACCTTTTTGATGATGTTGCAAGGCTACCTAGATTGGCTATGGAGTTATCAAGGGTCTGGTGGGGGCTGCTGCTGGTATTTGTGAAGAAGCGTTGTCCTGCATTGTGTTTGGAATTGAAGAGGAAAGGTGCATGCGCTTCTTGAAATGTACTGTTTTCTTCTTATATGTCCTGCGTATATATATGTATGCGTATGTATGCTATCTATAGGTCGTGCATCTATATACTTCTAATCCCGTATATCACGGCAGTAGAATCTCTCTATTCCACAAAACGTGATGGGTATATGAAACAAAAAATCGTAAAAAGAAAAGAGGGCGTAACAGGGACGTATAATCATGATCCATCTTTCAAAAAACTCCAACCTCAAGAGAACGCCCAGAGAGCTCTCGAATTTTCGCTTCTCATCTTACACGTGAACTGTGACTGGGCTCTCCTTGCGCTTGATGCGGAACATTTGCAGCATCTCAGTCCAGAATTTAGTGGGAGGCTCGATAAGGTTTGCTTCATAAGCGTCAATCGTTGGTCGCTGCCATACAAGATCAACTTCGCTGGGCCGGATGAATTTAGTGCGCTTCACAACCTTCCAGAAGATGAAGAGAACGGGCGCCAGAATCTGCATGGTGTAATTGCGGAAAAAGCTCTTGACGTCCCAGGGTATGAAAGACATGTATCCGTAACCCCCCACAACCATGAGCTGGATCACGAAAGCGATGATGGCGCAGTAAGGCTGGCCCCAGCCGACGTATGGCAACGTCTTGCGGTCAAGGCCCTGGGCCTTGCATGCTCTGTAGAAGCACAAATACGTGAATGACATGACCAGGTAGTCGATAATTCCACCGGCAGTGATCAGAGTCACCAGCCAGTCAAGCACGACAGCAGATCCGTTTCCAACCTGAAGGAAAGACAGGAACGGGAAGCACATGACGACCAAAAATGCATTGATGGGTACACCCTTGCTCGTGCACTTGCGCAAGAACCGGGGAGCTCGACCTTCAAGAGCCAAGCCATAGAGCGAACGAGTTGCGCAGTAGGTGTATGTGTTACCGGCAGAGAAAATGGACGTCATCATCAGCGCATTGACGATATGGGGTAGCACGGATATTCCCATGTTTTGCATTGCAATGACGTATGGCGAAGCCGCGGCAGTGCCGCTGCCCTTTCCGCCATTGACGAGCTTGGACAATGTGCTGTCGTTGTAAGGAAGAATGATGCCGACAGCCAAGGCACTGCCCATGAAGAAGATTCCAAAGCGCAAGTAAATGGTCTTGAAAGCGGTCTTGATGTAGATCCGAGGTCGTTGAGCTTCAGCGGCCACCATGGAAATATACTCGGGTCCGACGACGGCAAAAGAAGCGCTCCATAATGCAGTCAAGAAACCTTCAAAACGACCGAGGGCGCCTTGTGTGTGATACTCGGCGAAGGCTCCAGGATTGTTCCAGTATCGGAAGCCGTAGGCGTCGTGGGTGGGATTTCCGCCAACCATGGTCACGAATGTGAAAGAGAAGAGAATCATGATGAGAATCACCTTTCCTCCGGACAGGTAAAACTCTGCTTCACCGTAAGCCTTCACAGCGAGGACGTTTAGTAGACTACATATTTAGATAACCGTTAGCAATGGAGCTCTAGTAAGAATGAAGTATCATAAGGCGTGCAGGCGTTCCATCTGGCCCTCCCTTGTCCCTGTTAAGGGCGAGTACTTACGCATAGCAAACGATGACCGCAGCGCAAATGCCAGCAGTAGGGCCCGGGTTGGTGATGCTCTCGTCCCAAAAAGAGATGACGAGATTGAGTGCCGTGATTTCGAAGGGAATCAGCAGCGCTTCATAGATGAAAAAATTCCAGCCAGTCATGAATCCTAGGGCGTCATCGACCCAGTGGCCTGCGAGTCGAATGAAACCTCCAGATACGGGCATGAAGGTTGTCATCTCTGCGAGAGAGTTGTTTACCAATCCCAGAACTATCGAGTACAGAGCGTATGCCAAGAAAAGGCTGCCTGGCCCGGCCGTGGAAAGTCCACCTCCGATGCTGACGAAGAGAGCCGTGCCAATCGAGCCGCCGATGGCAATTAGCTGGATCTGGCGATTGTTAAGGCGCCGTTGCAGGCCATCAGCATTCTCGATGAACTCTTGAGACCCCGAGTCAGAAGCGTCGGGAGCCTCAAACTTGGGCTGCTTTTCATCCTTGGTAGTCGCCATCTTGAAAAAATGGGCGGCCAGTAAATTGGTAGCAGTACTACGTCTTACTAGATCGTCATGAAGAAAGAAGAGGAGAACTGTGGCGGTACAAAAGCAGATGTATTGCCAAACAGATCAAGATGAACGAATTAGCGCCACCAAAAGATTAAATCTTTGGGTGAGACGTTTTCGTATGGCCAAAAGAAGAGAAGCTGGGGAATAGAAGAACAAAAAATCCAAACAAGGCGATGGGCGATGCAGGAGTATATGTAGCAAGCATTCATGAGCAGCGCCTGCATCAACGGGCCAGGGAGTCGCAGAGTACCTATCGCATTAGGTCCGTTGTATGAGTGAATACCGTACTACGTATTTAGCAGCCAACCGACTGGGGACCGGGACAAGAGCGAAGACAAGACCGAAGACTTAGCATCGCAATGGGATTGGACAGCACCGCGGTGACGGCGTGGGCTATGTGGGGGGGAGGCCGAATCAGAAACGCTTCCAATATCATCTCAGGCGATTTCCTGGCCTTCGTCTTGGCAAGCCCGAGCAGCTGCTCTTGACCCAGAGCTGGCGAGTCGCTCTGTGCTCGCTGCTCGCGTCCCCTGCCATTGTCGTTCTTGGTGGAGAAGCCAAGGACAGCCAGAGGAGAGTTAGCGGCTTTAGGCCCTGCTTAGACTCGACGGGACGAACAGCCACCCACAGCGAAGGGGGGCCAAGGATCCAGAAAAGCGACCAGGGGGAGGGGGGAGGGCACAGTGTCAGATTGCGGTGCTGTACATCTCCGTCCCTGCTTTCGTGGTACACAGCCTTTGGTGGGCCAGAGGTTGATTGATTGTTTATGACATCGGAGAGGAGAGAGATCTGGCAAAAGATTAGAATTTGTAAAAGATAAAATAAGAGGCTTGGAAAGGTGTTTTTATAATCACATCGCCAATATCGTTTGAGTGCTCAGTGCGCACACGCGAGCTTCCTTGAAGTGTCGTACATGTTTGTCGAAGATTATCTGTAGCGACCAGGATTAAAAGCCAGCGGAATCCTGATGGAAAAGGACGAAGATCCTTGACCCCCAAACATTCTGCAGTATCCCGACCTCTCTGTTAAGATATCGCTGATCAACGAGACGCCAAAGAGAGTCACATGTATATCTCAATGACTCGTCCCCAACTTCAAGCTATTAGAAATTGCCATATTGGGCTATTACACTAGGTATAGCTGCTGATTAAACACCGAGAATCTCAATATGGCCTTTCTTGGCCATACTGCCTTGTGTTAGAGTACGATGCGATTCCGGTATGGAGTACTGGACCGTATTTCAGCTTGAAGCAAGGTTAGGTATAAGGATACAAGTAAAGGTGATCGCTGCAGTCTGCATTCCGTACCTGGGTAAATGTCCGGGCCTAGAACCCTGGGATCGACTGCAAATCCATCTTGAGCCAAGTGTCGGAGCGATTACATGCTCGGAATTGGTATCGAGAGTTGCAAATTGGCACTTCACGATCTGATAGCAATACGGTAGTTGTAGACTTGAGACTGTAGCAACCGCAAGCCACGACAGCATTATCAGCCATTATCATCGATTGTAGGTATTTCTTGTCCGATATCGAAAAAAATAACCAGGCAAACCGCACGCTTCTGGATGCCATTTCTGCAGCATTTGCTCCAAGAAGCAGCCTTGTTGCTGGGCACTGTGCAATCGATGCATGTCACCGTTCTGGCCACGCGACCAAGGGATCTGGACTCAAGCCATCCGCTCGATCTGGAAAAGCTCAAATCGTGGCTGCATCCGTCTGCGAATATAAAGTTGCATGTCGTCTAGGAGAGATCTTGATGGCCTCGCTCAAAAAAATACGTATCTACTTTCTCAACGGCGATTGAGCGGCTGGTCTGACCTGCTTCCGTCAAAGGAATCTCGTCGCAGCTCACACTGACGTCACTCCGCCAGAGCCTTGCCTGCGGCTAGACTCGCATCCGGACTAGCGGCTATCGACGATCAGAATGTCCCTGGTCGCACAGTTTGCAAACAGTGCGGGATAGCGTCCTCCAGAGGCCTTGCTACACATCGTATTGTACTCGTATCTTGAGGCCTCTAGTCACCGCCTGGAAGCTGCCGATTCCCAACAGTTCGTCTGCTTAGACCGAATGCCGGAAAAGGGAGGCTGTGCCCAGAGCTCCCTGCAAGAATGCTAGGCTGCCGTTTGGCGCACAGCCATTGATTGATACTTTAAAGTACGGATACTTTGTGCATAAATGAGCTGCATGCGGAGGATTGGTGGGCGCGAGTCAGCAAGTACCGCCCAGCTGCCAAGCCCCGGATGTCTGAGGCCATCACTGTCGTCATCTTTTGCACATGCGTCTTGAGAGCAAGGCAAGGCTAGCTGAGATGAGAGTCGATACTTTGGCAGAGAAAAGGCAACTTTGTTGAGAGAACTGTTTTTTATTGTGGGCTGGAGTCCTCCGCCTTTTAGAGCGCGCCAATGGCTGGACAGCAATTGCTGTTTAGTACGGACAACTTCCAGTATGCTCACAGCACTGTACGCTCGGATTTAGCGGCACTATCGCACCGTACGGGGTATCTACCTGAGGGAGACCGCCGGTTGCCGCTAATTTCCCACATCAGCCAAGTTTCCCTCTCGTACCCGCAGTAAGTGCGCTGATAGGTGGCGGGGTCTGCATCCTCGCACTGTACTGCCAATCAGGTGCAGGACAGCGCCCGTGCCGCAAAAAGTCCCCTTCGGCCAAAATTTGCTCCCTAGTAGCCAATACGTATTAGACGGCGCCGACGTTCGTTTCATGTTTTTTCAGCCCTCGAGCAGCGCCAGGGTTTTTCACCGCGAAGGCACCAATAGGCGTCGAGTCCGCCGTAAGAAACGGACGCTAACGGTAAATTACAGCGCGACGCTTTTCTCTCTTCTGGCTGCTCTTTTTTGCCTTTGGATGGCTTGTGCCTTGTTTCTTTTTGGTGGTTTGTCGCGTGACCTCGTGGTAATTTGAACCAAATTAAGCTGCGAATGTTTCTTTCATTGATGATATGAATCAATAACAGCCATATCATTCAAAACGCATCTAATATATATCGGCTGGCGCTGGAACTCGTTGTGAAGAGCATCACCACTGGCCTTTCGCCACCACAGCTTGGAAACTCGCACAGGCAGAAAATTTCTTAAAGCCCACACACACAAACACTCGCGCGCGCACTGATGAGCCTGTGGGTCTATTCTGAAGCCATGCGCCTCAAGTAAAGAGCAATGGGGCAAAAAGAAGAAAACTTGAGCCAGAAGAAATTACTAGTATTCCAAAAAGATTCGTAGGAAGAAATTAGCTGCAAAAAACCAGGGAGTAAAGCGTCCGTGTTGTAAGCGCATTCTCTTGCCAGTACTTGGACAAAGCCGTCTCAACGCATAGAAACGGTCTGGACCGGCGAGACTTGTTTAATCCTCAACAAAAAAGGGAGTAACGTTACGAAATAGGAAGAAATGAAGAACATTTCATCCTAAGCGAGGCCATCTAGAAATCTATTGATGCAGCGCCGGAGGTGAATTGCCGCCTTGGGACAATCACATGTCAAATGAAGAGAGACCCTGAAGTCGGTGAAAGCAATTGAGGCTAAAGAGCCCACCACTAGGCAATAGTGCTGGAATGAGAGCGACGATGGTAGAGGAGATGGGCGGAATACAGTATAGGGGAAATCATATGATTATATAACCTAGAAAACAAGAATATTTCTATATCAGCTACAGTAGGAACCAAGTTGTCGTTGGTACGAATTCTCAAAGTGTGGATTCTGGTGAGGTGCAGAGCAGTTCTCGCAGACTTTTGGGCATTGCTTCAGTTGACTTGCAGCTAAGACTCGAGCGCTGTCAGTGGCAGATTTGAGTACCAAATGGCGATGGATCAAAACGTTGTCTTTAATTTGTATGCATTTCACGATTTTGAAATTCATCAAGATGATATGATGAGATTTTTCTAAAACCGACTCACCAACAAAATGAGATTCTTTACTTCATGCAAGTCAAACGGCCCTGCGTCTTCATCGTGGCAGGTGGGGTAAAAGGGTTCTCGCACGCTAAAATTTTCATGCTGAAAACCGTCATCCCACCTTGGGCTGCCGTATCGATAACGAAAATCACAAAAAAGGCAACGAACAAAAGAATCGCCGGGATACCGCAACAGTGACATCTCGGACCACATATCGCCTGCCTGGATATCAGACAAGTACAGATAGCCTCGTCTGATACATCACCAGTGCCCGCTTTCCGTGGCGGCTCTGCGATCGCCCGGGGTGTGTCTGCCGGTCAAAGTCAAAGCATCACCAACTGCGAATATCAAACCCCCACCATGGTCTCGACGTCTGATAGCAGCACCCTGGCAACGCTGGTTGGCAGTGCTGTAGCGGAGCAGCTCATCACGGCACATGTGTCTCATCTCGTGTCTCCTTCGGAAGGGCCAGCTTCAACTACATCGACACCGCACCCGTCTTCAGAACTCCTCGCCATAGGCTTGGCCGCTCTCGATGCCTTCCTCCAAGCAACGGTTACCGGTCCTGTTCTGCCACCAAGCGAGTCAACTCATGTTGAGAAGCTCTTTGTTAGTGCTTGGAACGCCAGCCGCTCAGAATCTCATGACTCCGTCATCGCGCTGCACCAACTTAGAAGGGCCTGCTTGAAGTATCTCGAAATTGATGGCGTTGTTCCCTATGCCTACATTCCTCACTTGGAGCTCTTCTCTCTCGCCAGATACATTCTCGTCCAGTCCCTGGGAGCCGAGACAAAAGATGTATTTGAGCTACCTTCAACTGAAGGGGCTTCAACAAAACGAAGCCTGGCATGGGAGAAGCTACGTGTCAACGTCTGGCATTATAAGATCATCACTCAGCCAAGCTTGGGCTCTGGATCAAACTTCACAAAAAGCTCACAGTGGAGCGACATTCCTACACTGGCAACGCAGATAAGCAACCAAATAGATGCTGTACGAGGAACCATTATCGGCAGTGAGGTCTGGGCGACGGAAGACACCTGGAC